AAGGGAAGAGGAAGAGAAGATATGCTTATCTGACCAGCGCGGGGTTGAACCAAAGCAAGTAATCAAGGTTACCCGACGGATCTGAACCGAGGTTGCACCGCATCGCTATGGCAGCTCGACCAAGTTTGGTTCATGACTATTCCGGAAGTGCCTGGATTTGGAAACACCTGGAACTACCCTTGAAGTGATCTGTCATACAGCCCGTGGAAGTCTCTATTCATTCTCATGCTAGAGGATGTTCTACTGCTATATACACTCAAAACCTGTGTTGGATAGACTGAGTCATGAGTCATGCGAGAGAAGCAGAAACATTGAGCAAACACTTGACCCAGAATCCCAAACCTACAGTGGTAGCCGTGGTATTGCCATTCTTTGCGCTTCCTCCAGTAGTGCTTCATATAGCTGCCGGTCCTCGGCACTCATCCCCTCCTGTGTCGAAGGCGACGCTCCCAGTATGGGCTTCACGTCTGCTTTGCATACTACACCAGGAGGCGGAAGCTCGCCTGTCTGAAAATACTGACGGATCTTCTTGTGAACACATACGGACGGCGCCGCCAACGTTGAGTGCTAGACGAGTCAGATCATTCATCGCGCTTGACATGTGAGGTCACTTACGCCTTCGGAATCCTGCTGCAGAAGCACCGAGCCAGGGAAGCTTTCGGACATTTTGCGCGCACTGCAAACGATTAGCCCCGATGGCAAGTGTCCCAGGGAACAGGGAAATTACCTCCGCAAAGGAGTCACTGGGTCGAGCGTGTTGCTCACAAAGAGCAGTGGATGGGAGGTGTTGGCTGCGAATGGCCCTATAACGCTCAGCAATGAACGGTCCAAATTACAAAGACACGACTACCTGTAAGCTTCCACTTCGGCTTCACCTTCCATCCTACGCAGCTCATCAAAAGACTGGCCCAGTAATCCCCAAGCATGGCACTATCTTCCTGCAGCGACGCCCAGGAGCGCCGGAACTCTTCTTCATCAGCATCCTGCAAATACTCCGCATCGGCACAGAGGATGGCCGTGCTTGAATACGCTTCATTGTGCCCCGACACTTGACACTCAGCAGACCATGGTCCAGCTTGAAGACATTGATCGGAAGGGCATGAAGGGGAGCGCCCCCCTACTTTAAGGTCGGCAAGGGCGGCGCCACTTTGCTGAGATAGCTCGGTCGCTACCTCTGCCAGTTGAGGAAATCCGTAAAGTGGTTGATACAGAGCAATTCGCAGGATGACCTTGAGATCACTCCACGTGACGACTTCCGGACCTCGTGTAGCTGATGCGGGAACTGGTAACGAGCGATTGTAGAGAGCGTCTTCTAGTGCTAGATATGTTTCCTTGATGGCAGCCGGTCCGCCTTGAGCATAGAAAGGGCAGGCATCTGCTCCAGCCGCATTGCAGTATCGCGTAAATTGATCGAAAATGGCGTCAGCGTCTTCGACAGCGTTGGGCCCCTCACCAAAATAATACTTGTCGGCATCTACCACAGCATCAAGCACAGCTCGGTGGATACGATCGGGAAACATAGTTGCAAAGGTGGAGCCTAGAATGGTTCCGTACGACCGCCCCCAGTAAAGGAGCTTCTCCTGTCCCCGCTGCCATCGCGTTCGTGCTACTATACTCTGTCCTGGATCATAGCCATGAATATGGTCCTGTTGGCGCTGCTCCAGCAGGCCTTGTTCTGCACGCCATTCACCGTGTCGCTCGACGATTTCCAGCATATCTCTAGCCACAGGGGGCGTGTTGAGGTGTTCGCCCAAAGCCTCCTCTCCATCCTTCGGGGGAGTGGACAAGTTGGCAGAGCATCCAGTGTTGAGGGCAGTCGCGCGAGCCCAGCTATGCCAGAATGCATCCTGTGCGCTACCCAGTGCGCCTTCGGCCGCCACCTGGAGTTCCCAGTTTCGCTGCGCGAACAGATGAGGAAAGCAGCTGAATCCTGGAGTCGTGTTGTTGACACCGCGGGGATCGAACCCAATGATGTCAAAATACTTGTCCCGCGAAGCGCTTTCTGGATCGACTATACTTGGGTCGTTCTCCGAATCTACGGTCTTTTGCAGGGATTTTCCGCTCATAAGCACCTGGGCGACGCCTGAGCCACCTGGCCCACCTGGAACGCAATTAGTCAGGACGATGGTATAGACACTCCCCAACATACCTGGGTTTGTCAAAACCGCGCCGCCATATCGGGGATCTGTCACCGGAACCTTGGCTGGAAGACGAGTGATGGCGATCGCGAAGCGCCGTCCTTGCCCATCAGACCGGTGGTAGTCCATGGGCACTTCGAGACGGGCGCATTGGAACCCATCGAAGCAGTCATGATACACAAGTGATCGCGAAGGAGTTATCTTTACCGGTCAGACGCTTCTGGCGACAAATGCAAAGTCTCTCACCTGTTCCCAGCTGAACTCCGAGTGGACGATAATCCCAGTATGTGCTCCAGTATAGAGACGCGATGTCCACCACGCAAGACCTGCCAGAGTTACTACAGTGATTCCTATGCCATGGAGTACCTTTCGCCAGGCTCCATATTTTGCAGGACACACATGGGCCCGAACCGACCCGTATTCGGGGGCTTTTAAGGGATCCATGTGTTCTCAGACTAGACAATGCACGACGTCCACTTTACCAGTGTACGCATCGAGGGATAGTCAAGGGCGCCCCACGAGTTAAATGTAGATTAAGCCATGGTTGACCCAAGATACCGGGCGGGCTGACAGGTCATTCACCTGAGCTGAATGTGAAGGCCTGCAGTATCTGCATAAACACGACGACGAATTAAGAATAAGAGATTTGCAATGAACCCGAAGTGGGGGTTGGATAGCCACGGGGCTCAACTCACCAGGATAAGCCGCGCATGCCGAGATTGAGAGGGAAGATCGCGGTCGGAAAAACCAAACAGAGGCCAGATGGCGGATCAGCGCTGGTGGCCTGTGATCCCTTGCATTTTCTTAGGTTGCGTTCGGCCTTCCTCTAATTGCCTAGTAGCAAACTCTTCGGGGACTAGCATGGATCAACCCGGAGGTTATTGGCTGATGCCCTTATCACACTCCGCGTACCCAATGCAAGGTCAGCATCCATGATAGATGTGGCTATAAGCATCTGGGAACAGTGGGTCTGTCATCTCAGCAAGAGATCATCTCTTTATAGAGCGATCAAATGTCTCCGGACAGTCAATAAATTTGATGTTGGTCCCTCTGCCTCTGACGCTAAACCACGCTCCCGCAGGTATCCAGAAACTTGACTTTGGCCGAGTTGCCTGATTGACACAGCAATAATGGATGGTGTAATTTGTACTACCGTTCACATGTATGGGATAACGTTATCTAAACTTTGGGGACACATTTGTCCTTGTAGAAATTTGGTTGTTTCATCTCCATCTGGGCTCTTCGACGGATGAAACATACAGATTCCGTGGTGTTCGTTATGTGAAGAACGGACTGGCAGAGTCGCGCAACTCATCGATGCCATTCGTGTATCAGAGCGAATAGTGGACAGAAAGGCCATAGTTATCCTGTCCTCTCGTCCATCAGCGAGGGACTATGATGGCTGCCATCTTCCGCTACACGCTCCCAGCCAAGGCAGCCAGTGCAAGGGCTGACATATCCCAAGATATGTGTCCACTGTAGATTTTCCTGTTTACTCATTTGGTCGCTGGCAACTGGCGGATTATGTGACCTGGTCATGACAAATGCCAAAGTGGGTTTGGGATGCCTGCTTCCTTCAAGATGAACAGCGGAGAGTACGCTGAAGCTAATTTCAAGCTCGAGCGTCTTTCTCACCAGCAGTGGAGCCAGGCTTCTTTCTAGCGTTTCCTCTTTTGCGTCAGATACTCTCTAGTCCTAGCGATGGCGTCAATCATTCCAGAAGAGACAAGGTTATACGATCATGTACTGCTTGCCAAACAGTGCACAAACTCGAATAAGCTAGAGCCAAAGCTTCTAGGCTGATCTCCGCCTGATCTGCCCGACGTATAGTTTTTTGGTGTTGTCAAGGGACGAAGCAGGAGACAGCACGGAGTAAATGCAGCTGCAGCAACATCCCCCATACTCCTTGAGCCAAATGTTGAGACGCGTCCCGCATGCATCACGTGCGGGGAACATTCCCCCAACTCCAACTTAGTGACCGAAAAGGGAAAAGTTCCAGCCTCGGTTCTCCGCAGCCCTTCCTCAAGTTCTCAACATTCAGGCCCCTCTCCATTTGCCTTGCCACCAAATGCAGAGATGTACTCATACTGACTCACAACAAAATACTCCGATAATCGCGAGCAAGTCAGTACTGGCCTGACAGCTGCCTCTTCGCCGATCGACCAAAATGGACGTGCGTGGCAGCCGGGCTTGTCCAGTTTGGGAGGTTCATTGCCATCCCCCGCAGGATCCATTGTGACTAATGCAGCTTCTTATCAATAAGTGCCCACTGATGGTCACATTCTTCGCCCACTGCCGTTGTCGGTGCTGAATCCGACTAAATGTTTGCCCCGTTTTCGCGACCAGGTTTGGAGCATTTGGGCCTATAGTCGTCGATCTTCACCCGGATCGGCACCCTCGGGGGCTCCTCTGCGCCCTTGCTGGCCAAGGCAGGCAAATCGCACCCGCCGGGGTCATGGATTGGGATTGGCATTCCTCCTCCCCCCACCAGCCAGCCCATAGTCACGTTAGCTGATGTCTTCGTCACGGCGATCTCTTCGGCTGTCCACCAGGTCTGTCTCCCTCCATTTATCCTTCCGTCCTCCCAGTATCGGCCACAGCCAGTCAACGGTGTATCAATGCTTGTGCGTGGTCTGAGTGCCGCCATTTTGATCGCAATCCCACTCTTTCTGCTGACCGCCTGCATTTGCGAACGCCAGGGATGGAGATAAATGAGTCCGGTCTGTCGCACTAATGAGCTTGATCACTCGACACTCCATTTGATTCCACTATCTCGGTCTGTCGCCTGCATCCCGGAAAAGCATACATACCTGATGCGGCCCGCCCAACTGAATCTTGTCCTCGAGTACTCACATCTACACAATGGCTGGCTGGAGCGGAATTTTCCGCCCGTCTAGGAGACCGGAAAACGTCCCCAGTCCCTTCACCGCGGAGGATGAAAAGCACGATACAATCGATGTCACTGTTCACGAATCGAGTGCCGCATTTCCAGATGCCACTGGGGCATCAAAGATCCAAGCTGCCGAAGCCGTCAGCGGGCGCAAAGGCCGGTATCTATTGTATGCGGGGTATGTATGTCATATCTCTATTCTAGCATAAGTGCTGATCACTTCCAGACTGGCGATGATGATGGTCATTTAGTAAGTTATCATCTCTCTACAGCGACAGCACCTTCTGATCGCTGTTCGGTATCAGTGAATTAGACAACTCGACCGTGGGGACTTATCGTAACTTTGCGACATCTGACTTTGACGCTCTTGCCGAACTGGCCACCTTGAACACTGCAGCGAGCATTATTTCCGCCATCTCCAAGCCCCCAATCGCCAAGATCTCCGACGTCCTCGGACGGGGTGAAGCCTATGTATTCGCTGTCACATGCTACGTGGTTTCCTACATTCTCTGCGCCTCTTCCAAGACCTTCAGCACTTACGCAGGCGGATACGTCCTCTATTCGATCGGGCAGGCTGGCACATCCTTTTTGAATGCTACGATCGTCTCGGATCTATCATCTATGCGATGGAGAGGGTTCGCCTATAATATTCTCTACCTCCCATTTCTCGTCATTCCTTGGGTGTCCGCGTTCATTGTGCAGAGCGTCGTGGATGGCATTGGCTGGCGTTGGGGGATTGGCATGTTCGCCATACTGATGCCTTTCGGTGCCAGCTTCATTATAACCACCCTCCTCGTCTTCCAGCAGCGGGCGAAGCGGTCAGGTCTCGTACTCAATGAACAGCTTAATCTATATGGTTTCTTCTCTCGCATCGACCTAGGTGGCCTGTTCATTCTAAGCGCCGGCTTCGCTTTGGTTCTGATCCCTATTACACTGGCTGCTACCTCTGCTGGCCGTTGGAAGACCCCCTGGGTCGATGCATTGATTGCTGTGGGAGTCGTCATCCTGGCTTGCCTTTACCCATATGAGAAATACGTTGCCCGGCATCCTGTGGTGCCTGTGCGCTACTTCCGCAACCTTTCAGTTCTGCTCCCAGTGATACTGGTATGCATCGACAACATCAGTTTTGGCGCTACCCATACATATTTGTATGTGTGGTCCGAGGTGTCACATAACTTTTCGCCACGCAATGCGCAGTTCCTCTACTATACGAACGGGGTTATGCAAGCCCTCGTGGGCATGGGAACGGGCTTACTGATGTACCGCCTACGATCCTACAAGTGGATTGGCGTCGTCGGAGCGGTCGTTCGCATGGTGGGATACGGGGCCATGGTTCGCCTTCGCACAAACGAAAGCTCTGTGGCCGAGTTGTTCATCGTGCAACTGGTCCAAGGCATTGGTAGTGGCATTATCGAGACCGTCGGGATTGTTGCAGCACAGATCACGGTGTCGCATGCGGAACTCGCGCAGGTCACATCGTTGGTCCTGCTGGCCGCGTATCTGGGCAACGGGATAGGCTCTGCAATTGCCGGAGGAATATACTCGGGACAGCTGCGACAACAACTGCGGTTACATCTGGGGTCTGGTGTGAGTGAATCTACGGTTGATCGGCTGTACAACTCTATTACAGGTACTCTCCCAGCATGGGGGTCAACCGAGCGAACAGCGATTGACAGAGCTGTAAGTGATCTTCCTCGCTTTTCCAGTTCAACACTAATTTGCCGTTCAGTATTCAGATGTGATGGGGTACGTGTGCTACACGATTCGAAGCCGATATTAGACTGACATATCCAGGTCGATAACTATTGCGGCTCTGGCGTTTTCTGCCCCAATAGTAATTTTGTCGCTATTTTTGCCCAACAAAAAGCTTGGGTATGGAGGCCCAGAACTTCTAGTTTTTCTTTCATCACTGACAAGTCCCTAGGGACGGACATAATCTTGTCCAAGGCCAACAGCCTCCCGACCGCTCTAACTCCACACTGGTGGACGAGAGAAGAACGCATGGAAGAAATTTGGATGTCTATGAGACAAAAGCGTGAACGGATATGGTGGTGATATTATTATACATTATGACACTAATGTCTGGTAACTTGGGCATCTAAAGATATATGCTTTTATACAACTTCCAACAGATACCATCCTTCACCTGCCGGGAGACCCCAGCGAGCAGACAAACTCGCGCTTCGGAGTAGAGTCCAAGGCGTTCTTGACCAAATTCCACACATTTAGGTCGTAGGCTTCGCCAATATGGCCAACAGGATCCAGAGGACAAGTGTCTTGCACCCATTCATTGGTCACCCCGTCTTCATGCACAAAGGAGGTGGAGGTTGGGGTGACCAATTCGTCGGAGCGCGATGCAATGACCGTCAGATTATTTCCGGGCTGCACGATAGGCTCCCCGTCGTTCAAGCGATCAATCGCAGCTCCGTCCGGGCCGAGGTCGTCACAGGCGGCGCAGCCCACGGTATCCAGGATGTCGCCTATCAGATCGCGCGATAGGTTTCCCAAAACATATGCAATGTCATAGATCCCCGCCAGGTTCGTGCCTCTCGTGGGAGGTGCAATGGCCACCAGCTTATCCAGCATCTCCGAGATGCCATCCTCGAACTTAGGGACGTAGAGGGTTTGGAAAGCGCCTTCGGAGTGACCGACAAGATCAATCTTGTCGGCGCCCGTCTTTTCTTTCACCTCGCGGATGTACGCGGCGATTTCGGTGGCCGATTCAGCAATGGCCTTGAGGCCGCCGACCAAGGGGAACCCTTCATATGCACCGTAGGTCTTGGCGTAGGTGCAGTAGCCTTGCGCTTGTAGCCAACCTTGCAGGTAATTCAAGTCTTCGTAGTAGGTGGCGCCTAGCCCGTGTAGGAGCACAACAGGATTCGGGTGTTCGGTGCTATTGCAGGAGAAGTCGTTGATGCTGTAGCCTAAGGCGGGTAGGATGGCAGTGGATGCTAGGAGCAGCGATGATAGATGCATTTTGGCGGAAAATTGTTGATTTAGGGTTCGGAGAATTGTCCAACGGCAGGAGTAGAGTGACGGAAAACGCCATTTGGGTTGGCAGTCACCAGAAATTTATCGTGAATCCAGAGGTGGGCCTTCATTGTGCCCAGGGAGATAGGAATCGGATCTGTACCTGATCGAGAATGTGAATTCGTGAACCGCTGATCACTTTAATTAAAAGTGGACGGGATGCTTAGTCGCCATTGGCACCCAAATTGTGACTATTGGCAGCGGCTGAGACCGAGTGGATCGCTGAGTCGGCGCTGACTCGTTTAGTGTTGCTTGGGAGCTTCCCTGACCCGCTTGAGCTTCATTTCATCCCTTCCCGAACACTTGGTTCACTGCAATCATCGCAGTCACGGAGAGCAAGAGCAGTCACGGACAGCCAGATCAGTCACGGATGGCCCGTCACTGCTACACGTCACTACATCTACAACTTCACGTGGATGCAAGATATGGAGTGAAGATGGCTGGATTCAGTGACGGATGGGCTGCTCTGCAAAGGTATAAATATTTCTGTTCTCACCTCCCTCTCTTCTCTTTCTTCCTCATCCCAAACATCCCATCCCATCATCATCTCGGGCCATATCCATCGATACTATCTTCTATGCCTCAACTTACCATCGGTCTAGGGCTATAGTCGCTATTACATGGTCATTATCACGACCCACCCCATTCAGCCTCTTCTTATACACTACAAGACGACTACAGCTCACCAACACTTCATCTATATACTATATGTGAGCTTCGCGAGCACCAACAGACTCTACTAGCCCCCTACGCAAGTCCAGCTCTCAAGGCTTTATATATCCCTCAGAGTTCCACCGGCTCGTCAGGATCAAGCCTGTGTCTTATAGACAGCAAGTTGGACAAAGCCATCGTAAGCATCTCCACCTCGCACATCAAAGAAGAGAAGCCGCTTTGACCACTGTGCAAACTAACATACGTCTTGGCGGTTACCAGTGAATATTACAGATTCTACGTGAACTTGAAGGTCGAGTTGCGTGTCTGCATGTCTTCAGGCAGCAGTGGAGACTACTTAATCTTGACAGTCCCAGATAACTCGGGGCCTCTAGGAAAAGATGAAATCGACGTCATCTTCGGCATAACGTTAACTAGAATGACCTTTTGCAGTACTAGTTGCCGTCGCCAGAACGAACGACACTGGCAGCTTACTCAAGAACACACTGTTTTCGAGAACGCAAAGAATCTACGAAAGACAGACCATGGTGACATCTTTCATCCCCACCCTTACATTAAGTCTTCTCTCGTTCAAAGTTCCTCGAGTGACGAATCATCTCATGTGTCAACACAAACGACCTTACCTGTATGTCGGTACCCATGAACGGGTTGGGCGCAGCAAACGAAAGGCATACGAGTTTGTCGCAAAAGCCCACTGCGAACACCAACATTCGAAGACCGCTGTCATAAACTTATAAAAACTGCCAGGTCAAGCATTGCTTTCGGCACACCTTGGGGATTTCAAGCACATTCATTCGCTCCGGCTATACAATATATCCCCTTCGTTTCAGGACGATGCACCTAAAGTAAATGTCTTGTACGGCGAGGCATAATGGAAGCGGAGGTGAGGTGACCATTAATGGTGCCAATGTCTCTGGGACATATCAGCCTATATACATGCAGCCAAGGCCTGGATCCGGGTTTAATAAGCATGTTGACTTGATGAGGGAAACAGCCTCCTGAAATGTGATACCATCGAAGTGACACTTATAGACTCTCTTTCCCGCATCACTTCTGGGCCACACTTATAAGGAGCTCCATCTCGCCGTCCTAGAACACGACACAGCGCAAGCCTTCACCCAAGACTAACCGGCGACTTATGGAAGATTCCAATTATCTATATACTTCCCAGCAACTCTTCACTGTGATTGAAAAGGATCTTGAGACCCAGACATCACGATACAATGCAAACGCGACGTTCTGGCGCTTGCTTTAATGAGAAGACCCCTGAAACCGACCCACGGGTCAGCACTTTCACCGACGGAACCATGGGTTTCGTTCAATAATGATGGCACAGCGATCCTTTCGCATGACCGTCCGGGTTGCGGAAAGCATGTATCCTGCCCTGAAAGATTTGACATGTTCTTGCCTATGGCACCCAGTTGTAAGCAAAAAACGCAACGGGGTAGCCTTTAACCAAGCGTCATTATCAGGAACATAACGTTGCTTCTGCATTCTCAATATAAAGTTATACTCAGATTATATACTTACAGCCTGGCTTATGGGCCGCTGATGGAGAAGATTGAGGCAGCACATGAATCAAATCGTGGACTATGCTGCTGTGTTTTGAAAACCTGGGCAGCAGACTGCTGGGAAGAAAGATCTGGTCAGGTCTTGCTTCTCTTGTCCTTGGGAAGAAATCGCAAAAGGCCCTATTTACGGCACTGATCAACAAACTTCCAAAATCAGGAAGAAAGCTGAAACTGTCCAAATGGCGGCGTGGATTTGCCCTGGTGGGCAATACTTCTATATTGCTCTCCGATGCACCGTCGCTGCGGGCTTTCTTCTCCAGGGCTGCTGCCGTCTTTGGCTTCGCACAACCTTCTCCGTTTCAGCTATAACCACCTAGTCTCGGAGGAAAGCATTCAGGCGTACCGCCGCTCAAACACGGCATTATATGTCTGGTTCTAGCCCCAGAAATTGATTTGCTCTTCTCCACGCTCGATGGAAGGGGCTTCGACGGGCAGCAGAGAGTCTCAATCTGCCAAGGTGACTGCATCACCCAGATTTGAGTTCCCTTATTCATGCAGAGCTAAGCGGAAGTTCGAGGTCGCTGGGATGAATGAGAACACCATCCCTTACAAAAATGGTCTGTCGACACGATTTGGACATGCCTCTCTACATGCAGCCCTGGTTACCACATGCAGAGATATCCTAACGGAGATGGTCACTTACAATCTCATAAGTCAAATGAAGTCGAATAATGGCACGCTATGTCTGTCCTGGATTTAAGCCTTCTCAATTGACGAGAAGCTGTAGAGCCATGACGCGTGTTGAGCGGGCAGCGCCAACTCTCTGTGCCTATTGCAGTAGTCACCTGCAGAGTCGTCTAAGCATATTGGGCACATTCTCTGACATCACCTACGCTTAGGATACCTTGCGGTACCTTTTCCCAGTAGGTGCCCATGGGGTGCTTCTGCTTCTTGCCGAAGGATTTGAACGTGTTGTCTCAAGACTATCTTCTAATTATATCGCTACCAAAGTGAACTTCAGGGAGGGAATATGATGCACAAGAGACGCGTACGAATTCATCTATTTCCGCGAAACTATTGGTGGTGCGGTAGCACTGTCTCCGACCACACAAACGCTCTCCATCAGCCGGCTAACGTCAAATAAGACTCGTCACCTTTGTGCAGCTTGTCTCATGGGTAAGACTGAGCATATACGTCAACGAGAACTGCTTCGATGGCCCTATATATTGTTTCAATGTCTCACACAACTCTTCATGCTATTCTGTCGTCTCTCGTTGATCATAATACTTCGTTCTACTCCTCTTCGCCTTACCCTACCGGCTAGACTCCGGACGAAGATGACGGTCGCAACAGCTGGAATGACTACATCGTGGTCGTCGCTATGAACTACCTGATAGTCATTCGTGTATACTTGAAAATGTGCCCACAACTGCAATCACTACTATCGAAATGGGAGATTGGGGAAAAGATGAGACGCACGGATACCTCGATTACTCGGCTTTGCACCTCCCCCTACAACGGTCTCAATATTCGTTGCGTCACCTCAGCCTGACATTGGAAACGATGATTCAGGATAAGACGCAAGTGGAGGCTCCATCGTGGAAGACCGGCTCAGCGATGGCCCACTCTACAGCGGTACCGACCAAGAAATTGAAAGCTTTAACAATCCGTTTGCTTTAACATGGCGCACCCATTGAGCGAGACCGGAAGGTCCAGGCCACGTTTAATACTACCAATCAATCTCTACAGAATCATATACTCAGAGTTGGCTTCTGCTTTTCGAGGCTTTTCGATGGGTCCATGTTGGGATGCCGCCCCTCCACAAGCAAGGCGCTCTTGAACCACCAACATTGCATAAGTCTCTTGCCGAGCGCCCTTAGGTTTCTAATTCAGATTTCGATTACCCTCGTACGAGTTGGATGTTCAATAACCGAATAACTACATTCGAGGCTTCAAGCCACATTGCCCGCAAGCGCTGGAGTTACGTTGGCAGCTTCCACTTCCTGCCTACTACCCAAGAAATGAAAGACTCCGCCACGATTCCAAATTCACCGAAGCTACTAGGGCGATGAAGCTATGAGAATCCGTCGAATCTGCAGCAGCTAATGCAGTAGCCGTTACTCTGTCGTCAGTGAGGGAGGACCCAAAATCAACATCAAACGCGAAAGCTTCAATGCCGCAGTATCCAGTCCCAGTTTACGAACGCTATGACTATCGTCAAACTACAATCATTCCCGTTTGACAAGGGTTTTGGGTGTCTTTCGACCTGGGATATATCTCTTACAGGATGCATTCTCTCATGGGGAAAACGAAAGGTTTGGAAACCGAACTCCCTTCCGGCCATGCTTCTAAGGTGCACCAAGGACTATCTCACAAACCCGGTACTGCCGCTGGTCAACCTGCTCATGCAGATTGAGGCGACTCGAGCTCACTTCATGCTGCACAGCATTGGCGCTCATAGGTTTATCTCACAAATCCGGCACTGCCGTTGGTCGACCCCGCGACCAAGGTGGCTCGAGCTCAATCGACAACACAGTCCCGACTCTTTTGGACGATAACCTGGATACCAATATGTGCATTAAATGACGTCGACCTTCCGTCTCTTGATGAGGGCATGATGAAGGTCCCCGGGATCTATATATCCTCCAGCAGAGCCTGGACACGAACGACTATGCAAGCCCAGCATATATAAGGGAATGCACATACGTCGCTTCAGTCACTCCCTTAAGGTGGCTGTTGCGGATACAATAATCAGCTCATATATGAACCATCATCGAAGGAGAGTTGCGGAGCTCGAGGCCTGCGAGGAAGAATCGATGTATTCCCAACTCACTTGCATCTTGCTTCTCCACGGAATACGGTTCTCGATGGCCCAAATAGAAAGGGGTGTCGTTCTAATCTCGCCACCTCATCTCTATAGCACTATGCGCGGCGACAAATGGCCAGCTATAGGCTGTGCTCGGACAGCATCTTCTACCACCAGGGCACGTATTGTGGATGTCTCTGAAACCAGTCACCAAAAAAGGAAATCCTAGCAGTGTCTAAGAGATAGAATTACGCGGTCGGAAATAACGACTTACTGGCCTCCTCTATATTGTATACTCTATCACCAGGGACTGTACTACGATTAGCTTTGATAGCCGTAGAGCCTGTGTGCTGTCCCGCGACACAGTCAAGGAATCACTGTGCGGCTGCACATTTTACCACCAAGGCCCATGGAGCTCAGTATGACCTTGCAACTGAAGAGGCTCTTGTATCTCCCTGGCGCACGATGAAGAGATACCGCGGGAGTTTCCAATGTCCTATTTTCATGGAGGCCTACATATAGCAGGACCGAACATGCCCGGTTCCATCAGCAGTTGACTAGTCCTGCATTCATTCAAGAATCTCTACATATATAGCTGGGTACAACTTATTACCCATGCGTTCAGCAACGCCATTGTGGGATCTCTCACTGCCAGCTACTGGTTACGGCTGTGTGCGAATTGTATATTTTATCAAGGCACATCCTCAGCAGCTCCATGGGCGAAGTCCCTCTCAACTCTTTTGATAGTCGTCTCTTCTTTCGGCTATTCTACGGAGATGTTTGTCCGCTACATGGGTCGTCAACTGCAGCACTGTCGAAACAATACAGACCCTATCTACCACTTCGATAGCTTGTCTTCGTTAGTTGTGCTTAACGAAGACGATATGGACATGCCGGTTGACCATCGTCTGCTCGAAGATGCGGTGATAACACCCATGGTTCGTCCCTGCAAGCCAAAATTCGAATACCAGCACTGGGCATATGCTTGCCAGATTCATAAATTCATGGCTCATGACGAGGATGACGCACTTCATCTAACATGCCTCAGGATGGCCCTCCCAATCTCAGACTATGGAAGCCGAGAGAGCGATCACTTATAGTCTACCAACGGCAACGACAGAGCTAGCTCAGAGGTTCAGGGCGCTTTCAGTATATATACCATCACATATCGGTCGAACAAGGCAGCCGCTCTCAAGTAAAATCTGAATGGCGGTACAGCATAGCTGCAAGCAGAGTTCACAGTCCGACAGAACAAGGCATTGATCCTAGGCAGAGTGGAATAGAGTTGTGGTTTATGAAACAACCGCAGCAATTTCGCTCACAATTCTTGCTCGTTTCAGAAGTGTTGTCCCCAATGCGATGGCCGGATGATCGCGATAACAAAACCACAATGACTCCAGTCCACTCTGCCTGGTGTGTCTTGGGCTCGTAATACGAGTACCCAATTTCTTTCAAAGAAACCATTGGGGCGGGAAGCTTATCTATCGTGGCATGGCTAGCTGCCATACATACCCGGTGAGCAAGATACGAATCATCATTCTTGGTTGAAGGGAGACTCATTACCCTTCTCCTTCATGTCTTCGTCACAAGCAAGATGAGATATCGAACGAGAAAAGACATATATGAAGACTCCGAAATCTTCCGTCGGTCTTTACTGGAGGATGGTGTTAGGGACTTTGCCGACCGGGACTTCGTTATTCAGTAGGCATCTTACCGGTGGCCGAGTCAATCAGAATACTCGCGAGAGGTTCATCGCTTTCAAAACGCTTGAAAAACGGTTCATGAGGTTGCCTCTGCCGCTGTTCTACCCGGTATTGTTGCGGCGCTTGGTAGCTTTCACACTGATCATTCAACAATGCTGGAAAGGGTACAACCGATGCGAAGTCACTCTCGATATTCGGAGACGGCATTGAGACTCTGTATACAATGGCTATGTCTCTATTCAAAGGTATATTGTCCAACGCCCGTTGGTCTGGGAAGACTTGCTCTGGAACCAGTACCTCTCAAACAAAGCACTATTATCACGCTCAACGACCTTCCTAAGGTATGTGTCGTCGGTGTCTGCAAAGGTACATGGACAGGAAGACATAAGCCTCCGGGACTCAAGCTGAGGCAGTGTATCGCTCAACGCCTCAATATCTTGAAAGCCTTGCTCTGCATATTAAAAGGCAGGCAGTATACATTGGACAAAGATCGTTCTCATCATCTACTGCCTTTATTCACACTTGATATGAGTCGTCAGCGACTATAATCATGCGTGAAGCAGAAGGACATAATCCTCCGTTCATTTCATTACTACATATACGAAAAGTCCAGCCATTCTACCAGAGCAACTGCATGATGCAATCATACCAGAAAATGTCTCTTCCATGAAATCGTGAGATGCATGGGGTCCTCCAATCATGATCGATCTGGAGAAAAACTGAGCATGTGACCCAGTCAACAGCCTTGGTCGTTTGCTGGATGTTTTACACCGGCGAGATACTCATTGCATTATCTACTATCCACTGCTTCTGAACAGAGAGTATTGCCCACACGATTGAATCTTTCTTTCTAGAAACAGTCAGTTCACCGAGTACCGAGTTTACCTGCATCATTTCTATCCATATTCGGATGATGAATACCACGCTCCCTACATACAAAATACTGAACCGATGAAGTATACCGACAAAGTCACTTCATACTTCCCAGATTCCCTTGACATTGAGCAAGCGAGCAAGTGAAAATGAATACACTCTCAACACGATCGGAACCCTCTCCCTACCGTCTTTTAATCCCCCAACCCACAATGCAGACAGACATATTTAGAAATTGTTGTTGGAGTTTCCAGACAATACTACTCGGCTCAAATCCACCCAACCCTCTCTTCAGTACATCGTCTACATACATCAAAGAAAATCCCTGCTCAAGTCAAGCCTCTGTACAACCCGGACATCTGAATATAATCTCTACAAGTACGGATGATTTGACGAAGAAACGCCACGATCACATACTTCATCAGAGAAGAGTACTTACTCTTCAGTGGGTGGTCCAGACCTCTCAGAGAGTTGAGAAAAACGCCGTGTGATTGTATGGGCATGTAAAGCAAATCCATCGTATGTATGCCTGCATGCATGTCCGCATGAAATTCGAGCGGCCAAAGATGGCGAGAAAATTAAGACAATTCCCAAGGAATAGAGCATGATTCTTCTGGCCGGGGGCTGAATGTCTACGATGTATGGGATCCTGGAGCTGGCTCTGGGAGAGCAAGCAACTTGAGCTCGCAGCCAGCTGCGAAAACGGATATTATCAGCAAGCGAAGCACTACCATGAGATATACAAGAAGAGGGAGGAATGGGGATAGATGATATTCAAGTCCACGGATGATAATCATCTAAAGAATGGATGATAAGGCGGTCTGGGGTTTGCTATATTCTTCTGGAAGTGACGTGACGTGACTTGCTGGGTGATAGTGGTAGATCATACTGACCGGTCTGACATGGGGTTGGTCTCAGAGAATACGATGGCGATATGGATATTGTATCAGATGCAGCAGGGGTATGGTTATTGCTGACGAGGTGGACAGGTCCCATTGTCTGTCTCAATATTTAGAAATCTGGGTACTGTTGGCTGGCTGTGGTATTGAGTGAATTGATATTGAATACATTACATTAAGGGTTTCTAAACACTCTACCATAGTTATCACCATAGCACATCAAAGGTCCAAGTTTATACAGACTAATGTTTATTCTCTCAGCTTAGACGGACTGAACTGTGTGATAGTCTCATACATGCTTGATCGGACTTTCAATGTTTCATGCGCTGGGAAGATGCAGGGGTTTATATCATTGAAATTGGTCTGAGACACCTCGCGCTACTATAGGTTACGACCATGTTTTATCTGTAGGAAGAAATCAGACACCATCTCATTATATCCAAACTATTTTATCTATCCAGCAAACCAAGGTATCAAGGCTAGACATTGCCCTGCAATGACCCGAAATAAAAAAGTAGAGATAGAGATAGAGAACCAATAAATAAATGAATCAATCAATCATATCTATGCAAAGCCGGCTCAAATGCAACACAAGATCCCGAAATACATAATTCAACGCATCATAACACAAATCAAGTCAAAACCGCTCGGTATATATGTAAATATCAATGTCAAATCTAGAAACTGAACAGACCACTGCGACGCTTGCCGAAGGGATAGACGATCAAGGCAGACACGAACAGTCCCACGGTAATACCAATGGCAACCTGGATCATACCGAAACCCAGACTGGCAATCGACGAGTCTGAAGTGCTGTCGGTCGCTGTCGTATTTCCCGATCGCAAGTTGTCACGCACCTCGTCGGCATACTCGATACCGGCCAGCAAGGAACCACTGGATGCCAAGCCAGACGGCACCAGCACAAAAATACCCGGAAGAATGGCTGTGGCGGCATGTCCGTGCCACAGCCGACTGTACAAATTACCCAAAAGACCGATAGTGAATGCTCCGACCGTGTTGGCCACCTCGGAGTTGGAGCCCAGCTTGAGGGTGCTGAAATAGTTGGTCACGTAGCCGCAGACGGCAATGACGATCATCACAGGCACTTGCTTCCACTTGCCCTGATTGATGATGGCTAAGAAGATCACGTAGATCGGAACGAAGATGAAATGCTGGATATACTTGCTTCCCCACACATCCTCGTTTTTGCAGGTCGTGGACGAGGCCGCGTTGCCGTCAATCAGCCCATAGATGGTAGTGCCGACCGTAATGCCATAACCGAGGAACATGGAGTAGATAATGGAATAGACCATGCGGATTGAACCGGCAATCATCTGATGCGACTGCAGTTCCAGACTGCTGCACAGGACCATGAAACCCGGTAGGATCAAAGCGATCGAGGACTGAGCCAAGGCGGAGAAGCAGAACAGACGCTCATGCGTCCCATCGATGGTGGCATAAATGGAACCAAAGGCTCGCGCGAGGAACGATGTCAAAATGGCTGCCGTGACTTCAAACACGTTGGAGTACAGCACCGACCGGGGCGCCAGCACGTGTTGCATGAAGCCGACCAAGCATCCGAGGAAAAAGATAATAGGCATATCGATGGGGCGGGCGTCAAAGGCAAAAGGGCCGACGGCAACACTCGCCAATCCGTAGGTGACCACCAGGATCCACTTGTTGAACCGTGGAGGCCGCTTCATGATCAGATCAAGCTCCTGAATGGCCTCCTCCACCCCGATCATGTCGTGAACGACGTTCTTGTAGACATTGTGCGTTTCTGCCAAGCGACCCAGATCGACTCCCTGCACCACACGGACCAGCTTGACCTCGGCCGTACGTGTGGCCGGATCGTCAAAGGACATGATCATGCATCCGGGGAGGTACAAGAACTGCCCCTCGACTTCCAGAACACGAGCCGTCATCTGCATGTACTCCTCGAGACGGTGAGTGGGCGCACCATAGCGCATGAGCGCTCGGCAGAGCTGCATGATGTATCGTTGGCGGGCCAGAATCTCAGCAATGTGCACCGTCACGCGGATCTCGTCCTCGAGACGGGTCTTGCGCTTCTTCTTGCCCTTTTTCTTGTTGGGAATGTTCACCAGAGTGTCTGCCGACGCAGGCAAACTCGCCCGGCTGAGGTTCATCGATGCTTCCACCAGGGAAGCGGTGGACTGATGACTCGACTTCTTGTACCACTTGACCTTCTCTTTCTTGGGGGTAGCCGTTCCGGAGGAGAAAGTGCCCGCGGAAAAGTCTCTCCGGGGCGTTGCGGTGCCGGAGGATGCCACGGACTCGTTGTCGGATGAGTCGGTCATGGACATATTGTCCCGGTTGGCCTGCTGCTGGGCGTGTAATTTGAGCAACTGCGAGAGGATACCACCGCCGCCGCGACCACCCGGAGTTCCAGCTCCGTACCACGAGTCCGGACGACCCAGTCCATCGGGCGTCTCCTGTCCCGACTTGGCATAGGCCGACTTGGGCTTCCGGCGTTGATGCATGTTATGTTGGGTCATGCTGCGAACCAGGCGGTGGGCTTCGGCACTCGGCGGGGGAGGTGGCTCGTCATTACCGCCATGGGGAGCAAGAGGCTCCTTCTCATCGCCTCTGCGGCGGGGGGGATAGCCGCCCTCCAGATCATCGGGCAACATGGCGGCACCCAAGTCACCTACATCATCCAGCGGTCGACCGAGGCGTTCGCCCAAGAGCACGGTCTTCTGGCGAAGCAACTTGCTGGCGTTCTTCCAGCGGTCTCTGGCGGAGACGGGTTGTTGCGACTCATCTTTGTCGAGGGAGGTGTCTCGAGATTCATTGGCGGTGGGCGAGGAGCGTTTGTCTGCTTCGTTGCCTTCTCTCTCTTCCGGATCATGTTCCTGCGCATAATCGCGTTCGAAATAGTCGGCCAGATCGGTCGATTGAGCGGTCGTGGGGACGAAGGAATGCACTGAGCGCAGGGAGTATTCGGAATCCCCGCGCGGCATGGGCGGGCGTTCCGGCACCGTCTCATTGTGGTTACTGACGGAGCGAAATCGAACGCGCGCGGGTCTGGTGGTTTCATTGGGGCCGCCTTCTTCTGTTGTTGCAGCCGGAGGTTCGCCTTCAGGATGGGAGGGGGCGGATGGCTCGCCCGAATTGCGCGGGACGAGGGTTTCGTCGTTGCCGTCATTTCCGTCCCAGCTGTTCTGGCGGCCTAGAAGTTCATAGGAGGCATCGTCATGGCGAGGTGACTCCGACATTGGAACAGTCCGAGCAGCCAGCTGCGCGGACAATCAGGATAATGTCAAGCCAAGAAAGGTGTGGAGTGCAGAAAGTAAGGGGGAGGATGGTAAAGTGAGGAATGCGCAATGGATGCTAATGTAGCTGGGGGCGGAAACAAAGAAAGAAAAAAAAAAGAGCAATAAATTCGGAGAGGGTCGGCAATATAAAGCACTTCAGCGAATGAGAGAGGAAGACGGGATAAAGCGATGAATAATAGTGCAAGTGTCAAAAAGGGCGGGTAACCGTGATGGGGAGAGTGGAATGATAGATATGGAGAATGGGAATTACTCTTCCCAGTAGGAGGGAACTGGAGAATTACTCGGAATGGCAGGAGGAAAAGGCGCGACGGGAAGAAAAGGAAAAAAAAAAAAAAGAAAAAGAAAAAGAAAAAGAAAAAGGTGGATAATAGTCAAGCGTGGGTGTGGGTGGAGAGAGCAGCGTGGGAATTCCCAACGGCGTGTACAGGCAAGTCAAGTCCACGGGGAGGGGGAGCCGAACCAAAAATAAGTCTCAGTCTAGACCAACAGCACCAGCTGCGGCAGAAAATCGTAAGTCGGGAAGAGAGGAATGGATGCAATCGGAGATAAACCAAATTAAGTCCACGGCAGACATCCACAGTCGGGATTGAAAGAAAGGAACAATACTGTGTGGGAGAGGAAAAGAAGGGGGGGACCCGTCGGGATGGTGGTTTTAAGCAGAAAACCGGGACATGGACAGGACAGGACATGATGGATGTTGGACGACTCGGCAGCATGACTTCATGGCACATGGGCGTGATTGGCGATCAGAGACAGACAAGACAAGCCGGGCTGGATGGATGCCGGAGAAATTGAATGCAGGATCAGCGCTGCACGATGAAACCCAACTGACAGCTCACCGGCCAATGTTGCAGAACTATTCCTTATCCCTTCTTCTTCTTCCCGACTTGATAACAGGGATCCCTGCTGGTCATCGTCATCTTGTCTTCTCTCCTTGCAGAGAAGTCAGTCAGTCACATTCACCTCACTTGTTCTATGTGACAGCCATAGACCAACTGAGGGATTGTTCAAATGAATGGGTCCAGACTACTTACTAACTTAGTACTCAACTCACACGTTGTGGTACCTGAAGAGGAGACACAAAACCTGGCTGGCCACCCAATACCCTTCCAGTCCCGCCGGGCCGACCAAAAGGAAAGTTTTCACCATTTGCAGACCATTCTTCGTTTTTACTTTATCCGGTCCGCCATTGGTTTGGGCCCCATTCACTGCCAACCACTCAGCGCCTGCGGGGTGGAGCCATGGCGTGGTGGTGGTGGCAACTCGCCAATCATGGCGGCCCAAGGGTGAAAAGGTCGAGGTTTCCAGACTCTCGGTGGAGTCGGGTCAGGGGGGATACTTGAAGTTTGCAACATCATGGCTGCTCCAGACTGTTTGATCTCCCGGTCACTTCTGCTGCTATACTTGGATCCCGTGCTTCGTCCCATCGCGCCCTGGTGTACGTACACCAGATGGCGCATGGCTCGCTTCTCGGCCTTGATCTCCTAACTGGTGGTCATCTCGATCATACATAGATAGATAGATATAGATCGGACCCATTCGTACTACACTTACTATCTGCTGTGTATCCACCGGGATCGCTTGCACGGCCACTCTCAATGCACCGCCCGTGAGATCGGTGCATCGTCCACGACCGCATCGCTTATGGAAGGAATCCAAGCAGTGTCTCGGACCGGGCTTGACCATCCCCAATGCTTCAGATTGCCCATGTTCGATAAAGTTTCATCAACCATGGCCGAGGAGAACTGCCTCGCCATGATTGCAGCCTGCAGTCTCCATTTCCCAGTCGTCTCAGACTCATGCCACTGAAACTGCTGTGTCTCCGTGGCTGAGGCACCAATGTCAAGATAAGAGCTCTTCTTTTCGCAGTCGTCATTGGCGGGACTGACTGACAAGCTGCCGCTAGATCCTACAAGCTCCATTGGCTATGTGGTATTCTGGTTGCTCCCATCCCTGACTGACTCTCAAGACGGGCTGATAGCGCGACAACATCGTAGAAGGCGACGTGGACCATACTCCTGGTCCTGGAATAGCGGGTTACTATGATGGCCCGTATTATAGCTCTCCTTTCTGCACCAGAGTCTGGGGATCCCTCATGGCTGGATGCATATAACTGGTTGTACAATGTCATCAGCGAGGATGACCCCTTTGATAGTATCCTGGGCTTCGATATTGGAGGAGTGCAGGACTCCTTGCTCAAGTACTCCATTGCGTGGTATCGAATATGCGATTCCACCTAGACAACGTGAGTAGCACATAGCAATTGCCTCCCGAGCAACAGCAATCAGAAAGCCATCACTTTCCTGACATCCGCGATTTGCCTAATCCTTGTAGAAGAAGCCCCCCGTAATGACACCATGCACACCCATTCTGAGTTCATGCAAGCCACTCCAACATCCCACCCCCTGTACCGGCTCGGGGGATTCCCACGTAGTACATACACAAGCATGCAATCCAAGACGGCTATCGGTTCTTATTGCAACACCCGCGTATGTATATATCAACGCAGTACAATGCTGATGTCGATGCTAATTCCGCTGCATACCTCCTTTCTTTCCATCGGTACCCCATGACTAGTATGACTATGACTACTGTCCCCGCCGCTGAACCCTCTCCGACCGCCCCCGGAATCACTCGGCAATTTTTCCCCATCCCGACCATGATGCCATGCATGGCACAGTATTGTTGTAGGTCAACATCAATTCGGCCCTGCTGACTAGTAGCTATAATAAACATGTCTGCAGAGTTAATGTTCATGGAGGGGTCCTTTCTTGCGGAAGACATCGTGTTGCTCTTTGATATACCGTCCTTCGATACTATGATCCGAGGACGAGGATGAGGTCGTGGTGGGATTAGTACATCCATTCGCCGTCAACTATATACTAGTACTACTGCTAAGTACTGGTACCTACAACCTAAGTAGTTGCACAACACTCAGTGCCTGAGTCGCTGCTCTTCTTACCATTCCTTGGGAGAGAAAAATTACCCCTGATGACCCGATTACTGGGTACGGCCTTGACTTGACTCATACGTTGCAGTGGAGCTACGCAGTTGGATTCTGAAGAACCTCGACAAGTGCCGTGTCCATTCTCGAGATTCTAGCGAGTAGGTCATGGATGCACCTGGCGGGGAAGGTCACGGAAAAAGTTGACTTTGATTAAAATTAAATAGGAGTAAGTCGAGTCTGAAGCATGCCCTCACTATCATTGGCTTATTATCTTGGAACTATGCCGTGGGAGATACGGGAAATTGGATGGAATAATGAACACTGACTCTTTTAATTAAATGAGATTCCAAATCTAGCTAGCTAACAGTCATTCCATCTAATATTAAACAATAACCATCCGTCCACATGCAGCGTTACACATCGACACGTATTCATCTATCGAGCAAAACCAAGAATCGAGATCAAGATCAAAGTCAATGTTTTAGTAGTAAATAGGACAGATCAACTCCACAGTGCGTGCAAGACAAAGGTGGGGGGAGTCTGATCCTCAGAACGAAATGAAGAAAGAAGAAAAGGGTGCAAATGTGCAAATGCTTGACACAGATGATGCTGCCCAGATTAACAGTCAATGAGAAGAATAATCCTCAAGAAAGAAAAAAATAAGTGGAGAGAAGAAGAGAAGAAATGGTGTATCGGTCTATATGCAAGACAGAGGGGGTAATGTAAGTAAGCAAAGGGGTATGTATGTATGCAAATGTACGTCTATAATAGTCGACCAGTCATCTTTGGACTAGCCGAATGCCAATAGAAAGAACTCTACTCAGCCTGCTTCGACGCCTTGGTCCTCAACTTCATCAGCACATACACCAAGGCATATGAACTAATCGCGAACAAAGCGACGATCGCGGCATCTCTCCACCCGTAGTAGTAATCCTTCAGGTTGATGGTATACAGGTAATCGCTTCCGCGGGTGTACTCGCAGACGTGGCAGTCAGCCGTGGCATCCGGGTTGATGAGATTCATGCGTGCGCCGGCGCCCATCATGTAATCCTGAAGGTACTGAGCGCAGGTCGAGCCGTTGGGAGGATCGAAGATGGCGAATTCGGATTCCTTGCAGCGGACGGGTGTGTCAAAGGTGGTGAAGACCAAGAGACTGCCCATCAGATAGTTGAAGGGGTCGAGGTAGTAGATCCAGTAGCGCCAGAATTCTTGGATCTGGGTGTAGGGGACTAGGACACCACAGAAGGAGGCGAGGGTTCCGATGATGACCGGGTTGATGAGCGAGGCGAAGATGGCGTTGGGAGCGTACGCGGAGACGAATTGACCAATACCCGTGTAGACAAACTCGTACATCAGCATGACGAAGAAGACGGCGCCGGATTTGTTGCTATCCGAGGGAAAGCCGACGGTGTAGTACCAGCAGGCGAAGTAGAGGACGGCGCAGATACAGAGATAGGGGAGTTCGGAGACGATAAGGCCAGTCACAAAGGCAATCCAGGAGTACATTTTGGATTTCTTTTCACGAGCGTCATAGATGTCGCGGCGTTCCAGGAAAAGGGGCTGCAGTTGGTTGATAACACCAGGGGCGACGAAGATAAAGTTGAAGATGGTGAAGAGACGGAGTTGGAGAGCACCGACATGGTTGCCAATCATCCAGAAGGAGAAGCCGTTGAAGAGGGCCGAGCCGACGTGGAGGGCCAGCTTGTTGTTCACGTAGTCGGTGTTACGGAAGACGGCGACACAGGAGCGCTTGGTCACGATGAGGGTTTGCTGCCAGAGGGGCATGGCGAATTCGTTGCCGTCGTCGACGGTGCCAGGGGGCTTAGAGGCGGCGTCGTCAACGATGGAGTCGAGTTCCTTGAGGGAGTTGGTGTGCTCGGGGGAATCCTTCCAGACTTGATGCCAGTCGCGACCTTGGGAGAGCGCGCCAGAGACCACGTCAATCATGTGCTCGGCCGGGTTGGTTTCTGCGGGACAGGGGGCGCCGTAGCGAGCAAAGTAGTCCTTGACAGTTTGGCCGTTGTCACCAATGTCACCGAAGTAGACCATCTTTCCACCCTTGGCGAGGAGGAGTAGGGTGTCGAATTCAGCGAAGAGTTGCGCAGAGGGCTGGTGGATGGTGACGAGCACAGCTTGGCCGACGTCGGCGAGCTTGCGCAAGAAACGGACAGTGTTGTAAGCAGACTGGCCATCAAGACCGGAGGTGGGTTCGTCCAGGAAGATGAGAATGCTGGGCTTCGAGACCAACTCGACACCGATGGTGACACGCTTGCGTTGTTCAACGCTCAGTCCGTTTCCGACGCGACCAATAAGGGTATCGGCGATATCATGCAGTTCAAGGAGTTCAATGATGGTATCAACGTACTTGAGCTTCTCCTCAGCAGGCACATGGCGAGGCTGGCGGAGCAGGGCGGAGAATTCCAAGGCCTCACGGACAGTGGCAAAAGGCTCGTGGACATCAAGTTGTTCACAGTAACCGGCAGAGCGCTGGAAGGAAACGGGCAGAGGACGACCGTCAACGAGGACGGAGCCATGAATGGTACCCTCAGTCTTGCGCTGAGCCAACACATCCAGGAGAGTGGTTTTACCAGCACCGGAGGAACCCATCAGGGCACCCAGCATGCCAGGCTTCACCCATCCGTATACCTTGTCGAGGAGCACGCGATCGCCACTAGGGGTCTTAACCGTGTAGGTGAGATCCTTCCAGGTGAAAACAGAGGTGTTTTTGACAAGCTGCTTGTCAAGGTCGCTTTCACTCTGGCAATTGTCACCATGGGGCTTCTTGGCTTTCTCGTCGACCTGGGATTCCTCGTCGGGGCGGGCAACCTGGCGATGGGCATCGACCCTTTCGCGTGGGATGAGAAGGGAGGAACCGCTCTCACCGGGAGACTTCCAGCGGGACGTCGCGATGATAGTGGCGGCAGCAAAGAGAGCCCACCAAGCCCAGAGGATACCAAAGTTGCGCCAGACATGGGTATGGCTGTAGGACAGGGAAGCCAGGTACTGATCGCCAGTGACATAGGTGCTTCCGGGGATGGCACCACCAACACCGGCGCATGATTGATGTCCGTCTCCACTGTAGCCCTCTCCACTGGGAATGAGGTTGGTCCCCACACAAGGAATGATTTTTCCGTGGAATTCGTTGGAGAGCAGCGCATCGAAACCGTAGGCCATGGGGTTGATCCAGTAAATCCAGCCGAACCAAGGGTGCATCTGGGGCTTCTTAATCATGTAACCGGTGTACATAATCAGAGCCGAGATGAGGAAACCAGAAACCTTGGAGGCGCCATCGAACGTGCTGAAAAGCGCGCCAACCGCGCGGAACAGTGCTGTCATGGCCTATGCGAGACGTCAGTACAAATCCGGGCAACAAGTGGATATTCACGTTAACTCACCATAGTTGCAGTGAAGACAAGGATCCAGTAGGTAAAGAAAGCGCTGGCGGACATGGTGAGGCCAACCATGAAGTAAACCACAATAGAGAATATGCTGATTTGGAACAAGAGGACCGGGATATCGGCAGTAATCTGAGCGATACAAAAGGCGGCAGGGTGGAAGTATGCGAAGCCTTTGTGTTTGACCAGAACCGGGCGACCGCTGAAAGAGTCGGTGACTTCGGACATGGCCAGAAGACTGTTGTAGAGCAGGGAGAAGAACAGAGCACCGGACTTGACAAACAAACCACCCGAGTTATTAGGGGCATTGTAGAACAGTGAACCAGCAATCAACGCCTGAACCAGGGTAGAGATCTGCTTGATGAAGAAGGTGGCCTTGTCACCCCAGATGATTTGGTACTGGCGGATAATGCAGGTCTTGACCTGGTCAAGGAAGTCAACCGTCAAGGGACTTGTCTTGGGAAGTTTCTTATTCTTCTCTTGGGTAACGGATTCCTTGAATTCGGCAGTGCGCTGGCGTGCCAGATCGGTGTCGGGATAATCGTATTCAGAGGTCATTTGCGTATAGATAGGCGACTTCTGGTACTCAGCGAGAATCATGTCCGCGTTACGAGGGAAGCGGTTTTCGTAGCCTGGTCTGATAATGCGTTCAGTGGGGACCGTGACACCGGTAAGGTAATCAGCGACGTTGGAACCCTCGCGACAAACAAAGCCCAGATCCTCCATGAAGGGACGCGCCTGGGTCATGGGGCCGTAGTAGATTTCTTTGCCTTCATCCAACACGAGCACCTTGTCGAACAGGTCGTAGATACCGTTTCCGGCCTGGTAGAGGGTGACAATGGAAGACAGACCCAACACATCTGTCATGGCACGAACAGCCTTGGCCCATTCGAGGGCCGTGCTGGCATCCAAACCTCGCGTGCTGTTATCCCAGCAGAAAACGGAACCACGAGTCGCAAGACACTCGATAATGGAGACACGCTTACGCTCACCACCCGAGACACCACGCACGTATTCATTGCCCACCTTGGTATCGTTTGTATGCGAGATGCCCATGGATTCGAGAAGGAAGTTCTTGGCTTCCTGGCGGTAGGCTTCGGGGGACTCGACGCCGTTGGGCAGGTTGAAGGGAATCTTAAGACGAGTCGCAAAATCCATAGTCTGGCCCACGGTCAAGGTGGGGAAGAAAATCTCCTCCTCGGTGTTCATGACAATTTGGCCGCGGTACTGGGCTGCCTCGTCAGATGTCAAGGATCCAAAGTGAACATCTCCTTCAATCGACTTGTAACCGAGGCGTCGATTGGACAGCATCTTCAATAGGGTGGTGCAACCGGAGCCGGGCCGACCCAAAACCAAAAGCATCTCTCCGGGCTTGACACAGCCATGGCTGTTGGTAAGGATGGAACGCAACGGCGGCTTGTTCTTGGACTCCTTGATGTGCTGAGGGATGTTGAACTGGGACAGGAAATTCTCGTTGACGGCGGCCTCGGCGCTGACGACTTCGACGGAGAGGTTCTTCCAGGTGACACCGAGTTCCTTGCGTTTGAAGCCGGATTGCATGTCCCGCTCATTTTGCTGCTTGACCTGGGACATCATGGCCCAGCCATCGGCACGACTGGCACCGGCGTTGCGAGGGGTGACGGTGGGATCTTCATCGAGGACGGTAGCGGTGCTGTCGGTATCTTCCTTGCCTTCGGGAACCCCGAGGGTGTAGGAGACTTTCTCCTGATCCTCCGCCATGGTGGGCTTCAATGAGGGATGACTTGACGATGCTGTGAAAGTCAAGGGTCACCCTGTCGATCGGGAGTAGGGATGGTCATTTCGACCGGGGGCATTTTGGGGGAGCGAGAAGCTCATATACTCCTACCAGGCAGCTGGGGGAGTCGGTGGGGGCCCTCCAAAAAACTTCCCTCAGGGATTCGGGATCCAGGCCAATTCCGAGATCCACCGGACACTTCGGGTGTGTGAAAAGCTCCGCTGAGTCAGGAGGATTCCGATTTAGTTATCAGGCCGTCCAGGTACAGGGACACGTAAGGAAAGGCGATTATTTTGGACTAGTGGAATGTAAGAGATAGTTTGCAGCCTGCCATTATGGGGACCGGGGATCGGTTCCGTGGCTTCTGCAAGCAGAATCTGTTTACTTTTTTTTTTCCCTTATTATCGTGGCGCGGGCCACTTCCGCTGATTTTTCCTCTTTTGTGCAATCTTAGTGGGCCTTTCGGGTAAATCCAGGCCCATGAGTGGCTCTCTGTCAATCTCTGTGTCCAATCAGGCTTGACAACTGTCAGGTCGGCGCGACCAAGCGGCCGAACCTCCGCTCGGCGGAATTCTGTCTCTCTTTTTCCTCTGAGTCAGCGGATTAAACAGGGTAAGAAGTGTGCCTATTGGTGCATTACTTCAGTCCTGCTTGCCTTGTCACCTCTCCGCTGACTCAGCGGAACTGTGCGGCTCTCCTAACCACGATCCCCTGCCGTTTCGGCCTTTGGAGCTTTTTCGTCTCACGGATCCTAGTGGCGCCTGCGATCCATTGCCTTGTTCCAGAACGTTTGGGCATGGAACGTGTCTCATCGTCCGGCAAGCTTGGAGCTTGGAGCTTGGACTTTCAGGGTCGACGATGTGCTGTGGGACTAGAGATGAAGATAGACAGCAAGTACATTCATTTTCCGATATCCCCAAAGCACTCATCCTTGGATTACCTCTTGAACAAGATCTACATTACTACGGAGTACTGTCTACTAACACAGACCCTGGGGATAGTTTTCGAACATCGATCCCGGTCTGCCTGAGATGCAGAGTGCGTGGAAACGAGTGAGCTATAACATCAACTCGCTCTAAAATCTCACCGGCCGTATTCACATGCAGCCGCCCAGCAGCCATACATGCTGTGTACATCTTCCTACTTGGCAATCACCATCCAGACACCTTGTCTCGTCAATCAATCGATTACCATATCAGTAATCACATCAGATTAACATACCGAATCCTTGCAATGACACAATTGTCCATCCTCAAAATAGTATACCAAGCGGTCAATCATGGATCATCAACCTGACACGAGGAACGCCACCAAAGTCAACCACTAACCTAACTCATTGTTCGAAACTCTTTCACATTAATAATATTGACTCCGAGCCTCGCTCATACTAGCCGCCGAGATGCCGATCTCCCTCGGGATTTTCCTTCAGTTTCTTATCTCCGGCCACAGTTCCTCTACCTCAGGTGTGGATCTATATCCGTTCGGGTGGTGGTCGCGACCTGCAGCCTGCGGCAGAGAGGGTGTGATGACCCTGTCCTGTCCTGTCCCGGCTGTCCCTCTCCTGTCCAGCCTACCGATCGGGCCCGGAAGCGGCCCGATCAGCCTTAACGTGACTGTTTACTACGGTCGCAAACTGAACCTTAGACAGCTAGTCACTCGACAGTTAGTAGTCGTTCGTGCGCAGCACAGGATAAACTTATGGAATGTATGATGAACATGGGTAAGAGGTGTTTATCTTTATCGCGAAATATTGTTACACTTGATTGGTTGCCTTAGCTGCCTCAGCTTACTGAGCTGAACGGTACGGAATTTCTATAGCATCTTATTCCGAACGCACGAAGGTGCATACTTCGTAAGTGGGCAGATGGAAATTGGCATGAATTTGGTGTTCTTGCTATATGTAATCTATTTATGATACCTATCATTGTCCCCTATGGAAGCTGTGCTGGGTACTCTATACCTGCCATTCAGTGAGTGCACCCCGACCGTGCTCATTATACAGTCAGTCAGTAGTTGTTCCTGGCGGTGGTAGTAAATGGAACCTTATACGACACCGACAGGCTTCAGATATAGCAGGCTTATTTTAATGTGTTCACTAACTAGTCCTACCGCTAGCACGTACAACTGAATCACTCTTAAAATTGCTTTTTGTGTGTAGCCTTTGAATAAGAGGATAATAATGACATGTCTCATTCACACCATAACCTTGGTCCGTTGACCACATCCCACATACTACCAGTAGTAATACTTATATACATACAAATCCAGTTCAATCTAGTTCAATCCCTCCATATCGCAATCCCCCTACTGTCATCATCATAAGATCCTGCTTGACAATCCGGCGGGGGTTTTTGTATGGGGTGGTCTGATAGCAGTTGACTTCACTAGGAAACCAACTCATCGTGACCGCTGGGTGTTTGCTAAAGTAGAGGAACGGGAACCATCAAGGTTCCATCGAAAGCGAAAATGAAAACAAGGACGAAAAGCCGATGAAACAGAGCTCAAGTCATCTAGTAATAGCTCGTGGGACCCTGCTTTCTACCGAGAAATTGGCTGCAACGGACAAAACCAGTCAGTGGAATGTTCATGTTTGTTCCTACCAGCAGGATAACTCACAGATATTGGTCCAATTCATCTAGATGACGACGGTGTTCGAGCATCTTCTGCCGCACCATCTGGTATGTCTCGGGCTGTTCAGGTTGCGTCTGCGTTGGCTGGGTCCTGACAAAGTATCGCTCGCTGGTGGCTTCACGGCGGGTGATTGGCTCTTTGCTGCATGTGAAAGTGACGGTTAGCTTCGGGTGTTACTAGTCATGGTGGTGCTGTTTGCAACCATTGCAGTGATGTTTGAAGAGAGAGGAGTGGATCACAGTACTCCGAAACAGTCCATGACGTCATTGCAACAGGGCCCGGCAGTGGTCCCGTTCCCCCCACGGCAGTCTCCGAAAGGGGAACATAACCAATACAGGAGATGGATGGATAGCAGTCAGGTTCACACTTACTCGGCCAGATATCCACAAGGCTTGGGGTTGATCACTTGTCCTTCGCGTCGAGCTGGGATGGCAATTGAGAATGACCGCACGTTGCTGGAACTGCGGACAAGAGGACGCGACATTTGGCTGAGAGGCGACATGATGACGGTATAGTATAGATTGATGGGTATCTCTTCGCACTGATGCAAAGCACAGGTGTGGTTGGAATGAGTGACCGTTGCGGTAGAATCGAAATGTGAGTTCTAAGCCGTCTATTTGAGCAGTAATAGCGTTATACAATGGGATGAACGAGCCATGAACAATTGGGTGACTGGTCGATTATATACAACGACTAGATTGTCCCGTGAACGTCATGTGACTGGGATGCCCTCTCAATCCGGCGATGCTGAAACCAAAGTTCTCATTAATGCAGCAACTCAGCTTCCCATTTTCAGGCGAACCAAATTGTTTGCCCTGAGACCAATCTTCCATCTCCCCTCCAACAACGGACCAGTGTCGTCCGCCACCGCCACGATCGACGAATCCCCGGATCGGCATCATTCTCATCCCCCGGCCGTGACGGCCCCGCGCCAGACAAGTGATGGTCATTGCTTTGCATCATTGGACAGGAAGAGAAAGGCCCGGCGACGCAAGGGATGGACTCACACTTCCTTCCCTTCCTATTGCCCTTCCACAATTTACTACCGCCACTGGCGGGATTGGGTGGTGCTCTGTTTACCAACCATGTGGTATGATATCATCTGCGGGGATGGACATGCCAATCTTTGCGAAGACGGACCTATGGTTGAGCTGTGTCACTCCTGCGCTGCTGCAACTCTGCCAGGACACCTCTGCTCCGGCCAATGACAGTCCACATTGCCACGACAAATGATTGCCGGTCGCTGGCAGGCATTTCCCGCTGCACCAGAACAGCCAGCTTGGACCAATGTTCTAGCCGGTGGCACGGAAGGTATACGAAGGTAGTATGCGAATCTGCAACATCCTCGCTATCTGTCCTACCCTGCCAAAAAGGCCTCGGTGGTAATCCTGCATACCACCAACGCAATGGTACTAAATACCTCACCCAGCTTTAAATTCCTGGTTACACGTCCAATAACACCTCTTCTCAAGCTGCTTCTCTGTGCTCAAGTTTGGCTGATGGGAATGTGACAATCGACGTCATTTTGCTTTCGATCCCGTCCACCAGCAGCCACATGGTTATGAAAGAGCGGGTTCCAAACTCCTGCCCGCCAGTCCATGAGCAAGAAAAGTTCCAGAACCGCAATACCAAGGGAAGGTCATCCGAAGAGTACTCATGTTTTTGCTTTCTCTGCTACAGCGTATCAGGAGAATACCCAAGTTACCTAAATTGGTACTGGCAAACTCAGGTGCTAATCCACCACTTGTATCGCAGGATACGTACATGGACAGCGTCACACTTTGCCTTCAACATTGCCTGAAGGCGCGCTTTGAATTAAGATGACGGCGGGCGGCTACTACCGGGGTATCCTCGGGCGGGCCACTGCCGGGACTAGCCCGTGCTGTAGCAAGTATGCATGGTAGAGGGGTTTCTTCTCAATTCTGATGTATACTACATACAACTACCTACACAGTAAATAAAATAATCGGTGCTATAATGCTGAGAATTGAGTTATTTTTGTTTTGGAATTATGATCATCATCACCATACTGGTGCCAAGCTCAAACTGCCTTAATACTACTACAATGTGTACTAGTATCCTCATGAATATATACTATGAACACACTGCGATAATCATTTGTTGAGCATTGACCAACCTCCATCAGACTAGTACACTTGAATGATTGATATTAGCAGTAGTACTAGTAGCCAGTTTTTATAAGAAAACAACCAATATTATCAATCGTCTCCCCTATTATGAGACCTGCCATCCATCATCTTCTACCCTTAACCAACAGCAGTACTCTCCCACGTCGGTAGCGTCCTAGTTTGACTTATTCGTCCCAGGTCAGTTATAAATGCGGGAATATAATATCTTATGGACTCCATTATAGCTTGCCAATTTGCAATGAAGCAGTGCTGTCTGTCTGGTGACACTGTATGATTCGTTATGAATGGTTGTGCGCGGATATGTGCATGGTTAGTCATTTAATTTTACTGTGCATATGTGACTAATACAGTGTTATACACTGCATAAGCATGATAGTAATCTACTATTATTTGTAGCAAAACTGCACTTGACTTTAGTGGCAGTAAATCATTGGGAATAATTATTCATGTGCTCATTATCAACAGCTGGAATAAACATGCTGTAAACCGATCAACGAGTCCACTATGTACCTGTACCCTCCCTGCCAGGCTGCCTGCCTGCCTAGCAAGGGATGAACGAGAATGGCCATAAATATCTCTATCTACCCTCTTCCGGTATCTTCTCTCAAACAAAAACACAACTTCTCAACCAGCAACTTGACCATCCACAGGACCTCCTTGTTTCTTTCAGTTGTCGACTGATTCACAGAAATCACCTCTCTGATCATCTGCTGACGATGACTCTCAGCCACAAGCACTTCTCCGTCGTCTGCATCAACACGGAGCAGAGACACAATACGTGCCCATTCACAATGTAGATCGATGTCTCTGCTGTCATCCTTAAGGATGTCCACAAGAGTCTTGATTTCATCGCTGAGGTGGAGTCTGTGTTCTGCAGCACCGACGTGATTATCTGGGCGCTGCCTCTCAAGTGGCAGACTCAGTGGGCAGTACTGTCTCTCTTTGTCGATATCCACATCACCACCTAACACCCTCACATCTGTCCCTCCCCCAGCAGAAGCAGGCAAATCCAGTCCCCTCCCATCCAGAAACGCACCTACACGTCCTACACAATACCCCCACGAAACCCCCTTCCCAACCCTCCCTACAAAATAAACCACCGTATGAAACCCCACCTGACCAACAACCCCAAACAACGTCGTCATAACCGGCACAGCCAGCAGCGCCCAAAACACAAAGAAAGACTTTCCCAGATTACTCGTTGGATAAATATCCCCGTATCCGATCGTCGTCAGCGACACGAACGTGAAATACAGCGACTCAAAATACGTCCATCCCTGGTCTCGCTCGGAGGACTTGAAGACGCGGGCGCTGACGAGCCAAAGGAGGAGCCATGCGCACGAGGAGAAGATGAATACGATCCAGCGGTGGCGGCGCTGCCAGTGGGATTTAATTTCTCTAATCTTGATGATATCGCGATGTGGTGATTTGTGGAGATGAATACCTTCTTGTTCGAGCTCAAACTTCAGGAGCAGATCGCTCATCTTCCTTGAGAAGGAGGCGATTGAACTGACGAATAATCCTAGACAGGTGATGCCCCCCGTCGCGTAGGGAATGAGGAGACTTCGGCCGAGATGGGTCTTCGGGACGATGTTGCCGATTCCGATTGTGAGCATGGTGTATGCGGACCAGTATAGTGCATCTGTCAGGGACCATCCTTCAATGGGGATGTAGATGGATGCGCCACCGAGGAGGAATGCGGCGAGGGTGAAGGCGCGGAGCACGATGCTTGTGTTTTCGATTATGCGGCGGTCTTGCATGCTTAGGTGGATGGTGCGGATGCTGCATGCGTATATTGCTAGGAGCGCTGCGATGAAGAGGTAGAGACTGGCGGCGAAGATGCCGTAGTAGAAGTTCTGCGTGTAGTGCCATGTTTGGGGAGCGATGGGGGGTGGTTGGTGCACGGTCACGCCGACAAGACTAAAGAGGAGCATTGAAGATACGAAGTATAGTAAAGCTGTGCCAAGATACCCTCTCACTGCATTCCATTTGAGCATCATGATAAGAAGGAGCGTAAGGTCAGCTGTGGCGGCGAGTGCGAGCGATATAGCCTTGATAGCCACGGCCCTACAGGATATTTAGATGCGATGATCAACAATCAAAGGCTGGAGTATATTGGAAATGAAAACTCACCAAGCACTCTGCACTACTACCACACTTCCCACCCCCGAAGAACCAACTTCCAGCCATCCATAGCCAACTGCACAAATACCGAACATAGTTGCCATAGCGCTAATAGTTCCCTGGACATGCTTAGCAATGGTTGTCAATGATCAATCCCATGGAGACAAGAGAAATATACCGCCAGAACCGGGAAGCTGGTACACGCGAGCCACCAGCGAGACATTTCGACCGAGTAATTCTACCTGGGTAGCAAATATCGTACAGCCTGTAGTCCGAGATTTGAAAAATGCAGTGATATGATTTGTTCTGCATATGAAGTCGGGATACGAGGTTGACTTCACGGGGACCATCAGATTCCCGGTCAACTCATACATTGACTTAGCTTCACCGGAGGGAAATCGATCGAGGTGAATGTTATTAGCACCGCATTCCCGTAATTGTACGTGGGTTATCGTGTACTGATGACGATAACTTCTATACACTACTACGTGCTGCCATTTGTGAGTTGGTTGTGAAGCTCTGGTGTGAAGCTTTGGTGTGAATTGAGTGGGTGTTAACATGTATTGTGAACGAATCAACAGAAGAACTACTGAATTGCTTGCAGATTCTCAAGTTACATATCGGAACCCCTTCTGGAGCCGGCGGGCGGCAGCGATGTCGATGCCTTCTACATCTGCCGTCTTCTGTAGTCGACGAAGCTCTTTGTCTGTTAGAATGGCATCTTCATCCTCCAGGCGTGCTAGTCGCTTGTTTTGCGATCGTAGATGGAAGTACAGGAACGTCGCCATTATAGTGCCTAGAACCTGCATTCCGATACACACCCCCAAGGCCGTGTAGTAATACGGAGCCTCCTTTTCCAGATAAGTATACGGAGTCCAGATACTGGCCGAGTTTCCCAGAGAGTTGATGAACGCATACGCAGCAGCGCGTTTGGCGGGAGGTCGGGGAATCGCATTCGCGATCCACGAGTATATCGTGCCGTTCTGGGCAAAGACGAAGACCATGAGGAAGAATGAGAAATATCGTGGCCCGAAGGAGTGGGTGGTCATGAAGATAATAAACCCCACGATGGTGATGGGGATGGGGCCGACAAAGAACCAGTATCGATGAGCGAAACGATCGGAGAGATAGGAGTGGAAGAGACTGTATACCACCATGAATATGTATGGTGGTGCTACTAAAAGTAGAGAGATGATATGGTTATACCCCAGGGTCTCTGTCAAAGTTGGAAAGAAGTTCTGGAAGCCACTTGCGGCGGTGAGAGACATGTACGCAATGGCCAGGGCATAGGTCTTGACGTCGGTAAAGGCTAGCTTCAGCCCTTTGATTTGGGTCATCTTGTCGCCGTCGTCGACATCCGCTTCGGCTGCCTCAATGGCCAAGCGACGATTGGCGACATGCTTCATCTCCGGCGACAACAGTTTCCAGGTATCGGGAAAGTCGGGTAGCACAGCGCAGATGGCCAGACCGATGGCGACGGTGATGGTGCCCTCGATAATGTATAACCATTGCCAGGCTGACATGCCTCTCTTTCCGGCAAGACCATTAAGGATACCCGCAGCAATCAGGTTTCCAAAGGCACCGCTGAGCAATGAGCCGGAATAGAAGATACTCATGCGAAGGGCCAACTCTTTCTTGGTGTACCATTTCGAGAGGTAAAATAAAACTCCTGCAAAGAATGGTGCCTCGACCAAGCCGAGAATGAATCGACATGCCACGATGCCACCGTAGCTAGAGACCTGGCTGGTTAGGGCCGAGACGAGGCCCCACGCTGTGGTGAAGAAACCAAGGTATAGTGAAGGACGGCCCATGTAGTTGAGAAGCAGGTTCGATGGGACCTGCATCAGGATATAGCCCACAAATAGAATGGACAGTCCTGTCTCGTATTTGGCTTCATCGAGGGAAAGGTCCTGTTCCAATCCTTGAAGCTTCGCAGCAGCGTAATTATTTCTATTACGAATGACGGAGGGACGTTAGCACAACGCATTTCATAGCCATTCAATGCCAAGAAACTGTGAAGCGTACCGGTCGATGTAATTCATCAGATAAACAAGAATTACCAACGGCATGATGAGGGTATCGATCCGCCGCCGCAATTGCCTTTCTAAGACTTTCTCCTCCGGCGTCAACTGTGCCAAATGGGCAACCTCCTCATGAGAAATCTCAGCCTTTTCGCCCATGGCGTCATGGTCGGTGATGATTTTCTCCGCCATGATGAGGCTTCTAAGAGGCGAGTCAAGATGCAGGGAGAGACAGGATGCACGAATAATCTATTGCGACTTCATCATGAATGGAAGGAAAGCTTCAGCTATATATGCCCCAAGAATGCGAAGGAAAGCTTGATGCTTGTTACGGTGTGATTGAGCTTCAGAAAACACATGCGAAGAGTGATGCCCTCTGCAAATCCGGGGGAGGGGCAGGCGTGGGGGAAACTTTCCGCCCAGCTTGGGCCATCCAGACTCCTGGTTGGACGCACGAAGGTACCGGAGAGCATCACAAATGCGGGGAAGACAATTAGAATTCGAACCAGAAGCTACTCGGCTGATTCTCACCCCCACGCCGCTAACCACCAGCCGTGCTATTCTTCTTCATCCATCGTGCGACAGAAGCTCTGGGGTCGGACATGGTCCGGGGAAGTGGAGCTGATCGACTCATTGGTGTCTCTCAGGCCTCCCCTGACGCTTCGTATCTTTGATCCTATAACACGGATATGGAATGGTTCTGGGAAAGTTTGTTTTACATCCCCGCCTTCAGCAGCGAATTGACGCATACTTGGCGGTTCCCCAAGTCGCTGGGATCCACTGTCCATGGCTCCATCATCGGGGGGAATACTAATCATTTGTTTCGCAACTTGCATCCTCGCTGTACACAAGGTCCGCTCGTGGAGAAATGCATTTCTGGTCATTTCAGGCAAAATGAATGCTGAGCTCCCGTGTCTGTTCCCATCAGGGAAGGCGAGGATTGGCTCGCAGAACTTCCGTGCAGCTCCACGTTCTGGGGTTAATGTCGGTGATCTTCCTGCCAGCAGGTCAGCTTCACAGCTCTTGATGTCGTCACACCCTGCAAGTTACATCTGTCCCGTTCCCCCCATCGGCATATTCTTCTTGAAAAGTCGTTAGTGACTTGCCGGTCCATGCAGGTGACCTGACTATTTCATCGCACGGAGAAGCCGAGGAAAGTTCAAATCTGCTTATGGCTCTGGCTTGGCCTTGAGGGGCTCAGGTGATCATCAGTCAGGTGATCGAGGCACGTGTCGACTAGGGTTTCCTGGCTGGTTTCATCCTGGCGTTGGCGTTCTTGTTCAACACGTTGGAACATTTCCTCTGAATTGATTCCAACAAGTTAAACATTGCGTTTGCAGCACACTTGTATTAGGAAGTTCTTCGTTGCCTCCTTTGTCCTTAGTGGTTCGTGGGTGCTATATTTCACGAATATATATCCTACCACTACTGGCAGTAGTCCTTCTCAACATCATGCGTTCTTCATGAAGCCGACGATGTTTTCATTTACAATCATAACTGAATATCATTCCAAATAGAGCCAACCACTTGATCAATTATTATATGTTTTCTGTCAGTGCTACTATTTATGCTTCCTGGATGACGCTAACCAGAACCCGCCGATCGGCCTGATTGGTGCCTCAGGCTGGATACTGTTTCCCAGTTGGCAATTATCCACTGGTCTCTCCTTTCCCCAACATCAATTAATTGGTTACCAATGAAAGCGATTGTGCTTGGTTCCATTCTTCTTCTTCCGCCCTTGATGTTCCGTGGCAACTCTGGAAGCTGTCTATTCGCGCTATGCCCGACTCACCGGGGAACCCCAACGGTGATCTTGCGAAGAGCGCTGGAACTGGAAGGCGACTAACGAAGTCCTCCACCGAACCCACTTCTGCGGCCGCCGTCGCCTCAAGCGCAGCTCGTTATTGGTCTCCTCAAGCCACAGCCAGCAACGGTTGTCGCGGGGCTCAGCGTAAGCGAAGGTGGGAATTTCGGAGGAATTCGGTCATGTCCTGCTCAGATCTTGCTGGTCGTGATCTCGCCGTGCTGTTGGCCCCGTATCCGCTCAAGCTTGACGTCGACCTTCCCCTATCGTGACATCGTGGCCTGGTACGACTGGAGCTCGTTGTCTAGGCTTGCCGCACATGGCCGCCCACGATTCGCAGCCAATCTTGGTCTCCGATCACCTCCGGAGTAAGCCCGCCCTTACGTCGGCTCAATTGACCCGTCAATTGCGATCCTGCAAGGCCTGCCGGTTCCGGAAAGTCAAGGTGCGTGCCGACCCGATACTAAGGTGTGGGCATGGGTCTCCGTTATGGGGGAATAGAACAAGACAGTCGTGCAGGCGAATAGGATGATGGAGCAAACAAGAATATGGAGCAAACTGTGCTCCTAGTTGGGTGGGAGGAGGCCCGTGCAACGCACTTTGCTGGCTTACCTGCATATGTGTAATCCGACCTAATTGACGATCGTGAGAGACAGTGTGATCGAGTCAAGCCCTGTCATGCATGCTGTGCGCATGGTCACCCGTCCAAATGCCACTATGATACCAGTCCCGAAGATTTCCTGCAACCCATCAGTCAAGCCGATGAGATCCGCAACCTCCGGGAGGAAATCCGTGAGCTAACAGACAGCCTTCATAACTGTGGTGCGTGCCCCAAGTTGGACCCCGGATAGTCTCTGTGTATTTGGAAGTGTTTCTGCAGCGTAAATAATTGACATTGGCGTTCTAGAACAACGGATCAAGTCTTCACGGCGACGAGCCCAGCTACAAGGCCTCGTCAACGCCATCCGCTCAGCCCCGCCAAGTTCCGTCAATCGACTCGTCGCCCAAATTCGAAAGCATCGCGGGGAAACAAATGAAGTGGCAATCCCGGTGGGACCGTTGAATGGAACGGAAGGTGGGTGTCCGTCGCATACTGGTGGGGTACAGACTCTTGTTTTGGCGGCTAAGTTGTCATGATCCCCAGCAGAACATGGCCCTGTCGTTCTTCGTCGGTCTCATTCATACGATAGCGACGACGATTCACTGGATTCAGAAGACGAGGTATTCTCGCTCTCTGGCAGTCGGTCTTCATCAGAGGAGAGCGAGGACTCAAGCTATGGTTCAATAAGTCACATTGGATCGTGGAAGCCGATGCTGGATGTGTTTATTGAACGCTTCGTGGATGCCTTCAGTCCGGTAGTCCATTCCAAGACAGGACAGGCTGGTGCACTACGACGGGCTGCCGAGATACGCATGTTTTCGCCGATTCTCGTAGATGCGTTTGAATCCGTCTCCATAGCATACTTTGGGCGGTCTATTCAGGATAAGAATCTTGAAGCAGCTGGCTTCCGCCTATACCCCCGTGTGCTGAGGAGTCTGCAGCAGGCGTTGCAAGATCCCCAGCGCAGCAAGGCCGAGTCGACGCTAGTGACGGTGACCCTTTTGATGGCCTTCGAGGTATGAGTCTCGATCTCACATTTTGAGAAATCTTCTGACTGCTTGTAGAGTGTGGAACGAACTACACAAGTGTCGCTAATTGCTCACGTTCACGGTGCATTGCGCCTGATTGAGCATCGAGGACCTGAGAATCACATACATGGGGTGGAGCATTTGCTGTATACCGAGCTGCGTCCTTATTGGGTACGTATTCAATCCAGCCTTCAAGTATCCAGTCGCTCAGATAGAAACAGGTCGCTGCGGCTATTGTCAGTCGAACTCCTTCCGCCCTCGCAAGCCCGGACTGGATCAACTTGCCTTGGTCAGCCAACCCTGACCGAAGAGACATCCTGCACTACTTGCTAGACTTGGCGGTTGAGATCCCCGGCCTGCTTTGGCAATTCGACGATATTGAGGCTGCTCTCAAATCGGGCATGTACAGCCCACATGAGATTAGCGTGAAGCAATCCTCACTATGGAGCGGTGTCGCTGACCTGACCGACCGCTTCCGCCAGTGGAAAGTCCAATGGGTTGATAACAACCCGGATGGACCACCGCAAGAAGTCGAAGTCTCAGTGGACGACCCGTTTCCTCGATTCCATTGCCGGGACTTTCGTACCGGGGGTATAATTACACCCCCAATATTTGTCTATCGGGACCTCCGTCTCGCGCAAACTATGTGTCTCTACTACTCTACCCGATTGATTCTCTCGTCCGCCGACACGCGACCAACTGATCGCGTTGGACCTTTGGAACAGTACTCCTTGGGTTGTGGCATCTGCCGGTCCTTGGAATGGTACATAGTCAATGCGCCAGGAAACATGATTAACCGACTTGCATTCCCAGTCAGGGTGGCCTGGGAGGTGTTCCCGGATGGAGGACCGGAACGGCAATTCATGTACGAAGTGCTGAAACTGGTTGAGCGGCGGCATGCCCTAGGCCTTTGGGGGAGCAATATGTCCGAGATTTCTCCTCGGGCCGGACCCCCTCGAAGCCAGTCTCCTGAGATGGCCACAGGAGCATGATAGATGGGGAACATGATGGTCTGTGGGTCGCTGGACGAATCCCACGGCACATATCCGATTTTGCCCGTCTCCGCGTTGGCCGGTGGGAGTGCTTTTTCAGTGGCATCTGATAAATAGTGCAGCTCCTTTCAGGACGGTATGCCTTTCGGGGGTTCGCCGTCTCCGTTAGAGATGCCTTCTTACCTGGTCATGAGATACCTACAGAAAAAGGCTACTAAGCAGCATGCAAAACTCCGATCAGTAACTGCCGAGTCAGATACCTAAAGGTTATGACCCTCAATATGGGCATGGATACTTTAGAACGAAGGAATACTGAACTTGTGAGTGGCTCAACATCTGCCTTGGCATACCCACAGAGTCTGGTCAGCATGTTCCAAATTAATGGTGAATATATCAAGTCAACAATAACCGGACAGGACTGGGATCCTGTCATGTAAATAGGCTTCTCAACCAAAAGGCTACTCGAATGTAGCCTAATTAGCACCAAAGCCAATTTTATTTAGGATTACAGGGCTGGGCCGGCCGCGGAGATGCCTTTCGATGGGCCACGCCAATTATAGTGCGTATAGGTAGTGTCTGAGGGCGAATAGTAAGCGGCATCGCGTTCTCCGGGATTCGACCGGCCCCATACAACAGGGGTTCAGGGGCGTGGATAACCACTGGTTCCATAAGTCGATTCCTTATAAGGCTACTTACGGGTGGAATGGTGAATCTTATCATGCCCCGGAACTGGAGCAGGCCCGTTCTTTCTGCCGCGAGATGGAAAATTAATCGTAGCTCAACAATCCCCAGTCCATCGCTGCAGTGCAAAACGAACACCGGAAGGTTAATTTCTGAACTCTGACATGTTCGACTATGCGTGTTTCGAAAGGGGATTGTGTTGAGCACAGTTCGAGGGCGGCATTATTTAACGTTTCAACTTAAAACAAGCTTGATTGCCGACTCCACTCCCTGGCGGATCCACCATTGCTCCTGAGACAATCTTTGCGCCAGAACAGATTTGAACCCTTCCTGATTCCAAGGTGGGGATGGCCTTCATCTCTAGCAGCGTTCGTGACCTTTATAACTGAGCCTCCGACATCTTGGTGTTCATGTCGGCTCATTGTTGCATCCTTCCTGCACTCGTTCATTTTCCTGTCTTGTCACTCTTTTCTCCGCGACCGGTTCGCTTCAACCCTTACGTTCTTTAACAAAGGTTCTTCATATCAATCACTATGCGCTACTCCTCCGTCGCTGTCCCCTTGGCCCTCGCTGCCCGCGCCGCTGCTGTCGAGAGTGATGTCTGGGCCTTCGGAAACGGCTTCTACACTGGCCCTCCCACCAATGCGCACATCACCAGAGCCACCTGGTCCTTGGTGCCCCCGGATGTTCCCTCGAACTTCACCGTGAACAACACTGACGATGAGGTCTGGGTGTCGCTGTGGATTGGTCTCTCCTCTACCGCGGGTGACTACGACGCCGATCTTTACCAGCCCCTGCTGAACTGGTCCCCCGACAACGAGTCCCAGTACGTTCATTACCCCCTTAATGGTATATGAAAAGTATGCTAACAAATCAAAGGGGCTGCCCCGCCCCGGATGACGAGTGGTGTGTCGCCGCTAGCACGTACACTCCTGGTCAGTGATCCCAGCCTCCAAACGGGGACCCGAGCTGGTATACTGATGATGTGATTAGATGGCCAGAATGGCCAAGCCTACGTGACTGTTCCTGCGGACACCCAGGTTGACTTTGAGGGTATGCTCAGACACCAATTCAAACACAGTATGAACCACTGTCCTAACATGAAATCCAAATAGTCTACGTCGAAAACGACAAGGTCTACCAGGTTGTCACCATGAACGGCAAGACCGTCTCTAAGGAGAGCGACGGTAAGTTAGCTCTACTACCACCTTCAGATCAATGAATATAATACTAATTGAAAATAATGTAGCCCTCGACAACCCCCTCCTCTACCTCTACTCCGGAGACGAGTGCTACACCGGCTCCGGTGACTGCGGTACCCTCCAGTCCTACAGTACGTTCCTCCCCCACCCATCTCCTAGCGGAATAAATGACCTAACTTGGTGACCTCTAGGCTGGAACAACCTCACCATCCACCTGAGCGCCGCCGACGAGAACTTCGGCGACACCCTGTCCCTGTACAGCGGTTCCTCCTCCAACGGCCTCACCACCTCCGACAAGGGCAAGACCTGGCACACCGATGCTATCAAGATCTCCAAGGACACTTTCGCCACCATTTCCGACTACTAGGTTGAGATGGGATGGGGCTGGTTGATGGTGTATGTATGTGATTGGGGACATTATGACTGCGAGTCGGTCGCGATATCTTATTCCATTCTAAATTTTTGCGTCTTCTTGTTTTTATCTCGTTGGAGGGATGTATAAAATAGTATAAAATGTATATACGTCGAAGTCAGAGATGGAATATTGGTGTCCGTGGGATAAGGTGGTAATTGGTATTAGGGATTTTGTAAGCTACTACTAGTATATCTCCGCAAACTAGCTTTTCGGGCTATAGAGGTTCGTGGGGGTGTCAGAATACAGGTGGGTTTGGCTCACTGTTTGCGGGTCGGGTACTTATATACTTTGGGAATTTCCCGGAGGTGTCACTGGGTGGGATTAGTTGCCGATGGTGGTGACGTGGGTATTGTATGCGCGTATGCACACGGTCTACGACTGACCTGCAACGTGGGCACATAAGAGGGAATAAGGTGGAAATAAGGAAAATGTATGTAGGTAAATTGATATTGTCTATCATAATGCCGCTTGGTAGTGATCTTATAGGCAACGACACCAACAGCTTGGATCTCTGGTCCTGGTATGTACATTTCTCTCTGGCCAATATGTGCCTGTCCATCAATACTCAAGTGTCTGCTTGATCGCGTCGTATATCCCTGGGTCTCGTTAGCATTTTTCAGACGTGCATGGGATAGATATACGTACGCGCAACATCAGGAATCACAAACTTCTCGTACATCAGACCTGTATGCGTGCTCCACCCCGCGACTCTCTTAACCGGTGCCTCTAGACGCAAGAACGCCCCGTCCTGAATGGTAGCAGCCACCTCAGCGCCGACGCCGTAGTTGATCATGCTCTCGTGGACGACTATCGCCCGTCCGGTCTTCCTCACACTATCCAATACCGTTGGTCGATCCCACGGGTAGATTGTACGCAGATCGATCAGCTCGATACTCGCCCCAAATGCCCTCTCCGCTGCTTCGATGGCCGCGGAGCAGAGGTATAGAGGCTGTCCGTACGAGACTATCGTCAGGTCGTTCCCTGGCTTAACCACTTCCGCTGTGTTTAGTGGGATGGTGTAGTACTCGCTTGGGACGTGTTCTACTGCGGCACGATAGAGGATTTTCGGTTCCATGAAAATGACGGGATTCTTAGACTCGAAAATCGAGGATAAGAGTAGGCCTTTGGCTTGAGACGGCGAGCGTGGCATGACGACTTGTACACCTGGGACGTGTGCGAATAGTGCTTCTGGTGATTGTGAGTGGTATCTGTTTCGTGGTCCGCAACGTTAGCCATCACTTCCCCGTACTCAGCAAAAGTCGGTGGGAAATGGTATGCCACCTACAGAGCACCATGTCCGACTGCACCACAAGGCATCCGCACCACCATCCCTCCAATATCTACCCCTGTTGCTCCCTCTCGAAACCGGAACTTCGCCGCCTCATTCACGATCTGATCGAATGCTGGGAACACGTAGTCTGCGAATTGGATCTCCGCGACAGGCTTCATTCCCTGAGCTGCTGCGCCGATGGCAAAGCCGACGATCCCTTGCTCTGTTAGAGGTGTGTTGAAGACTCGCTCCGAGCCGAATTCAGTCTGTAGGTCCATCGAGCAGCGGAAGACGCCGCCGAAAGCGACGTCTTCGCCGAAGAGCATCACCTTGTTGGAGGTGGAGAGGGCGGTACGTAATGCGGAGTTAATGGCTTGATAGAGATTGATAGATTTTGAGGTCGGATTGCTGGGTAGGTCTGGGTGGTTTGAAAGACTGGAGGCCGTGTGGTGGAGGAGCGGTGTCGATCTGTAGTCGATGGGGAGGTTCAGGCGTGAAGAAGGGGATGGTGCGGAGGTGGAGTAACCCCGGTAGGAAGGTCGGGGTATTGGTATTTTGGGGAGACGGAGTGAAGGCATCGTGGAGAACTCAGGAGAGGTTGGAGGTTTAGATAGTAGAATGAAAACGTCTGGAAAACGAGGGAGGTACGGGGAAGACCTCCCTCCCCCTTGGTTTATCAATAAAGGCATCTTGCTTCATGCGGGGAATGCGCCCCGATCCCCGTGGATAACCGGGGTTGGCGGCCTGGATGCCTTGGTGCCTGGGTGCCTGCCGGGGAGGCTGAGTCAGCGCTTCTGGTGGTTGCCGGATTGGGATAGCCAGGTGAATCTATACTCTAAGCATAGGACCCCGCGTGCTTACTCTATTTTCATTTCGAGTTAGCGTTTTTCATCCAAGTCGTGATATCTTTATGGTTGATGGTTTGCCATCCAAATGGATCGCTCTTAAAGCACCAGCAGTGCCCTGGCTCGCTCTGGGCGGCCGATACTGATGACGATCCCATGCTGTGAGTGTCCTAGACACTGCTTTATCCACTTGCCATCCTCAACGCCGTCCACACATGCTTTAACGGCTTCAACGTCGTAGGCACATGATGAATTAACTCCATGTCCTCTTCAGACGATCTTCTGTCCTACAACCACCGATCAACATGTGAACCTTTGCAATAAGCCAGTAATGCTCCCAATGACATTTTGGAATGAGGGTATCATATATACAGCTTGAGACAGATATTTACAAACGGAGCGGCCTGTCACATCCGATCCGCACATCAAACAGAACCATCGCTGTCGCTGAAGGCAACCAATTGGTACTCGCTGGACCGTGAGCGACACCGACGGAAATAACGGCCCCAGCCGCAGCACGTATAGAGACCAACAAACAAGCCGACTCCACTGATGACAAAGGCCATGACAATAAACCAGTACTGAGGGTTCATGACTTGCTCAAAGCTTCCACCCTGCTCTCGCTGGAGCAGCTCCGTGGCGCCTAGAACATTACCATCGGAATCTAATGCCGCTAGGCGGAACAAAGGAAGCTCGAGACCCTCTGGTATTTCGATCTCGGTCTCGAAGCCATCTTTCTGGAATTGGGACACAACACGGAACGTATTGTCGTTCAAATCATCCGAGTCCCAAACTTCCAGTCGCCACGCAGCAACCTCTGTTGCGCCATTCCAGCTCACATACACGTGGTTTCCTAGTACTTCGGCGTCGGGGACCGTCTGCGGCCGGCCAACCCAGGTGCCCTTAAAGGCACGGTAAGATACTACTCTGCCAAACCCGAAGAAGGCAGAGGCACCGAAATGGGTGTTGCATAGCAATTGTCCGTCGGCACTAAACTCACTGAATGCAGCGCTATGGCCCCACTCGACTAAAACCCGGCCACTATCGTCCAGAACTTGGACGTTTCCCTGTGACAAGGACCGCATTTTCTGAGGATGAAAGTACTCAGCGCGCAATGACGCTTGGCGAGCGGCAACGTCAAGTTCGATAACGACACCACGACTTTGGTTATCCTTATCCGGATCATCGTTTGAATGTGATGCATTGTCGAAAAGGGTCAAGGTACTGTTGGCATGCCACCGTGCATCATGCTGCCAGGCGAAGTTGGTGGCCTGCCCATCAGAAAGATCTTGGAACTCATTCAGCTTTCCGCCTAGGGTCCATAACACTTCACCAGTGTCCTTGTCTATGCAGCTCACGGTATGGGTATGGCGTGCGGAGACAATGTAATTTCCATTGTCATCCTTGTCCACGCTATTGATGTGGTAGAAGTCGAACGCATACCCGCGCACTCTTCCCGACTTGCCCAAATGCTCGTATGTGGTGTTTATGGGATAATGCTTCGATGCGCGCCATTCGAAGATCAGCTCACCCGTAGCGATATTAATTTCCTGGAAGACGCCGTCATATATCCAGCCTAATTCGGGGCCACCAACGGGAGTCAGGTCGGCCGGTACTGGATCGTATATCGTAACGAGAGCCGTCCCTTCCGGGGTGATGTGAAATTCATGGAGATCGCCACCAAAATTTCCTACCGGAGAAATCACATATCGTTGGGTATATGTCGAATCCAGCTGTCCAGATCAGCACGCTACTCTATGCGACAGAGTCGTGTGACACCTACCATATACCAGGCCCCATAGCCTCGGCCTTCTGTTTCACCACCTTCCCAGTATGTCAAATAGTCTGTGTCCTGATATCGCTGGACCTTGAAGTCCTGAGTCACATCCCAGTTGTATTTCATCCACACCAGCTCCCCCCTGGAATCAAGGATCATAGGCCCCGGCTGGGCCACCGAGTCACCCCTAGGGGCTAGGAAGGTGTATCGCGAGTCGCAGCCCGACTCCCATTCTGAGATTTGTACCGCGGGAGATTCATATTCGAAGGAGACATAGCTTTTCGAGGGACCAAAACCGTACAGGCCCAGATCATACCAACTCAGATCCGCGCGAAGCCTCAGTCGATTCAGTTGGGGAACGGCGAAGGTGTAGAAGAGATAGGAGAGACTGATTATGGCGCCAATCGTAACGACATGGAGGGCTGAGAGCCTTGAACGTAGGCGATTGGCGCGAGAGAGGGCGGAAGTCCACGAGGACATTGGATCATCGCGGATGGACAGAGCGACGAGAGCTGTCCAAGGGAGGGAGGAAAGGAGACAAACTTTCGGATCTGGGGTAAGGCGGAACAAAAGGAACTATCGGGGACGATAGTCTTCTCGGGAGCGACGGCAAGGCGCAGAGTCGGCGCTCATCATATCATCGAATTTTGCCTCCAGGCAAGTGGAATCCCAGCGAGAATAAGAATGTCGCATACGGTCGGGTTAGTCGTTCAGGAGAGGGTGGCTCCAACAGCTTCAACACCCGAAACGGACACCAAAGCGCCCCATCCACGCGGCGTCGAAGCGATCCATCGAAGCCGATATCCATTCGCGGCGGAGACCAACGACGACGCGAACGAGTCGAAGTTGGCCGTGATTGGCTTCTACCCAGCATTCTCCAGCACCGCCAAGAAAGCCACCGTGGATCCGGACCTGAAGCTGGCTCCACTTTCGAGTTTATCACTTATCCTGTCTGTGAAATCTTCCCCTTCGCGCCATTGGGGGCTTTGGGACGGTCGCTGGCAATTATTTCTTCCCCACTGAGTGGCGGTACCAGCCCCAGCGCTGCGAGATACTTTTAATCTGGTGTCCTTGGCACAACAGCGCAAGATCAATTTTATCCCCAAGGATACAATTGGCCACTGTGTCTGGGCTTGATACGGAGTTTGCCCGCGTGAGGCCAAGACAACGCTTCGGCTGTGACGATTGGAACAAAGCAAGGAAACTTAAAAAGTGTCTTTATCCGGGGGAATTATCTGATCTGTGGCGGATGATATCCTGCGAATGGCCTGCCCAAGTTGTGACGACTGGTGAGTGACGAGCGATAAGTGCCGCCGCTGACAGCCACTCGGACCCGCTCGCTTCGTCATCTACCGCACTATTCCTGAAGTTTACCGTTTTCCAAGGCGGATTGGTTAGCGCCCAGTTGGCCAGGGTCAATGACCACCGCGCGATTACAGAATGCATATATTATTCCATGCGTGATACTTAATGCTTGGCTTTCTTTTAGGACGCGCACTACGACCTCAGGTGAAACAGGAGAGTGCTGTAAGATCACTGGCGGACTATTGTTTGAGACAACTCCTTGCCCTGCGCGTGAAACCGATTCGGCCTACTCGCTAGTCTACACATGTTAATGATTGGCCCCTAGACTTACTGTGGGGCAGCACGCGTGATGAGGCCTCGGCAAGACGGCTTGCCCCCGGTCCGATAGGGTCAGCACTTTATCGCCAATGAACGCAGAGCACTCAAATTGACGCTGGTGAAGCCTGGAAGCCATTCATTATCAGCGGATCCTTCTGGAACGACGTCCATTCCCAGTGGAAGCGGAGTAAGCTAACGGTCGGACAACTGAGCGTGATGATGTTTGTGGCTCCTCCAAAAGTCCGGAGAAATACTTTCTTGGAAGCTATAACATGGTACAAACGCGATCTGATCCTTCGTTTATCATGGCCCCCAGTTAGCAACAGGCACACTGACGAATGATATTGATCAAGTGCTCAACACCAAGACACCGCTCACAGGCTAGCGGGAGCAGACATGGGGGCACAGGCGGGGACAAAGCCAAAGACGAGACCCAAGCGCCAACAGTCAATTCCGCTTCGGCATTGATGCCATACAGACACCTGACCCAGCATCAACAGTTTGTTTAAGAGCCAACGAATCAGCATTAGGGGCTCGTTAGGCAGAAGTGATATTAAACCGGTATACCCGGAATCAAGCACTAGTAGTCAGACTACTTGCAATTCCAACATGACGCCATCGCAGAAAGTCAAACAGCATTTCGCATGCGCTGCGTCGTCTCATTGCCTTTGAGCTTTTTCTGGCTTTGGCAACATTCCTACTGTGCTACAAGTATGATGTCTCAACTGCACCGTCAGACCTAACTGGATCTAGTGTCAATTCGGTAATCTGCCCCGAACCCGAGAATCCGAGGGTGGTTGGACCGGTGGAATGCGCACTGCCTGATCTGGTTATTGTTTGCGATCTGTCTCTGGGGATCCCAGTACACTATTCTAGGCTACCGAGGATGCTCTAACTCTTATACAGAGACCGCGGAATTTGTCTGTCCGTTGCGGCCGGGCTTGGCGCTTATGCTCTTAGAGCGGGCCGAAGCGTGGGGGACAGAACTGCGCGCCCTGAGCGATCCGGGATGCTCCGGCATCAATCCTAGCCATACTGGAGGTCACCGAAAGTTCACCATTGTAGAGGTATTGATCGATTACTATCACGTTGTCTCCCGGGGTGCTTCATCTCTGGAAACCGACGAGTCAGCCAGGTGCTATATCTTACAAACCAGCTTCAAATACCTACTCACATAATTTCTACGGTGTGCTCGTGGCGGACTTGACAGCATCGGCTATCGAAGGATTCTGGATATACCATGCAATGATCCTTCGAACAATTCTCTGTCGTGAGCTTCGCTCATCCTGCGCATGACCATAAGTATTGATTGGCTCGCTAAGAGCATTGTCAAGCTTTCGATATCACCGTACCGGATATTACATTGAGAACCAATAGATTTCTCACTTCTGTAATAGTTACGACTTCGCGAGACTCGATGACAATGTGAGCTGACAAAGTGCTCATATTGTCCTGTAAACAGCAACTGCCAAGCCCAGAATTATCCCATGTTGTGCAGCTCTCCGAAATATGCAGCGTGCTTATGTCCCGCTTGCTGCTAACTCCAAAATCGGATTTAGCGTCTAGACACCGACTTAGACTGTGGAGACTTTACTAAACTAGGGAACCGTACCCGGATAGTGTCTTGGTAGTTGGGATTGCGTGCTATCTTTCGCTATCTTGTCTCATCTGGTCACTTTGCGCGCAGCACGCATGGAAATGATGCTTGCCAAGGTGCCAATGCAGTCGTAAAAGCGTATTGTGCCAGTTGATCGTGGGCCATTAGAGGCCGAGGTTATCCCGAAAAAAAAAATACATTGTGGGGTGCATATGCAACGGTTGATAAATAGGAGACAAACCAAGAAGGGGTGAGCACTACGGTATGCATTAGGTAGAGATTTGCGATTTATCTACTTTTATCTACGATATATCTCGTACCCGTGTTTCTTGCCTTCTTTGGCCCGGGTGGATATAATCTCGATTTATTCCCTGGATATTCTACTATGTGTGGATTCCACCCCGCTAGTTGTAAACGCTATGAGTGCCTATCCCTCTTGGCAATAAAAGGCCTTCGTGGATCAATAATTGCTAGTCTAACTTATTGCCCTAACTGAACTAACACTTCTACTTCTAGAAATAGAAGAAAGGATATTTGTGCAGTTCATGAAAGTACGAGTATTCCTATCTATAAATGTGGTGTTTGCAGCACCTGCTGTTTGTCCAATGCGTACGCCCAGCTCAGATACACGATGCCTTGAACCTGCTCGAATGTGCTCAAGGCTCATTCTGGCATTCCGGTAAAGACTATTTTTACTTGAGTGATAATTCTTTGTTTGAATAGGAGATTTTATTCAAGAATAGGCGGGCTGCTTTTCCCATGAAACCGCTACTCACACCGACTCAAGCGGGCGATGATGAGGACAGTATCACTTGGCATCAAAATAAAGAGCAGTGGGAACATAAAAGACATAATCCCACGCAGTCTGTCATAGTATGATCGTTCCTATCCAGTAGATGGTTGTGATGACGCCCAGCCAATCGCGTGTCGGACGGTTCATGAATGTCTATTCTATACCGTCGAATAAGGGTCCATCATAACCATTCACCGATGCTATATGGTCATTTGTCAACATAGGAATCTGTAGAACGAAGAAGGAATGATGACGCCTTACAGAATAGATACAGGCTAACGAAATAGCAGTTGGCCTTCCACAGAAGCGTCTCCCGCAGAAAGGCATCAGGAACTTGATACTCGTCAGCAGAAACATCATCCGGCTGAGGGTGTCACATACTGTCTATCTCTTTAAGCCTCCCCAGAAAGACAAAGAAAGCTTTTCAGCTCCTCCCGTTACAGCGTAGATGAAAGATGGGACGCTGTTCCCCCCGAGAAGCCACAGTCTCATGGATTGGCGCATAATCCTGAACCACAGACGGTCCACTTCTTCAACACCCCCTTCAAACGCCTTTCCCGATATTCTTCTTTCGCTGTTCCTCAACATTGACATGACAGGAACATGCCGTCGTCGACAAATCTCTCACAAGAAACATCGTATGGAGCACGTGCCAGTAACTAGTGCGAGCGGCTATATATCATACAAGAGCATGGGTATTGCCGGATATAACGCTTTCAAGGCGGTTGTGAGCATGCTTAGGTTGAATACTGTTGTTGTGTCCCACTACTCATGTGTCTTTGCTGGTGGGGGTGATGTGGACCAGTATTCCTGGTAGATTGCTTTCAATAAGTAGTTTAGGTTGTTGTTCTTTGTTGTTCTCCGATGACGAGACTTGTAGGTGGTACGAAGAGTTGATTGCAAAACCATGGTCGATCAAATACTCCATCCAATGAAGGGTGGAAGTAGACTTGAGATCGAGATCTTGAAAGTCGGCTTCAGGTGAGTTAAGTAATATCAATACTATATCCCGTTGTGTGGCAATAGAAAACCCCGTGAAATAATTGTACGCTGATAGCCGGACTTGCTTGTTATTAAGTTTGTCGCTGTCTTTGTTGGCATTACAGGCAGGACCTTGTTAGGTGGAGCAACGTTTTTGTGCACTTCTTATCTATCCATGACTACTATCCTCGGGATTATATTGAAAATCAATCGGAGGATATGAATTTTCTCGTACCTTGAGAGACTTGTTGCTTGAATTAGATTGATTAAACACGAAGTATGTTCTGTATTGGAAGATCATAAAATGATTTGGATATCTGTGATGACAGCATAGTCTCCGAGAATAATTAGTAATTACATTCAGTAAAACCATACTTTAGTACTGAATGAAGCCATTCTCAACGACGAGTAAAGTAAATTAATCGTCAGTCAGAGCAGGTGTCGCCAGCTTATCCGCCTCCTGGTTGTATTCTCTCGGAACATGCCAGAACTGGACAATGACCTGCTCATCCTCGAGAACCTTCACATACCGCTCAATCAAACGAAACTGCTATTGATTGGCAACAGGCAAGCCCTTTGCAGTAGTCCAACCATTGGCCTTCCATTTGAAGATCCATTCGGTCATTCCGCGTACCAAAACTCCGAGTCCGACTTGATCACCACGGTGTGAAGACTTCCTTCTTCATCTCCTGTCATTTCGCTAAATTTGTCCCAGTAGTTTTGCATGACGTGCGCAGCAAGCAGAGCTCTCTGACAAGCTGCGAGCTCGGCGACCTGGCTTGTCTGCTTGGGTTTTGGCGAAAGAGTGGCACTTTCATTCAATGGATGGTCATGGCCGTAATACGCCCCAGTTGACGCCCGGGCTCCGTCACTGCCATTATTGCGACACGCACCGTCAATTGCAATCACGATACAGTCAAGATGACGGATATGGCGATTACAATGGGGGCACTTTTTTTCCGAGCCTGGGCATGCGAGAAAGACCAGGTTGCCTACTGGAACCTCGATGTCGCTCAAAGTGAAGTGATCTGGGTATACTTCGTGCGGGAGGAATCGGCGAGTCGGAGCGGAGACTGTCTGGGCTGAGATCGGGAGAGATGAGTCGGAGGAAAGATCTGTTTCGCGACTAGAAAGAGAGCTGCGACAATCACTGTGATTTTCCTCGGTGTGGGAACTATCTGGAGTACTCTGATTGAACCGGTCAGTTACACTGCTAACAGGTTGCATAGAAGAAAGCTGCTCGGAGCAGTGCTAGGTAACTCCGACAGGTTCAATTGAGAGGCTCCTGCTTACCTGGCGAGACTTTGGCTTTCTCTTCTTGTGGTACCGTCTCCGCATCTTTTAAAGTGAGCTATATGAAGCTGCTTTCTGTAGATAGAAATATCCCTGGAATGTGGTGAGAACTGGAGGTAGATTGCTCCTGGTCTGTGGGGTAAAACGATGGTGTGTCCCCAGTCAGCAGCATGAAGAAGAGTTGTCGACCTTCAGTCATGCAATTCACTTGGTTATATCACGTGTCAACGACCACCCTCACACAGTCGGCGATATTAGTTAAGTTGGCCAGTGGTAGTAAGTCACCTTTATAGAGGATGGGCATCCTCCATTACTGGTGATCCATTTGGGATGCTCCAGATTATGCGTAGGCAAGATCCGGAGTCAGCTTCGAGGCATCGGAATCTTCCAAGCATTCAATCATTTTGTTCTGCTATTCGGTTACTCGCCTTGATGAAGAGAATACATACCCGTCAATTGTTGAGTATCGAATTAGGGAGGAAGGTCAAAAGCTGCCTTGATTGGACGCCAGAAAGAGAAAATATTGCTACTGCCAACAAATTGCGCCGATATATCGACGTTTATGTCTCCATTATAGTCAGCCATCGAGGCTTATGGCGTACATGATGCTCGATTATAGCATAATGTGGGCTTTTCCGATGTAACGCCATACTGTACGATCCAAGAAAGTCCTACATCGAGACCCTCCTGCATAAACACACCAAGGGGTAACGAGTTCTGGTTTCGATCGCAATTATACCTTGAGATCGGATGAAACTTCCGGGTCCTCGGTTTCGGGGGGTGCTATTGTATGTTGGGAATGGCCGCTGGTTTATCAGAGCATTGCCAGCGCTTCAAAAGAATACCCTTTTGTTCCACTAGTGGGTAAATTTTCTGCCCTCATACAATTAAGTTGACGCCGAAGAAATATAATCAGATAAAGATCTCCTACATCTGAAGCAACGATGCCGGTGTCCATCATGGCACCAAAAGAGGGAGATAAGTGATTATTGGGCTGACAACATAACTTCAACGTCCGACTATCCCAGCAACAGACTCAGATATATCAGGGAGCTGAAGTTTGAGAAGAGGCAGAGAAATGATATTAAATTCATCGGGCCCCAATCCGGACAAGTTCGACGATATGCGCAAACAGAGCAATACAACGACAGGATAACGCAAATTAACTATCGCAATGGTGCTTCTAGGGGCGTTCAAATGAGAGCGACACGACTGATATCATGAGACCCGTCGAGAATGATTTCCCCCGGCACGTTGCCCCGGAGAGATAAGCTTCGATTATTAGCCTTATGAGCCACGTCAGCCTGAACCGGGGTACCTGGTTTAGTTTGCTCTAGCTCCAAGGCTTATGCTCCTTTGATAGGCCACCCTAAGACCTGTTAGGTTACAGGCGCGAAAGGGTTATCGCCATCGGTCCCTTTGGACTAGCAGCCTCACCGGGGTTCCGAATGCGCTACCATGATTCTACTTAAAGAGCCGCCCCCCGGTCTTGATAGCCTTGAATCGCTCAGCGTTCAGTTCTACTTTGTTTTTCCATTGCAACCTTCCACTGGGGGCCAGCGCCAGCGAGCCACGAGTGGATCAAATGGGTCATCCGGAAGCGATCGAGACCCCCGGTCAGTGCATTACTAATGCAAATGAGGGGTTTCTCCAACTCGATGAAAAGGAAGATCCCAGACAATGGCCAAAAACCAGAAAGTGTAAGATTTGCTCGTATTAGGCCTCTGATGATAAGAGAGAGAATTTAATCAATATCCAACGATGATCTAGGGGTGTGTACGGTGATTGTGGCGGTGATGACGGGAGTCATTGCTTTCTGCTCGAGTATTTACACCGCTGGAACCAGCCTCATCACTGCCACATATGGCTGTTCACGCACCGTCGCTACTCTTGGGGTGACGACATTCCTGTTGGGGTTTGCATCAGGGCCCCTCATCTTCGCTCCTCTCTCTGAAGTCTAGTCAGTCTGTCGAATCCCTCTATACTGTGACTGCTGGCTCATGCGTTTAGGGTTGTTATAGTGGCCGCAACTACATTTTCCGGCTTACACTAGGACTGTTTGTTCTCTTCCAAATTGGCTGCGCGTTGGCACCAAATATAGCATCCCTCATTATTTTCCGATTCTTGACCGGCTTTTTTGGTTCTCCGTCGGTCACAAATTCGGGTGGTTCTATCACGGATCTCTGGCCGCAAAGCGAACGGTCCGTGCCTCTGGCTTTGTTTTCCGCCGGTAGCTTCCTTGGACCCGTCTTCGCGCCTGTTGCGGGCGGGTTTATTTCTGAGTACCTCTCCTGGAGATGGAACTTCTGGGTGGTTCTCATCGTTAGTGGCGTAGTGTATGCGGCATGTGTGCTCTTCTTGCCAGAAACATATGCACCTAAGCTTCTACGAGATAAGGCTCGTCGTCAGGGCATCGTCCAGGACGGCCCCTCTCTCAACTCACAGCTTATGACCTCTCTAACCCGCCCTTGGCTGATGCTCTTCGCGGAGCCCATTCTCTTTCTGCTATCCCTTTATATGGCTTTCATCTACGGAATCCTATACCTGGACTTCACGGCCTATCCGATCGTATATGAACAGTCCCGTGGTTGGACTGCCGGTATTTCTGGTCTCTCATTCCTAGGCATGGGAACAGGCATGGCGATAGCGACAATTGCCTCGCCGTACGTGAACAAAATTCATGCCACATATGTCACAAAGCTTGGCCCGGAGCCAGAAGCACGACTACCCCATATCATTGTCTTGTCCTGGCTGATCCCCGCCAGCTTATTCTGGTTTGGTTGGACTGCGATGCCCCCGACGCACTGGGTTGTGGGCATTATATCAGGTGCTCCTTTTGGCTTCAGTCTGATATTACTCTTTCTCGCCATCACTTCCTATCTCACTGATTGTTACGGGCCATATGGCGCAAGTGCGCTTGCAGCTAATGCAGTGTTCCGTTCTATCTTCGGCGCAGTATTCCCACTGTTCGGCACGTATCTATATGATGGTCTGGGGGTGCCATGGGGTTCCAGCTTATTGGGGTTCTTCGCTTTGGCGTTTGCTCCCCTGCCGTGGGTATTTTATCATTTTGGGCCGAGGATTCGGATGCGAAGCAAGTATCATATGATGATGAAGGCTGAAGGCCTTTAAAAACCGGTCTCAGCCTGACTCTGGGTGGATGATTACGATTAATTTTGTCTATTCAACCAAGGAAAGTGTAAATAGGAAGGATACAGAAAGACAAAACAATTCGTTTCGAAACTTGTCTCTCAATGCCTTCCACATCAAGACATAATTCTATTTACCTGCACCGCATTGCCTGGATACGGAGCTGGATCCTCGTTGAGTATTCGAGGATATGTATTCGTATGCACCGAACACTCTGTGCTGGAATTGCGGATATGTTATCTGTGCCGACAAAAGCCCCTTTGAATGGAAGTCCTTGGATCATCTTAAACTCTAGTGACATGTTGACTCGACACGTTGGTGACCAATGCATTGTTGGTCAGGCAAGTCAATATATTCATGCTCGTGTTCGTAAGTGCCTGATACTTTCATGATTTTGATGCACGACCAACTTATATTGCATCTGCAGACATGTTCGGGTCCACCATGTCGATGATCGCCTCCATCCTTCGTGTGTCAGGAACGAGAATCTTCTCCCCTGCATCAGCGCTGTTCCAGACTTCTGGTTCATAATAAATACCATGCAGCTCCTCGAAAACCAGGTGGAGGTTGCTCGTAATAAATTCCGAGAACGTCGAGTGGCCCCTACCAATATTCGAATTTGACACTGCGACTCCGACCTGCTGGATCCAGAAGTTTCGATGTGTCGCCCCAGCTACAATCGGGCCTGCTATCTCGCTAAACAGCTCTCTGGCTCGAGACCTGAGCTTCTCCCGCGACGTTTCCCCGGTATCTTGTGTGAATCGTTTGTGAAGGTAAAGAAGAAGGTGAGCGTGACTGAGGACTGGCGGGCCCGATTTTTGTAGGTCTGGCGTCAATTCCTTACAGGCCATTTTGGCCCGGAATGTAAGCTCTTCGGCAGATGGGAGCTCCAGTATTGCTTCTGATATTTTTCTAGTTTCATTGCTAGGGAGAGCTGCGATGATGTTCGGCAGCGGCTTGAGATCAGGCATCACGAACTGCGATCGTGCAGCGACGCTATTCCACACTTTGTGCGAGTAGTACTCCTTCCAGCGTGTCGGATTGAGATGGAAAGTCTCCTGAAAAGCCTCGAATGACATCTTCGAAGTATCAATTGACCGCTTCTCATCATCCAGTGACCGCAGCGCAGCATGGACTATATGGATCCAGAAGTACATCTGTGTCTCCGAGTACATCTCAACCGTCGAATCAGTTGTCCTCGCCCGCATGGTAGCTTGCTGGAGTGCTACCAGCGCCTGGGTAACTACTTGATCATGCACCGCCCCCGTGTTCCGCACATACTGCATCACAGCGAAGGCGTATCGTATGAGTTTCTCTGGTCCTTTGTTCATCATAGGCACTGTCGCTGGATCGCGGAGATAATCTGTCTGTGTTGGGAGAGGCCGTAAATTCGGGATTGACCAGACGTCCCGTGGTCTGGAGACAGGGTTGAAGGAGTAATAACTCTTCCAGAGATAGGTGTTCATCAATGATGGCGAGTGGCGGAGAATTTGGGGGAACTCTTCTCGGTATGGGAGATCTGAGCTCATACTGTGCATGCGATAGTCCCGGATTCCATGTTGAAGTTGTATAGTCCAGAACGTGACTAGGCATCTGCTGAATGGAGCATGGACGTAGGCTCTCGGTGTCTCGCTGTCGCTGAATAGCTGGGGAGATGTTTTTCTAAGTCGGTTGAGGTGAATGAAGAAATCCTCTGCGATCTCATAGAAGTTTTTCGTCTTCGCCGACTCGAGTATGACGAAAAAGAGCGCTTTCAAATAGGTGTAGTGAGACCACACCGGCAAGTCTCCGTTCAAGAAAGATGTCCAGAACGCATCGGGGTCGAATGTGTCTCCAGTAATCTCCTTGCCGATTCGAAGTTGCAGCTGTTCAGTAGTCAAATCTTCATCCGTTGAGTCGCTTATGACCGTCCCCTTCTTATCCCGTTTGTCCTCCTTCGCAGGCTCCAGATTCACCCTCTTCACGGTTTGGTAGATGTCCTCGAGAACTTCAAATACCCCGACCCCAGCTTTCGAGCTCAGATTATGCGTTAGTACTTTCCACGAAATTTCATCCTTATACTTCACCAATTCCTCCTCATATTTCCGTCTCGCCTTCTGAACCACCTCCTTCGAGACATCCGGCGAATCTTGCTTATTCAACCCAACCCATATATACCGACATCCTCTCTCCACCATCTGATCGAGCAAATTGCGAAACCTCCATGGTGGCCACTCCTCGGTAGAGCAATCGTGCAACCACACAACCAGAGTATGTGGCGCAAGCTCCCGCCATATTAAGGGCCCACAACGGACTGATGCTCGTCGATTAGCACCTAGCAGACCGAGATTTGAAACAACAGAAGACGTAAAGGGGAAGTAGCGTACTCCGGAACTCCCATATACTCCACTCATAGGTGGCAGGGTATTTCACTGTCTCAATATCCAAGTCCCTCGTCGGTAGCGGCTCTTGCTCTCCGATTTCGCCGAATTTGAGGCGGCGGAGGAAGGTTGTCTTGCCGCAGCTGTCTTCTCCCAAGAGCAAGATGCGGTAGTGTTTCTCATCGAAAATCCATTTCGAGAGTTCTGATGGAGTTAGCCTCGTTCACGTGGATAGCTGGATGCAGTGCTTACTGTCCATCTTAGGTCTCGGCAGTTCCAATGCATTCTTTTTCCGTCCTGGGATTGAGGCGAAGTTCTTCGTTATATTGACTGAAGGTATTGTTGGTGCCTGGTAGGCAACATATGTTAAGTATTTCCTCGTCAATATGTTGCCAAGGAGAAGAGAACTTCGCTGGTGGCTACCGTGGCCTCTCGTATTATTGAGTTCGTGATCAACACTGCCTCCGCCCGAAGAGCGTCAATATAAGCACAGCACCCATTGCGAAGGTACCTGGCCCGGAGAAGACCAATTCTCTGTCTAACATAAGGAAAGGAAGAAAACTCTCATCATTCATACGGCGTCTCACTTATAGAAACAAGAAGTTTCCTACTTACTCGAATATATATTATTCGGTCAGGTGGAGAACCAGAGCCCGAATTACCCGGAAGAAAAATCAAATAGGGCAGTAAGCTGCGCACACAATGCCTAGTGGACAGAGCCATACCACCGGGGCAACTGTATGTAATATTGATTTTATTATTCGTTTTATTATCCGTTTGCCTTCGTCCATCAGCTGAACGAATAGTTATGGAACTGTGTTCCCTCTATCTTCCCGCAAAGTGCCAAGACTCCAACAGGCCCCGTTGTCCATAATTGAAGAAAAATATACTTAATTTGAAATATGCTCCTCCCAGCATGACTCCTTTCCTCCACGTTTTGCTCAACAAGATATTTACACATGTTAGACAACTTCCACATGCGAAGAGGCCCCACTGTCCTTCCCACCCACGTGACAATCTTCTTCACCGTGCTGCAGACCCGATCGCTCCCCATCGAAAATGACAGCAATCTCTTCCAGCGTATGACCCTTCGTCTCCGGGAAATAGAAATAAACAGTAGCCAAGATCCCCATAAGAAAGACACAAAACACAATATAGTACCTCCACCCCAAATTCTCCATTCCAATGGGATTGCAAAACGATGCGATAATAAGTGATCCATAAACGGACATCATTTCCACCGCCAGACCCTTCGAGCGAAGCGAGTAAGGAAATATTTCCGTAGGGTAACCCAAGAGCAACGGAGTCCAGGCGATATCATAGTGGAAGTAGACAACGAAAACGCAGACGATGACGACGTACCCTGCGGGCTTGGAGCCGGTCTCGCTGTTGAGGCCTGAACAAATGGTCCATACTATGAACGAGATAAACATGCCTATGCCGCTCCAGAGGAATAGTGTCCGACGACCAAGGCGATCGACGAGAAAGGCGGCCATAAATGCGGCGGCGAAGTTGAAGAGTTGGAGAAAGCCGTTGATTAGGGTCTGCGTGTAGGAAGATGTGATTCCGACGGAGTTTAGGACTAAGGTCAGGAAGTAGGAGACTACAGCTATGCCGTTCCATTGGGCGAAGGTGCCGACGCAGATTGCAATGATGGTTCGTTTGCGGTTACCTTTGATTTCATGTTAGTATCGGTATCCAGATCTAAGCTAGGGAAGGAGGCAAGGGACTACCTGGTGTAGCAATTAAGGCGGACCATCCGGTGCCTTCGAAACTCTTCTCCAGTTCGATTGCAGTTGTAATCTCAGCGATCTCCGTTGCAACCAGGGGTGAAGGCTCTTCATCCGGATCCTCTTGGCCCGCATGGTATCTTTTTAGAATTTCCGTGGCTTCTTCAATTCTATTTTGGGCTACCAGCCAGCGTGGGGATTCCGGAACCGAGTAAAGAAAGGTTAGCTGTACGATAGGATACCCTGCTTGCAGGATGGAAGGGACGCGCCATGACCAGCTGCTGGATAGAGCTTGTGTTCCAAACGTGCACCATGAGGATAGAATGGCACCCAAGTAGTACATCGTCCAATACGCCGAAGTATATTTACCACGATGTGTAGGGTAAGCCAACTCCGCAATCAGCATTGGGCTTGGTTGGGAGCTGAACATCCCTCCGATTCCAATCAAAATTCGGGCTACTATGAACATAGCCAAGTTCACCGACGCACACTGGATAGCTGCGGCAATGCATATGATGATGAGTCCAGCTAGCAGGATCGGTTTGCGTCCATACCAGTCGCAGAGATTGCCTAGGAATGGAAGCGCAATGACACTTCCGATAGACTGCGCCGCGACTATTGTCCCCAAGAGGCTTCCCGTGGGACTGTTGAAGTAGTCTTGCCATTGCTCCAAAGATTGTAGTCCGTTCATCAACGACCCTGAAGTAACATGTCTTTAGCACCTATAGTCTCACAAGTGGCTATTGCTAGTATTCATAGTTCTCACCATCATAGCCAAAAGTGGAGGATGACAGCAATGGTACGAGAAGGACCAGATTCAGCCGTAGTAAATGTGGTTGCTGAAACCAGTACTTGTCTGTTACTGGCAGTGCCGCTGCAAGCGAACCGCCTATGATGTTTGATTCACGTCTCATTTTCCCGCAGTGAAAGTCTCTACCTGTACAATGCAGACAGGGAAATCCGGGGTAAAATAGCTGGCAAAAATAAGGTTTCGATTTCCTGGGGTCCCCGCATTCCTCATCCGCTTCCTGTTGCCTGCATGAGGGCATAACGCCTACAACGACGATCCCTTACTTCTTCTTACTGACTGGTCCGGTAAAGCCTCGGGAAAACTGCGATAATTCAATGCAATAAAAAAAAGCAAAAAAAAAAAAAAATCGCTATAGAATAGAACAGATAGTACATGAGTGAAAGCGAGAGGAGGAGACCAAATAAAACGTAATGATGTACTTATTCAGCGATGATTGAATGAAGTAGTGTTCCATACCAGGAACACACCCAGCACATATCCACTAAATTGGTTGACTACTTGTTATAGAATTCTTACTGTTCGCTTGGAACGGATAATGACGGCATCATCAATTACATCACATTTGGTAGTGTAGTAGTGCGCCGTCAGTCTCCTCCCCGCAAAAGCCTGCAGATCAGCACGACACAGATCACCTGGCGGGAGGACCCATTGCTGTGGGTAGTAGTACATGTGTTTCCGGCGGGCGGATGGCACCCACCCTCAAGACTTGGGCAATTCTAATAGTTGATATTGGGACGCGTATGCTTCGAGTCTAGGGAAGAAAGAAAAACAAGTGCGCATCTGCGTTCTCATATGGCTAGCACCAACAGACCTACCAGACCCCTGCTGGTCTTTGTTTGCACTATATCCGCATAGTTAATGCCTGCCTTAACAATCCAATATTGCACGACTGGAATGTCAACATAGTCTTGCCCGAAACAGAATATGTTTCTAATAACTCTCCTTGCCAGTATCGCCAATGAAGTCCCAGCCAATGTCATATTGATCTTTATATAGGACGCTAGGATCAAACATACGGCCGTCGTTCTACATTTCTACATTTCCAGTATGCGTCCTCAGTTTCCCCGCACAGGCATCCGAGCGCGCAGACGCCAGATGATGCCAAGGAGGGTTAGAAGCTCCACCTTCACAACATCAACATGTCACGACGTTCAACCTCATGCATTATTCGAAAAAGCGTTGAATTATATTACTACAAATTTTCCTCCAGTAGCCCATGCCTTCGCTTACGGCTCTGTGGTGTACCCGCAGAGTGCCAAGACCACATCAGGCCCTGCAGTCCATACAGACGCGCCACTAACAGTCATACAGATGCAAGGGGGCAATAAGAAGTAACTCGACTTCATTTTCGGCGTCTCCTGTGCTGAGAAGTGGCATGGTCTCAACCTTCTGCAGAATTCCCATCACTACGGGGCTTTAGGCAGGCCAGGGAAGCGCGCAGTCGGGCGCGTTCAAGAAGCTGGCGCGGGTGTCTGCTCCAACCCGTTTGTTATGGTCAATGGGACGATTATTGGACATGGTGTCGTCAGCATGGATACTATTTGTAGGGATCTCACGACATGGGATACTCTCAATCTGCCTGGGAGTCTACAGAAACCAACAAGGACTATCTGCCATGATCTGCGCGTACAGCAGGCGAATCAAGTCAATATGTCCTCTGCAACTAAGGTGGCGCTGTTGTTTCTACCAAAGACGTTCGATAAGCGAGACCTCTATGCACTGATAGCTGGTATCTTGTATCTCGGGGATTCGAGGATGTCAGTTGGAGGTGACGACTAAAGATGAAATGCTGACGCAAGAAATTCACATTACAAGGAGAGTGTCAATGATTGCATGACCAGCTGTGATTAGCATAGATGACATCAGATAAACCACACAGTTTATCACTACATCTTATCTTCAGTGATTGACCCACCGGTATTCACTCTGTCATCATGGCACAACCCTTTCCAAACCCCAGCAAAGGTGGGTACCCAATCGCCTCACCCAAAACCCCTAGATGTTGGAACAATCGCGAAAATCCACCTTTCCTAATAGACCAATAGATGGACGCGCCGGTGACGCGTCGACGTCACATAGATCAGATGAGATGAAATCACATCGGATAAGATTAGATTACATTCAAACTATCTGAGGCTGGGTTGGGGACAGAGAGAAAATCTTAAATGTCTTTGGACACCACACGACGGCAGACTGCCAACTCAAGACAGCCATCAAGATGGCTTTTAACTCTTGAATTAAACCTAACGCAAGAGGATCCTCAAACGTATCAAGGCAAAGTACACAGCGAAGTACCTCCGCACAGTTCATGAACAACCATTATATCTCATCCATTCGATCGCATATCATGACGATGAAGGGATCGGGAGGTGAGTGTATTGTAATGAACACGGTGTGCCTCCTAAAAGCCGCTAGCTAAGTCTCAAAGTCGGCACTCATCCCGCCATCGACGCACCGTCGGCGCAGGACCTTCGTAGCTTCCGCTGGACCGATGTGGAATAAACATACCTTCCCGGCCTCCTGTCTCTCTGATAACGTAGGAATGAGAGTCAAAAGAACTGTGTGAAGGTGCATCCACGAGGTATGCTGCGGTCTCTGGGGAATACTCCCTCTTGAATACTCTGGATGCCCCGATATTCGCACGAATAGGAACGCCATCTCTCCCGCCATCGGAATCAGAGACAACAGGCCATTCATCACAATCTGCGTCGGACAGGGAAGGAGTCATCCCCTCACTGCTATTGTCGTGAACTGCTGTTTCCTCAAAATCCCTTCTTATCCTTTCGAAAACGTAAGCCATAGGTGAATCCGCTGCAGCGATACTAGGCATTCCATCTGGGAACCTATCGAAGACGGACAAGGGATTGTCGCCAATCCTTCTGTAGGTTGCCAAAGAGTCACCAGTCACAGTTGCTCCCCATGGATGGACTTCTTCACCCCTAGAATTGAGCATAGGCGTCACGGTTGGGCGTACCCGGTTAGCTAATAATCGAATATGTCGGTTCGGATCATTTGGGCCTGGGTTGCCAAGGATAATTTTGAAGGTGACTGGGGAATAATAATGTGAGACCGTCAGAATGTACATTGCTGTCTGGAAGGTGTTGATACATTCTTCACTGATACTGAAGCGTTCTCTGCGAGGGAACCACCATTCTAGACCTGATTTCCAGTGTTCAACTAGTGCTTCTGTGGCCATGCTGGGCTCTATACTCAGCTAAGCTTTGGCTTGAGGCCGAAAAGTAGGTATGGTTAAGGCGTTTCTGGGCAGTAAGATGCCGGAATAGTAACTAGGAAGATGATTTAGTGCGAGATCTGCACGCTTCATATACTATTACTGTAGGTTCTACTAGTAAGTTAAACGCTATGGAACTTCCAGCAACATGGATATGCTTTTGTCGGTACTTCCCCGAATTCGCAAGAATAAGCATATCTTTGGCATGAGCCGCGATATCGTCGACTAAAAAGTGATTGCAGCTGGGGAATTCGATGGGTCAAGGGCCTCCCTTTCCCCATTTTGTAAAGGAACTCGCCACCATGAACCACGTTCCACAATTTTCTGCCTTATTACTGCACACAATTGGCTATGAATGGCGAAGACCTCAATTAGCTGCTGAAATCTATAAGAGTAGATATTATCTATTCTTAGGGCATGGGCTATTTCCGACTTGTCATAGTAGACATACTGTTAAAGTTGAGACTGAGGGTACCCGTCTGAACTATCTTGACGGAAAGTGCATCCTCCCTGACTTATTCTTCTTCAGAAGTTTCTGCAGAATTCACGTAACGGTATATACCGTAGTTTAATTCGACTGTTGGTACTGTTTCAAAAGATGACCCTGAATCAGCGCCATTTTCATCACTGTCCATTGCACCGTTAACTTGTGTGTCAAGTGGAGAGTCAGTTATACTATCTTCCCATATAATAAAAGGAGAGGCTGTGATCATCTCGAAGTCTGCCTTGATGTAACTCAATGGCTGATACACGTCACTGAAGGGCTCACGTGTCAGATAGTCATCATTGCCATGTCTTTTGTAGAACGTCATTATATCGCCGATCCAAGTTGCTCCCCAGGGAAAAAGTCTCTGTACGCCTCCGTGGGCAGTGATCGGTGGTATAATTACGCGTACTACATCTTCCAATAAATCCAGATAACAATTAGGGTGCTCGATATCAAGTTCGCCCGCAACTATATGGAACGTTAAACGGGAATGCACATATGTCACTGTGACGATGTCAATAGGCGCACTGTAGGTTTGGGAGTCTCTCACGACTGAGATACTGTAGCCTCGTTCAATTGGAAACCAGTCCTGAAGCAGATATTCCCAATATCCCTGTAGTAGCCTTTGTCTGTCGTCTGTTGACGTGTTATTTTCGGGTTCCATTCTTTGTGACCTTGAATAGGACAGTGGTTGGGCTCAATAGCACGGTATTTTCAGTTATTGAGCCGTTGTACAAATATCCAACAAATGGGGGCTTTGAGCCTTCTTAAATGGTTTGATGTGATGCCAGTACGGACTAGGGTGCGGACCCTTCCGATGATATGAAAGGGATTGATCGGCACCTAACTAACTCATCTGGTCTTGAGCACTGCATCGGTATCTTCCATCCAGCTATCTCAATTGGCAGACATCCAGATTAAACGAACAACAAACATCCTAATTAGGCAAGGAAACACCTGAGAGGTGATCTCTCGCCGCTGATAATACATCGGTCTATGCGCCTCCATTTCAGTCATCTACAAGTACTTCACACTGTATTAATCCTGTATAAAAGAAGAAAGATTTCGGGGTTATTTTACGATCTACAGTTAGAGCGATTTTAGATAGAGGATAATAATTTCCCGTATTTACCCAACACCGTCAGTCAAAAGTAGAGCTATTCCCGACTTCCTACTGACCAATCAGAGCGCTCATAGCTAGCATCCCACGAGAGCATCCTCCCCTCCGACCCACTTTCCCTTGAAATCAACTGCAGACAGCCGAAAGCAGTGTCAAGTCTACCCTGGGTTGTTGCATCATACGTCTTAGCTCAGACAAGTCACTAAAGGCAGCTCGGTTTTGTGATCGGCTCGTAAAAGGGAAAAAGAAGAACGCAGCTTCTTATGTTCCGGTACTTAGTACACACTTCAGAATCGTCGAATCTCTGAATGCCGTCCGATTAATAATCTTAAAGCAAACCGAGGTCCTAGGCCAGTTATGATTAGAAAATGTAAAAGCCATCCCCAAAACCTCTGCTAGCAGAGCAGACATTGGCGGGCGTTTTGGAACTAAAATTTTCGACAAATAGTGTGGCGTTGATGTTTCAGAAAAGAAAGACCGTCACCACTATTATTTTTTTTGGTTTCAACGCCAACTGTTTCCAACGGTCGAAGCTGCTCGAATATTTTATTCATATCTTTTTTAGAATCATGAACGTCCTTTCCGTGCAAGTTTGAAGTTTCATACACTCATTCATTCATTCATTCATTCAAATACTCATTCTTTTTGGTAAATATTAATTGCACATAACCAACCACCGCCGCTTGTTGTAGGGTTTTAAAAAAACAATGCTGTCCGCAGACTTTACTCCCTTGTCGGACCGAGTGTACCTACGCCATGGCAGAGAGAAAGTCAAATTATCCGGGAAGGACGAGCCAACCACAATCATCATCTTCGGCTGGGGTGACGGTATGCCGAAGCACGTCTCAAAATATGCCGACGGCTTCCACGATCTTTACCCGTCCGCTCGGATTCTTCTCGTACTATCAAGTACCTTACAGGCTCTGAACCAACCTCTTGAAGCCAGAATACAAGACATGATGCCGGTCATTGACACTGTTTTCCCTACTCCAACGGGAGACGGCAGCAGTGAAGAGCGAGTTCTGCTGCATTCAATGTCAAATACCGGCGGTATCTTCTTGGCTGCTACCTCAACGGCCTACCAAAAACGCCATGGCGCGGACAAAAGACTACCCCATGAGCTTCTCGTTTGCGATTCAACACCCGGTGGGCTTTCTATCTTCACACAAGCCGGCCGCTGGTCGCGGGCTATGGCTGTGGGCACATCCAAATTCTTCCCCTGGCCGTTTATGGTCACACAAGCATTGTGGTTTGCTATCCTCTGGATACACTCCGCACTGGGGTGGCTGCGTGGGCTAGAACCTTCTGGGGTTTGGGCTGATCGGGTGATGAATGATGAGTCGGTCACAACGCGAGAGTCGAGTCGGCTGTACCTGTACTCGAGGGAAGACGAGATTATAGGATTCGAGGACCTTGAGAAGAATGTTGCCCAAGTTAGGACCCTAGGCTATCGGGCGGTTGACCTTGAGTTCTTCGAGGGCTCACCACATGTTGGTCATATGAGGCTTCATCCAAAGCAGTACTGGGCGAGAATTTCGGAGTGCTGGAAAGCGGCCATAGCCCCAAAATGATGGTTTGATCGAATACACACTCCGTCATGCAGGAGCCAGAACCTCATACGCGCAAGGAAAGTGTTCTGAGGGGCCCATCTTTGTAATAATAGAATGTCGCGTGAGCGATACAGGTACTGTGGTGTTAATTGTTCCCAGTCAGTTAATAAGTATAAAGATTTTTTCGGATTTCTCGCTTTATAGTTATTCTAGGTTAGTTTATGATCTTGATAACTTATCTAATTGAATTGTATTCTGCAAAGCAATGGAATGTCGATATAAGTATATGTGTTACGGTATCACAATAAAATAACTCGATTGATAAAAATAGTGTCTATAATGGTAAATTACGCATTATCAATTCGTGTTTATCGTCCTGCGACATTGATTTTAGTATTCTCGGGATGGTATTTCCCCCTTTTTACCTTTTTATATTCAAGGCTCACATTGATTTTAAATCTCTCCTGGCTACCATGATATGAGCTGTCGGCGCCAAATGTCGGCGCAAAGGATGGGTGGACACACGTCTACGTATAACCTTTCATAAAGGGTCACATTGGAGTCGAGCTGATCAGAAGACTATGGAATACGTCCGATCCAAACTTGTATTTTAATAATCAAAAAGAATGCTCAGGGAGATGTCCTAGTCCCCCACACTAATATGAAGGCGGACATTTACCGACGTCGGAAGATCTCCTTATCGGAATATTCCCGTGTCAGGACTAGGTCCCGACATAGAACATTGTGCAATTAATAAGCTTTAAGAATGGAAATACTCCATGATTCACATAGTACCAATCCCAAAATCTGACAATATACTGGAAATGGATTCAAAGCATCACGTGTGCCCTTCCTTCAATGACTTGCCATTGAGGAAAGATGGCCCTCCCGGTAACGCTTGGGGCCTTTGGGGTCCTGACGATCAGGTCGGGTCTGTGAATCATCTGACGGACTCAGTAGTGGCGAGGGCAGCCAAAGAGGAGATTCGAACAGGGACTAGGGTGTCTTTGAAGTATGTTAGCTTCTAGTAACTCATAGTGGTCGCGTGGGGAACGGCTGGGCTTGTTAACACAATATATGTATAGTTGGGCTCTGAATGCTTCCTCATATCCTCACTTGACACGCAAAACTCTAGAGCTCAAACTGATCAATAAGGCACCTCTCAAAATTGCTCATGACGATGAGGTATGTTTACCAGATTTCCTGGAAGTAAGTGCTATACTGAAGATAAGATAGTGGTCGTTCAACCCACAGTGCAGCTCACAGTGGGATGGGTTTCGACACTATGCCTACCAAAATGAAGAGGTGAGCGGAGAACGAAGCTCCAGAGTATGGCTATATTCTAACAGACATGCGCACAGCTCTACTACATGGGTCGAACAGCAAAGGAATTCGAAGCGTCCACAATTCCGAACGGGGTTCAACGTATGAGTCCTATATGTGTTACTTTATCTATCAAACATACGCACCAGAGAGGCAGGCGAGACTAATGACGATTGTATGTCGCAGACATTGCAGAACGAGGTATCACTGGACGTGGCATACTTATCGACTGGTACAAATGGTACCAAGACAAAGGCCAGGCCGTCGATGCCATGAGTCCTTATCCCGTGCCATTTGACCAGCTTATTGAGGTACTGAGGTATCAAGGACTGTGTGAGGACGAAATTAGACCGGGTGATATTATTCTAATTCGGTTCGGTTATATCAGCCAATACGAACGTATGAGCGAAGTTAAACGAGCGCGACTTGATGCGCTGTACAGGAAGCAGAAGCCTGAGAACATCGGAGTTCAGCCTTCCGAAGAACTCTTGAGGTTTCTCTGGGAAAAGAAGGTGAGCGCCGTTGCAGGCGATACGCGATCGTTCGAGGTTTGGCCTTGCACACAGACCCAATGGCATCTTCATGAGTGGTTGCTCGCTGGGTGGGGGATGCCGATTGGAGAATTGTTCGACTTGGAAAAATTAAGTAAAGCCTGCAGTGAAGCGAGCAGGTATAGCTTCTTTTTTACGAGCGCTCCTATGAATGTGAGTCATGCCCGTTCCAGTGGAAATATACTGTTGATCGAGTCTCACCCTACCTATAATTCACAGGCTCCCGGCGCTGTTGCTAGCCCTCCAAATGCTTTTGCATTTTTCTGACTCTTTATGGGAACTTCAAATATCAGTCGGAAAGCTGACAGACTAGTACTATGGCAATCTAGTGGCGAAGCAATCAGAGATTGTATATAGTGCACATTGAGAGTAATGGAGAGACATATTAGACCTACTTGTGCCAGTCCTGATACAAAGGAGTTCTTGACTTGTAAATACCTACATGCATTATGCATCAAAAGCCATCTACCATAAAAATTTACATCGAATAGGCAGATATAAAAGCCGTAAAAGGCCGGATAGGGGAATCAAGAGCAATAATAAAATAATTGATAGAGAAAAAAAAATTTTCAATGACGAAAAACTCTTGCTCTAAAACTTTCTCGGAGAATATAGAAGACCGGATCAACCAAGATATACATCCGAGATCAATGAGTACAGGAACAAAATCCCATAAAAAACACACTTATGTCTAATGCGGTTTCTTTGATTTGAGATCTAACATGCGAAGACATGTGTATTGAGTCACAATATGTAATATGTAATGACAAACAGTAGTTCCGGAAGGCAAGGATGAAAGAGATCGTTTCCGAGAAGTCTAGGGGTTCTCACAGCGTGTACTTGAAGATAGGGCTCTTCTCGCCCATGGCTGCCAGCTGATCCGGAGTATAAGTTTCACGAACTTCACTCTCAGAGATTCTGTCTTTGTGCTGGTTCAGGCGCCACAATGCATATTCAAGTGAGCAAGCCGCAATAATGCCCATAGCGATAATTCCAAGTGACACACCATATCCGACCACATAGTGTGGAGCTTGGTCGTCAAGAAATACATTAGTTCCAATGAAGCCTGGCGACGTCAGTGATGATTATAGGTGTTCATGAAGTAGACTAAAACTCACAGGCAGTATTTGCTGCAGCCAATAGCCAGGCGATACCAATCGATCTTTTCCAAGACTGGGGAAGATTATTCCCGGTCCAGGCTGAGATTCCAGGCAGCAACGGATAAATGCCGATTTGTGCTAGAATAATCGCAAAATACATTGGGCCTTTGTAGGCGTCAACATTAGCTGACAATATGAAGAGTATCAAGAAAGATACAAGCAACAAGGCCATCGGCGCGACGATGAATGGGAAACGCCAAGTGAACCGATCAGCCAGTCGGCTACTCAACCAACTAGAAACAGCTCCGCAAAAGTATGGTGGAACTGTCAGTAACTGCGCATCCTGCGATTCGAAGCCCAGCTTGTTGATGATTGTAGGCATTGTGTAGGAAAATGCCGCATTAGGGGCGGCGTTGACCATGCCCATTAGCGCCCCTAGAAGGATCTTCCAGTCTAGCATTGTATTAAGCAGCAATGACCAGGAGAACTTGTCACCTTCTCCCGTGGTGGACCGATTGCCGCTCTGTCGGAAGCGAAGATCGAGATATTGCTTCTCTTCTGCTGTGAGCCATCCCACCTTTTCAGGACTATCTGGTAACAGAAGAGGGAGGAACAGGCTGAATGCGGACGGGACAATACCCTCCAATATAAAGATCCATCGCCACCCTGCAATCCCACGTATGCCGTCCATCTTGGATATTCCAAAAGCCAAGAGGCCACTGAATGCTCCTGAAATGGCCGAAGCTGTATATAGAATGGCCAAACGTTGTTGGATCACATTTGGTGGGTACCACTGTGTAATCAGATAGACAGCGCCAGGAAAGAATCCCGCCTTAAGACAGAATGTGTGGTGAGCATGTGGAAGCCCATGACGAGGGTGAGCTTACCTCACATATACCCAACAATACGCGACATGCAGTGAGGCTTGCGAACCCTTGAACAGCACCCATACATGTCATCACGATGCCCCAAGTGAGGACCTGAGCTGCAAGCCAAAAGCTTGGACGTGTTTTCTTGAGCATTACGTTCGACGGGATCTCTGAGCCAGATCCATCATCATTAGCAACTGAGGTGATCCGTAGTATTATCAAATTCCGACTTACCGAAGATGATATAAGGAACGAAGAATAGGCTGCTGGCAATGTTGTACTGGTTCCCAACAAGGTTCAGGTCCCTACCCATCCCCTCGATTTTGGCATTACCCAGGTTCGAACGGTCAACGTGCGAGAAGAGGTAAAGCAATCCGAGAACAGGGATAATATGTCGGTCAATCTTTGTATTTTGTCAAATAAATATCAGAGTGTTGACTGAGAATCATATCATATTTACCTTTCTCATAACCTGCTTGCCTCGTTTCCCTTCATACAGACGTAGGATTGCGGCCTCTTCGTCCGAGAAGCCTGCATAGGCAATAGATTCAAGATGCGCGACATCAAGACCTAGTTTTCCTCCTTTTCCAGGATCCTGCTCCATTGCTTTACAAAGTCCTTATGTCACTGAATATTGATAGCGGTATATGCTTTGAGGCTCGGATCCAAATCACTGCGAATAATGAAGATGTCTCTAAATATGCCCAGGAAGAGTTAGTTCACTCTCCATTTATCTCACACATAGCGTGTAGTACAGCCAGAATATGGGTCTTGGATCTGGATACCCCACGGGGTATGTCCGCTTCGGACAACATCCGAGGAGGGCTTTCTGGAGAAGCCAATTGCTTAAGACATCGGTAAGATACCGGAAGATGGTTTAGAGATTAAGGAGACCAAATTTTACCCCTTCTGGTAGATTTTTCATCACTCATTAGCCCACATATTATATAATGTCCTCAATAGGTCAGTCACAGAGACATGTAATTGTTTGACTTTGGCAGACGCAGCATCAAAATGCATTCACCTTACTCTTATGACATGGTCGAAGGCAACCGTATCCATCACTGAAATGTAATGCATGCTCTATAGAACCACTAGGTCTACCTCGAATACATGGTCGAGGTATACGTCGTTATTAACAACCGTCCAATCAGAGATGTCAAGGTCTACGTGCGCTCATCTGTGCACCAAATAGCTTGGGGGAAGTGACATTCTTTTGTCACATCCCCAAACTGGATAAATACTGTGCCCAATCCATCCGAGGCAGGCTACAGCTATTTAAGTTCTTCCCATCATAACGCGTGGGTTTGGAGTCGTAGTAGTCTTCCCGATCATTCAAAAGATGATCCTTTCGTCCACTCATTGCCGATGTCTCGCATTTTGGTCGAGAATCAAGTTTCCAAGCGCATTTGGTAACCAGATGCCAGCCAGGAAATGTATTGCCGAAGTTAGCCAAAGCTTAGCTATGGTATTTCTGTTTTACCTTGAGAAACGCAAACAGCCATAAGTCTTGAACAAGCCGAGACCACATTTCCAATCCTTTCACGGTGGGGTCAATTCCTCTTCTATAAGTCTGATGATTCCTGTTGCATTCTCTACAACGCACATATATTGTTCTCCCATATCCGCACGTAGAGCCGAATTACCTTGTTTAACAGTAGATTTCTTAGCCTGGCCATGTTGATAAGGAGCTTTCTTCTAAACCTTTCCTTTACTCAACCAATATTTCGGTTGTAATTCGAGCAGTAGCGGCCGGAAACGTGATATAGTAACGTACTTCTTCGCCGAACAGTGTAACAGGAACTCCTGAGCATAATTCGGATTTATAGGTAAGAAGTAGAAAGAGGATGCACCCGTCTTACAATCTTACTAGGACTTCGCATACCGCTAATATAATATATCGAGCCCGGTATATGATTCAGGCTCATGCCCTAACGAAAACAATATGTATCCGGTCGCACTTAACCGCAAGATTCAACCCAAATACGGACAGATAAGTTCCCAAGCAGACACCCACTTCTCCTCGTCGTTAAGCTCCACCATAATCATGACCTCAATCTTCTTCTCCGGTTCATCACCCATTGCAAAATTACAAATCAGTCTTGCAGCAATTTTCTTGTTGTCGTAAGCGAAAAATAGCAGGGAACTGTTGATCTTCTTGCAGTTTTGGCGGAAGAAAGTGATTTTCTCGACGGCGCGCTCAAAGTCCGTTCGGTCGCTGCCAGCTTCCAAGCGCACATAGTTGGGGCTGAGTACTTCTTCACAGAATGAACGAGCTTCGTTTGGGTTTCCGGTAAAGAGTCTGTCCCAGATGGATTTGAATTGCTCGGGTGTCATCCTCAAAATTCGCTCTTGTAGGGAAGATAAAATAATTCGTGAAACTATGATTTCGGATTATTTGTTCTGGCGCCGAGTAGTGTAGTGTAAGCTTCGGCGGAGGAAGAGCAAAGGAATTACATTGTATGTTGCTTGGGTTCAACGACCTTCTAGCAATTTATTTTGTGCTTCTCAGAGACTACAGGAGTATTGAATTCGACTATTGGTGTAAAAGGGTATCTTTAAGGCCAATCCAGCACCAATCAAATGATCAGGCGTCCCGTCACGCCTTGTGACACGACCAGACAAAGACCGCCGCTCCGCTCCTGCGGGATTGTTCGGAATCCAACAAGCACAGTAGACACAGCTTACGTGTAGCAGCATGAGCCATCCACCAATCTACATCCGTAGATACGCGGTCAGACCATCATGAAAGTATACTAATTCGTACAGTTATCGCTGACTGCGTTTATCTGCGCAGGTTCCCCACAACTTCGACAAAATATCACAATGCCCCAACCAGACAGAATATGTCTTCCCGCGGGACTATCTTGACAACAACCGGTACGTGCAAACTGTCCCCTGATCAAAATGGCTACATTCTAAACGATGGGGACAGTATCCAACCTACATATCTATCTCACAACGGAGCTCTTCGGACACCTCCTACACCCAGACATACCTCTCCAGCACGCGAACCTCAAGATTGCAGACATCGCTGCAGGAATCGAGTAGGATCTTATATATGCAACTATCGTTATTAGTGGTTGGCGAGTATACTGAAGTTTGATTGTAGAATAGTACTTACCGATTTAAGTCTTCGTCTTTCGCCGTCAGTGCAGCTTGTTGCGTTCGACTCTTCATTAGATGCCTTTCCTCCCAAAGAGTAACTCCCTCGCCAATGTTGGCCTGCAGAACTGAGATATGAAAATAGATGTTTCGCACGAGTTCGAAGGGGTTACCATTACGATACTATTCATGTCCCCAAAGTAGTGTTTGTCTTATCGGATGAGGAGATCGTAGCCATTGTCAGCAAACTGTTCAAACTCCTAGGTATGATCGTTTGTGCGTGAAAGCTTGTTTTAGACCAGAGATACTCATATCCCATGGTTATAGAGCCTGGTGGTTACCTTCAATCTGAAGAGGTCGTTATCCACACCCTTCGCATCATAAGATTAACGGTGAATGCAGAACCGCCGCTCTTGAGGAAATAGTGCGGATTACTCGCTCCGTAGACCTCAGGTTGGTGTCTCACTGGGTTCCCGAGCTTCCGGGTTAATTCGAGGGTGTTGGGCTCGTGGATGCTAAGACGGATAGTCGTGAAGAACCTGGATACATGGATTACACTTTTCATGAGTGTGTGTTAATGGTACACGATATGATTGCTCGGAAGACAAGGAATGAGGAAGTAGGACAACGTTTGAAGAAGATTCTCCCGGAGGTTTTAAGGAGACATACAAAGGGCATTTTATGCGTGGACCAGGCAGACTGTTAGTGGCAGGAAGCCTGAATAAATGTGACAGGAATATGGTTTCTTAGGTGGTCGTTGTGACTGTGTACTAGATTAGACTAGCGATTAGGTTAAGGAACTATTGGAGGACACGCCGTATCGCTGTATCATGACAAGTCAGGTGACAATATCACACCAATAGAATGATGAAGTCTAAACATTGAAATGAGTACTTCGTAATCAGGGATTACGATCTAGACGAAAAAATGCTCTTTCGAAGCATACACCGTACGGGCCCAACTTCAACAGCATGAGGTGCTGCCGTACAAAGCGGGCCCAATCTCTGCCATCCGAAGAGCACCCTGCCATAGTTCTCATCCTGGTTCTAGAAGGTTCGTATTCATGTCTCTTGTGCGTGAGCCCTGATCAATGTGACCTCCCAAGACATGGCAAGATGTTATGCTGCGCCAGACTGTGGTATCACCGACATGCATACCAAATGCGGAATGCAGATCAGTGGTTCTTCCAACCATGTCCCAGGAAAGGGTCAGAGAGTTCATAGCGTGCACGGACCGTATCGAATTCCCGGGTAGGTGATAGGAGCCGCTTCGTTGGGTCGCCGATTCGTATTCTTTATTTAACATATTTTGGCATATGATGCAGTGTGAACGAGGTGGATCACGAACGAAGTAGACTTTCCGAACGAATCTCAGCGATATGCTTTCTCGAAACGGAGAGTGGGTTGGCTTCACAGCCAGAGGGTTCCAGCGGTACTGATGCCATGTCAAGGGCATCACTTCCTGTTCGGGCGTGTTGACTGTTTGCAAAGAAGGGAGAAATTCATTGAAGAGTAGCTATAAAGGCTGGACCTCATCATGATGCTTTCAGGAACTCTGGATTGAAGCAAATCACTCTGCAGCCCCCTTCCCATTACTAGCTTAATATGGCTTCGTCGAAGCAGGGCGTTGAGGCCCTTGGCTCTACTATCGCCGATCTCTCAAAGTCTCTCGCCAATCAGCTTGAGGCCTTGGACCAGCCAGAACCATCATTCGCGATCGATTCTCCAGCGTCTCTGCCCCAAAGCCCAGACATCCAAGGCACACGGCTGAAGCTCCTGGAAACTCTGGAAACTCTTCACCACCTCGTTGTCGGCCCCAGTGACTTCTGGTTCCAGCAAAGCATGTTTGTAAGTATGCAGAGTAGCAAGCACATTTATCCTTCAGGACAGTCCATACATACTAACGCAGATTAGCTTAACCATGCACTCCTCGCCTTTGATGTGTTCAACAACTTCAACTTCTGGGACGCCGTCCCTCTCAATGGTTCAGCTAGCTACTCAGACATTTCAAAGTCAACTAATCTGCCAGAGCAAATTGTGCGACGCATCCTCAGATTATCATTCACAATCTTCGTTTTCTCAGAGGAAGCGCCCGGCTCTGACCGCGTGGTGCACACAGCGGCATCAGCACACATCGTGCGCTTCCCCTTCGTTAAGTCATACCTGGAACATAATATGGAGGATGTCCGACCGGCTGCTACTGTTGGGGTTGATGCCCTAAAAAAGTGGTTTGTTGGTCAATCCGAGCCTCCCGAGGATGTTGCAGCCTGCGCGATCGCACTGGCGACATATGATGGCCATCAGATTGGTAGAGATCTGTGGTATCTTCTCGATAACTCTGAGCGACCCGGTCAACCAAAAGGGTTCCGAGCAAAGCGCTTTGCAGAGGCAATGCAGGGGCTTCGGATGACAAGTGGAGTGATGACTGAGTCTGTGTTGAAGCAGTTCGACTGGGGTAGCTTGGATGAGGCAACCGTTGTTGATGTGAGTTTACCCCGACCTTCTACTATTAAGTGGATAATATCAGAGGCTTCATACTAAAGTAAACCAGCTTGGAGGATCAGCCGGGCATATCAGCGTTATTCTTGCTGAAAATTATCCGAAGCTCAAACTTGTTGTGCAGGACCTCGCCTCGGTGCAGTCTGCCTTTGACGAAAACATCAACTCCACTCCCTATGTCTCGCGCATCAAGTTCCAAGCCCATGACTTCTTCCAACCGCAGGTTCTCCCTGCAGACGTGTTTCTGCTCAAATCAGTCTTGCATGACTGGTCCGACAAATATGTGTCGCAAATTGTCCGTAACTTGCTCGACGTCCTAAAGCCAGGAAACCATTTGGTGGTCTTTGATTTCGTCATGCCGGAAGACTATGACGAGGAAACAGGCTCGAAGCCCCCATTGCCGGTAAGGAAGCTGGTTGCTTCGATGGACATGCAAATGTTTGTTGGCTGCAATTCCAAGGAGCGGAAGGTGAAGGACTGGAGCGATGTTATTAAGCGAGCGGATAGCCGGTTTGAACTCAAAGAGGTTCATGTCCCTCGAGGATCGCCCTTGGGGCTCCTTGATTTTGTGTTTCAGGGGTAGTTTGCACTAGGGACGGTCGATATGCGACCGCTTGGTTCCCGAACGTGTCCGTTTGTTCGGTTGGTGGATTGTGTGAATAGAACTGGACGCTTTATTCGTTGAAATTCAAGACCCAACAGCTAATTGAAGAACAAATCCCAGTCAATATTTGTTTATCCACCTGAACTGGGAGTGTAGAGTAATCGCCCATAGGGTCATATGCTAAACTTTCTATTTTGGGATACATCAAGGAAACCAAGCTTCGAGCCGATAGAGGTGTGATTGGTTCGTGGCCCGGATCTCACCGGCACAATGGGACGCCTGAAACCAGCCCGAGGAGGCTTAAGCGCCAGCTCCTGCAGCTACGCCTTGATAACAAGATTACCACCTGACGTTGCACATATCCTATCCTATATCCAGATATTCATCCTTTCCAGGATTGGGCGGACTGCGGGAGTGGCTATGCGGAGCAGGCCCTGCCCCAGCTTCTTCCTTCAACCAACACGGTACTTGTCTAGGAGAAGGCCATTTACCACAACAATGACCTCGAAAAGAAAAGATACCTGGACCTTCGGTACGCCGTCCGCATCAAAAGCAGCACCCCAGAGTGCGAGCGAAAAGACCCATTGGGTGAGAGATGGAAATCAAACCGAGGGACTCAAAGGCTTTCGGAATCCATGGGACAGTTCTCGCGACTTCACCTTCACGGAATTATTTAAATCTATGATGCGGTATGCACTCGTCATTTGGTAACAGAATTGACCGTCTGATAAAGCTCTGCAGACACAAGTTCCTCTCGGGAGACAGCCAGAAACCCGACACCACTTTATCGACCGTGCCAGTCGCAAATCCAACATTTCTACCAGCTGCCACATGCCCAGGCTTGCTGCGTGCAACATGGCTAGGTCACGCCTCCTTTCTCGTTGAATTCCCTACTGGTCTACGCGTTCTCTTTGATCCCGTGTTTGAAGAACGTTGTTCGCCGTTTTCGTGGATGGGACACAAACGATTTACGCCTACACCGTGCGATATATCTGACATTCCCATCATTGATTGTGTAGGTCTTGACACCCATGCTCTGTTTGCGATAATGCCTGACATATAGGTTGTGAAGGTCGTGATTAGCCACTCTCACTATGACCATCTTTCGTACCCGACAGTTCTTGAAATTCAGAAACATCACTCGTCAGTCAAATTCTGCGTACCAAAGGGCCTTAAAAGGTGGTTCGAGGACTGTGGCATACATAATGTCATTGAGCTAGATTGGTGGGAGGGTGTCAATCTCGAGTTGGCTGCCACGACCGACGATAACACTTCAGACTCCACTTCAATCCCACCCCCCATCGATATCTCAGCTACAGCAACAATCTCCTGTCTCCCCTGTCAACATACATCCGCGCGCACCCCCTTCGACAAAGCAACGACATTATGGGCCTCCTGGTCCGTTTCCTCTGGCGGGAAGTCGGTCTACTTCGCAGGTGACACAGGCTATCGCGTTGTTCCCCACCTCCCGAAGGACATTGATGACTGGGCACCCGAATACGCCGATCTACCAGTCTGTCCGGCATTTAAGGAGATCGGAGAGTTCGTTGGACCGTTTGATCTTGGACTCATTCCGATCGGAGCATATAGACCACGACATGTCTTGAGCACTGTTCATTCAAATCCGTATGATTCTGTGGAAATATTCAAAGATACGAGATGTAAGAAAGCTATTGCGATTCATTGGGGCACTTGGGCTGTTGCGGAGGAGGATGTAATGGAACCGCCACGACTGTTAAAGGATGCGCTGGTTAAGAGCGGCCTACCAGAACAAGGAGTATTTGATGTGTGTGGCATTGGTGAGAGTAGGGAGTTTTGAGATGAGATTATCCAGAGTGGCGTTGTACTTTTTGATTGCAACCCCTGGGCCTTATACACATATATATTAGCTGCTTGATTATGAGGTTAAGAAGGAATGGAAGACTGAGTCCAAATTTGTGGTCAGACGATTTAGCCAAGTGCTACCCGCAAATACTGGGACATATCATAATTAGCTTGTCGACCGTATAATATGGTACAATATATGGTAATTCTCTATAAATAGGTTTTTCTAATGGGGGTTTGTACCGCTAATATTTATCCTTGGAGTGCATAATATAAGGATGCATCCAGTCTTCGGACTGAAGATCTGTAGTACAATTCGTTTTTCTAACTGTTTTTGTATGCTATTTGATTTATCCTCGTTCCCTTCGCAACTGAATATTGCCTGCTCTCGCACTTAAGAAACTTCAAGATGCCTTTGCCATTATACTGTAGAAAAGATGGCCACGCACGCTCGTGGACGTTGAACAGCGGAAGCAGAGGCACAACTTGTTGATGATTAAATCGAGTAAGTACATTCCCAAACTTCCTATACGAGACTTAGGCCGCCCTTCCTAAGAGCCCGCCGTGCCACCCTGACCGACGGAAGGGAACGGCATTGCATTCCATCGTACTCGACGCAAATGCCTGGCAGGATCCTTGATGGCATCCCGCCCATGGAGCCACTTATGGTTGTCCAGTATGACAATTGACTGTTCGGGTAAGTCCGTCCCTGTCAGGTGTAACATGGACTGAGGACTTTTTGCCAGCTCATTCAACGCATGCTTCAGCTCCTCATATGCTGCCGCAGCCCTGGGGTTCATGGGCTCTATCAGGTCTTCCCGGAACCTCATTACCAGCGATTTATCCATCTTGTCCAATCCAAGGATGCTCCCCATTATGTGCTGTTTATAAGGCTGTTTAGAAAATTCAGGAGGAATCTTGATTTTGAACTCCGGTTCGAATAGAGCTTTCTGTACAGCCGGGGACAGGTAATGCGCGAGCTTGGCAATCGTCATGAGGGACAGGGTACCCCCACCGTAGCGATCAGGCTGCAGAACCTGAAGCGCAAAGTATTTCGGGGGTGCGCTCTCGTAGCTACAGTCAGTGTGCCACTGAAACTCATGCATGGTTTCTGATCGTGCGAGAGGAACTCGTGTCTGCAGGCCAGCAGAGCTGGGGCGAACATCCCAGAACCAGCCTCGGGAAGCGCTGTGGCGTGTAGGAGGCCCATGTCCGTGATGAGCGCAAAGGTTAAGTATTATGCGCTCCAGGTATTGGCTGTCGTCATCGGGAAACTGGAGGCGTATCTTCAGAATGCCGCTGGTTCGGAGATGATGGTGGATGTCCCCCACATGGGAACGACGCTGGGAGTCAGTCGAGCATCTCACGAGCCGTCACGGAAGGTATGCCTGGCGTGACTTTGGCTGCGAATTGACGACATAGAGGACGATTTCCGGGAAGATGCCGCGTGGAGCCACACCTTCTAGCTTTCAAACTATCGAGTGCAACTTTGATCCTTCTCATTGGGGCCAGATTCAGCTTCGTACGGCACGAGAAGAGTCGAGAACAGTCAGGAGAGAGTCAGAAGATGGTCAGAGGATGGTCAAAGAAGGGTCAGAGAAGGGTCAGAGAAGGGTCAGAGAAGGGTCCGCGAAGAGTAAGATATAGCGCACAAGAACCTATCGTGATATACCTCGCCAGGTATGAATCGATGTCAGTCTGTAAGAACTGAATCGCAAATTCTGCCCGAGGTAGTGTCTGCGCTATGATATTGTACCTCGAAATGGGTGACAATAAATAATGTTGGAAGGGAAGGCTCGTGTTACATTCTAGAAGAAGCAACTTCGAGAGTCAGGGTCTGTTGAGTGGCTGACACACTTTGTAGCCGACAACTGAACACACCCCAGACTCGTTGAATATGAGTGATTATAGGAAGCAATATGTGGAGAAGTTGTGTGTGTCCGATTGCAGTCATCAAGGCAAGGGTTGAGGCACCTGTCTTCCTTGGACCACTTCGCGAGACCCTAGCGCTAATCAGCAGCAAGTCGGAACAGTGTATCTCTTGATAGATGTCCCTTTATCCGGAGAATGAACTGAGTGTTACCACGTGTAGGTGGAGTCAGAATCATCAGTGAATTAAGGGCCAGGTGCCTCGTCGGAATGAAAAAGAAAGATTGGACTATACGTTTTCAGAACCATGCTGCCAAACATTACCGCCTGCTTCTACGCCAGCGATCCTTCCTGTTGAGGGAGGGAAGTTGGTTTGCCGGGATGATGGAGAAGGATCCGAGGCCATTAGGGATGTTGTTTTGGGGGGTTAGGGTGTGATTCAGAGGATCGAGACAGGATAGAAGTAATGGTTTATTTAGTTACTATTAACGGAAAAGGTTTTCCTGGCTTTCGAATGTATCAACTCGAGATAGGGTACCTCGTGACCGTTGAAATATATTTCATGCATCGCGAGGTAGTATTTCCCTGTTGCACTCGGTTGCGTCGACAATTGGTTTGCTGAAGATTCCAGCCACTCTATGAAGTTCATAATCTAAGTTTCCACATGGCACAGATTTAATTTGTACCTGTAAAAAAAAAAGGGGGGCGCCGAGGGGGGAGAACTAACGATGAGGCGTGTGGCTCAGCCTTACCCGCTCAGTCCGGCGTACCTCTATTTCGCCAAAGACCTTAAATGGTTTTCCACTGCGACTGCAACGCTCCGAGATATGACAGGTTCCATTAACTGTTATGGCTCATAATCCCAAATAATGTGAGTAACTCTATTCTCTAAGTATGTCGCAAGTATATTTCCATATCCAATTCTATGTATAACCAAGCTTTCCTTGAAACTCCTAACTCTAATACCGCGCTAAGCAAGCCCGGATCAATTCCGACCATCAGCTTGTGCTCTATGGAGACTTGTCTGAGACTCCGACTTTCCCGAATTTCTCAGGGCATTATGGTCATGATCTTCATCGCCAATTTTAGACCAGATTGTATCTGTGCCCTTCAGCCACGGCCTCATAGGATGTGAGCGCAATGCATCAGACTGCCCTGAGCGATGTGGTTGCTCCGAGTCCTCGTATGATGGTTCGCTGGGCTTGGAGCCAAAGCCGAGAGATTGCTTCACACTACGCGGCAGTCCTGATTCAATGATGAGTTTCGACAGGCAGGGTACACTGAGAATGAAGAAACCGCAGGTCATTTCTCCGCAGGCCCAGAATAGTAGTGGGCCGATGAGGTACATGGTATCGGTTGTGTTGGCGAAGGCGACGGTGTGGGAGAGGCGGAAGCATGCGGCGACGGAGGCGCTGGTAGAGGATGATGTTAGTTGGATTTCATTGTCAAGTAGTAATCTGAAAAACGCACAGTATACCGACGCCGAAAATGATTGAGACTCCAATTTTCTTTTGCCAATTCATTTGAAGACGCCAGATAATTCGCTGTGGGAGAAAGAACATGGTGATATCTGAGGCGACCTGGACACTGGCAGAGGTGAGCATCACGTCCGGAAGGGAGTAGCATTTACTTGGAAGATAGAACTTCCAGATAGCTTCGTGGGGCCTGCATTGCATGTTTAATAAAAGGATGCACAGCACACCCCATACACACTGCAGTGTTATCACGGAGGCACATCCCCACCAGAAGGCGTTCCTTGTGCGGTTGAGAGGGACGAAAATTCTGCACCAATCTAGTAGGATTGCAGTCTTGATGAGAGGCAGGACAGCCGAGTAACAGCATCCGTAGATGAGAATCAACTGGCAAATTAATGGTCAACCGCAATGCCGTTTGCCTGCAGGCGGGTCAACGTACATAAAGAGGCCTTATGAGGTCTTTGTTGTGTAGATTCCACGTATGAACGTAATACCCTGGGGTGTAGATCAAGGCATACCCTGCGTAAGCTGTACCCCAATAGGCGCCCTAGATGGAACATTAGATTAAGTACAAGCTAGTAAAGGAACCAGTGTCAAGCAATACATATGCACCAATCATCAGCACTATTGGAACAGGGGATTTTGGTTAGTCTCGCTCTTTCAGTGAGCAATAGAAGGTGAAGGGTGTGAAAGCATCACTCACCTTCCTCGATACCAACCCTTCTATCCAACCATAATCGAGCAAAGATTCGTAAGAGAAAGCATATTGTGAGTACCACGGTACAGAAAGTCGTTACCACCCAAGCCAGCGTATTGCTATTCGGTGGGTTGTCAAAATTTGCGGTAACACCGGACGGAGCTGCCAGAGCTGGCTCATCGAGGAGAGTCGCCAGTGCTTCTGGTGACATCTCGCGCAAGACAGGTTTTCAACAATGGCACAACTTCAGGCATGTTCGAAATCCGAGAGAAAACTTAATGGTTGTGGGGTGTCGAGGCTTCAAATGTCACTGCGCATATATTCACGCGTGAACTGTTTGATCGTCAGTGTGATAGGCCCAATTTTTGCGATTATGGACCGCTCAGGGGGTGCCGCAACTTGGTGCCTGCTACTAATGCAAGGCGCACACACACCATTCGCATGGGCCGTGGACTGATTTTGACGATGCCCTTTTTCGGGATGGTCGCGCTTAGCGCACTTGGTAGCTACGTTATTTTAGGGCGATATAGGATGCATGCTTATACTGCATGTAGGCTGGAGGGTTCGGAGTACGTTAGATTTTCATAAACGAGTAATCTAGCCCAGATGCCTTGCTCAGAGTTTGAATAAGATACTCAATGTTGCGTACCAGCTGGTCGTGTGAATGACCTGGCCTGTTGATCACGGCCTCTCAGTTTGCGGCACACGACGCCCTGTGGAGATGAAAGGATCACAGCTTGTCGCTTTCTGGAATAGTGACAGGAACGGCGTGACACTTAATCTAATAGAGTAGGTGCAGTGGGACACCAGGACAAGCGATGGGCTCGCCTTGCACCGGAACCCTGCCGCTGTGGAGCCGACTAAACTGCGACTAGAGCATAGACGACTAAGACAAGAGTCCGCTGTCGTTGGCAGGACGCTAACATACCGGAAACGGGCCGTCGAGACCACAGACTCGCAGTAATAGTTTGACAGGTCCCAGGTGGCTTGGATCCTTTCTGACAGCCTCGTTTTTGACTGCGCAAGCCGTCCGAAATGACCCTGTTGAACCCCGACCTTCGCTAACTGGAAGGAGTGATGGCTGCATTGGCCCCTTGTTCCCGTCATATCTATTCTGTTTTTTATTATGTGTAGATTAGCTTGATCAAGACTTTACCGATATCCCCTCCGCCAGTCTGTGGCTTCGTCGAAAGTCTCCTTGTTCTATCCTAGTTAAACTCCCACGCCGTTGGGCCGTCTCCACTTTCCATGCAGCATGTCGTTCCATAAATGCTCTCGGTCCCCGCGGGGTTCCCAGTCTTGTGCGACAGTTCATTCCCTACCACCCCAACGAAGTCATGACCCATAGTGAGTCTTGAGATATAAAACTCCAACTCCATGGCGCACAGGACTAACAGCACGGTTGGCTCAGACAGCACAGCACAGCCTCCCGTTCGGGATGAGTACCCACAGCGTGCGGACTTGCGCCGCATGATGAACCAAAACCCTCTCCCGACTCTGCCCCTAGATCTGATCGATCCGTCGGCCATGGTTGGTGACGAAGCAACAATCCAAGCACGCGGCGTGTTAGACACTTTGAATAATGCATTGGCCACTGGCGATATGAAAGCCTTGGAAGGTTGCTTCTATGCAGACCAAGCATACTGGAAGGATCAATTGGCTCTGACATGGCACCTGCGCACATTCAGCACTCCTCGTACTATTGCTGCAAGTCTGCTGGAGACAGCAAATCTAAGGAATGTTTTCGGTGGTGTTGAGGTTGACGGAGCTGCCGTGTTTCTTCCGGCCACACCGGTTCTGGTAGGAGTCTATCTGGTTCACTTATTTGCGACAATCACTGATCATGTATCTCCTCGTTCAGCAATTCATCGATTGTCCGCTCGTTTTTAAGACACAATCGCCTTCGGGTCTCTGTCGCGGTAAGATGTTGCTACTGCCTGTTGTAAATGACGAGCAAAGGATCGCCTGGAAGATCTGGATCTTGAGCACTAGACTCGAGAGCTTGGATGTGCAACCAGAGGATGAAAACCTACTACAGCTCCCCGGGAGGAAACTGAATGAATCGATGGATTTCGAAACCGATGTTTTTATTATCGGTGCAGGAAATGCGTAAGACTCGGTTCCTGGCAGCTTTTTGATTATTCGCTAAACATATTTAGCGGCGTTGCTCTCTCCGCACGTCTGAAGGCTCTGGGAGTTGAGAGCGTTATAGTCGACCGCAACCCTTGCCCTGGTGACAATTGGGCCCTTCGATATGACTGCATGAAGTTCCACATCCCCACAGCATTCTGTGAGCTTCCGTATATGTGTTAGTCATCTCTGATCACTTCTCCTTACCTGATCCATATACAAGAGCAATGCGTTAACCCAAGCAGGCTATGACAAAGAGCTTCAGACTCCTCACCTGCTTACGCGCCAGGACCTGGCTTCACAAGTCCGTCGTTATGTGGAGACATTTCATTTGAATACTATCCACTCCGTCAAAGTCCTGTCGACGGAGTATGATGAGGTCGCTCAAAAGTGGCATGTTACTTTCGCGTCACCTGCAGGCCAGCGCAAGGCCACTTCAAAGCACCTCGTCATGGCAACGGGATTTGGCTCTCAAAAGCCTAACATGCCACAAATCGCAGAGCCTCAACTGTACAAGGGCATCAGTGTTCACTCGGCCGACTACAAGAATGCCAAGCTACTGCGAGAGCAGGGAGCAAAGGTATGTCTGTTTCCGAAATCTTCAAAAGAATCCCAAGCGACGCTAATCGTACAAGTCTGTAATGGTCATTGGCTCTGCAAATACAGCATTCGATGTCCTTGTCGACTGCCACAAAGCGGGCCTTGATGCGACAATGGTCGTTAGGTCCCCTACTTATATTGTGCCGCTCGAGTATGTCTGTGATAAGAACAGTCTCGGTGCGTATGATGGTGGCGTTGATGCGGCCGATAAACTTCTACTATCGTTGCCTGCAGTCGTGGATGGACAGCTAGCCCGTGGTTTGTTTGCCATGCTCGCTGCGAACGAACCGCAGCGATACGCTGCACTTGAGGCAGCTGGCTTCCCCGTCCTAGATAGCCGAAACCCAGACTGCGCATTGATGCATAACCTGCTCGAGCGTGCGGGTGGACATTATGTCGATGTCGGTGGCACAAAACTGATTGAGGAGAGAAGGGTTAACGTAAAAGCCGGGGTCGAACCTGTGGCTTATACGAAATCAGGTCTTCGGTTCTCCGACGGTAGTTGTGTTGATGCGGATGCTATTGTTTGGTGTACTGGTTTCTCCGATTCCAATATTGTAACAACAGCCACGGAGATTCTTGGCGAGGAGTCGAGCACCAATGAGTCGGCAGGTGAAGCTGATCCTAACGGGAGCGAGAAACAAATCCTCAGGTCTCGAGACATTGCCTCGCGCTTGGATGCGACATGGGGTCTTGATGAGGAGGGCGAAATTCGTGGCATGTGGAAGCGACATTTGAATATTGACAACATCTGGATTATGGGCGGGTACACGCAGCAGCACAGATGGCACTCGCGCACACTCGCGCTACAGATTAAAGCAGCCTTGGAAGGAATTCTTCCACCAGCTTATCGGCATACCGCTGCGGTGGAAACTGCGGACGTGAAGGCTTCGCTGTGATTCCTATCTTTGTTCGGCTTTACGGGGTTACGGACTCCATACGTAAATATATTCAGTTAATCTGGTTTCATTATGATAGTGATATATACATTCATACTTTTTTATGTCGCGCCTGCATCATTCAGCTAGTCGCCACAACAAACTTTCACAGATGATTGTCATTAAAACCAGCGAAAGACCCATACAACGATGAGATGCCGTATTATCTGAGTGCGGATATCCTTCTCTGGCAGACCATTCATCCCCGCATGCAGGACGATGTCCTTGATGCTCCGCGATATAGCCCGGCCCGACACCGTTCAACGTTTACTAAATCATACATATCCTGACTGCACCTGTCCTTCAACTTCATCTTCTTCACCCTTCTTGGCCTCCTCCTCTTCTTTCTCCAGAAAATTCTTCCCTTCCCTCTCATCCTCATTCTGCTTTCCCCTCCTCTCCATCTGCTCCAGGAAATTCGCCCAAAACCTCGGCTTCAACTTTCTCTGCAACCAATCCTGATCCTCCAGGTGCTCTGCCATATAATCCAGCTCACGTCTTGACAAGAATTGCGCTTTCCGCAGCCTTCTCCGGACAATATCCCGCATCGGCGGTATCTTCCCGCGGTCGGATGGGCCCGGTGTGAATGGGATGTCCTTCAGTTCGGCTTGTACATCTTCGCTTTCGAGCAGATCTGGCTTATGAATGCTGGATTGGAGTTACTTATCTTGCCGCTGACATTTCTGCCTTAGATTAGGCGCTTGGAGCTTACAACTTCTCTCCATCCCACGTCAAGCACTGAATCGGCACTTCCTCGTCCTTCCCATCCGGGGCGTCCCCATAATCCAATAAAAAGAAACACACCCGGTTGTTGTACCCGAAGTCATCGCCGTAGGAGTACCAGCGTTGCAGGCCTGGCTCGAAGGGATAATCCCAGACATGGTTACAGGTTCGGTCCAGCATGGAGAAAACCTTATCACCGTACGGCTCGCCATTTGCAATGAGGTTGTCTGAGGGGACGAGATGGGTTAGGGTTTGCACGAGAACGCGCATCGGAGAGGGGGTGAGGACTATTGGTGGAAACATCTTGAAAGGTGCTTTACTAATAGTATAGGAGGGGTTGGTAGTAGTATTGGAATGAAAAAATTGCAGGATGAAAATGGCGAAAATATATAAGTAATTTGAGTAGTTCATAGTCGACCGCTCAAGGCTCGAGAGCGTCTACAGCTGGTGATGTGCTAGGGTCGTGGAACCGGTGGTCGGCGCTTATAAGACTGGGGGATTGGGAGGGAGTACTGTGTTGATAGGTGGATGATGAGCGGACTAACTAGGATGATTACTATGCGTGGTTGGGACAGGCAGAGGGAGGCGCTTAGGAGGTACTCGTGATACCAATAGTTTTCTGGCTCTTGATGTTAATCAAATGCCTGGGCATTTCCATCCGAGAATCATAGCCTGCCGTCTCGTTAGTGGGCGCTTAGTTCAAGGCTGATCATCCTAATCCATCAAGTATCTCTCCAAAGATAGTCGCTGCTCACATACTGCCCACTTCGACCGCTCCACCGACCGCCCCAAGCGGCAGAACTCTTTCGACCTCGCAAAGAAAAGTACGGAAATAAGCGGATACAAGCGGATATAATTTTATCCAAGTTTCGAAGAACTCATCAGCATTCTGTTCATTTTCTTACCGCCCGGTTGACCGCCGAGACGGCAGAATCTGAGCTGATATGGCAGAAAAGCTGACTTTTGACCGCTCGGCTGACCGCTTTGACCGGCAGAACTCGATCGACCTCGCAAAGAAAAGCGCGGATATAAGCGGATATGGGCGGATATATTCTTATACAGCTCCGAAAAAATGACTCTGGATTCTGTTGGTTTTCGTACCGCCTTTGAGGGAACTGGCAGAATCGATGACCACATGGTGTCTATCTGAGTCTACCTGCGTGTTTGACTCTGCTATTGTGCTTCTCGTAGATAGTAATGCCTTTTGATGCTGCTATCTCTGCTGGGGCTGCATGACTGACTATCTTTGACAAAGTCGTATCCCTGTTGGCGCAGCTGTGGAGTTTCTGGTTGGTTTGCTTGTTTCTTCATATCATGTGAGGGTGAGGATAATTCAATTATCATATTTCATTCGTCTACTACTATGCTGAATGAAGAGTGTGCTAAGAGATACATGCTAATCCTTCCGGCCAAGCAAGTGCTAGCGTACATCAAGCTGCCATAAATATATGTCCTACGGACGCCCTCTAAAACATCATAACAGCCGAAGAAACGGCACCGCTTTAGTCTTGATAATCTGAGGTTCGGTGTACGACGGAGCTTCAGCTTCAGTGCTCGAAGCAGGCCCCTTTGCAACACCCCGGCTGGTACCCGTAGTGAGAAGCTCACACAATTCAGGTCTCGGAAGCTGCTAGAATCGGAGTCCGGTGCATCTTCCTACAATCTGTCCATCAGACAAGGAATACACCTCGCCAATGTGTAATCCGCTTTCTGGCTCTATCTCTTGCACGTGCACGTAGCTGGTATACTCCTGATCGGGCGACAGGTCAGCCGGGGCCCGGAGTTACCACCAGCCTGTGCAGATGTATGCTGTGTCCTCCGGAGCATTGTCGTGTCCGTTGAGAGCGAAGCTGCCTAGTTGCATCAATGAGTCCATCCAGTACGGGCTGACGGTGAAGGTCTCACCGGTCGTGGATCTGTTCGAAAGATGCCATAAGATAATTTCGCGACCTGTGGATGCATGAGAAGCCAATCTGTCGCAGTACCAAACACCAGTTTCGAAAGCACTAGTGTAGGTGAAGCGGTTCTAATCGGCCCTATCATTTGTTCTAGAGCAGACGGAAATGATTTCCTTCCACTCGGCCACGTGCCACATCATCTAGCTTCTCCCGGAGACTAAATGCGTACATTTGCTGGAAAACGGAAGTTATTCTAATTTTTCCCCCAATAAGAATGTGGACAGTTCAAACGGTGGCGCAGTTTGATTTCTCGGCTAAACAGAGCTCATTGGTCGAGAGCTATGCCTTAATATGATAACATCACCCATAGACCAGTCGGAAAGTGATGCATCTTGGGTTACAGTAAACCGATTCCGCCTCTGGTCAACGACGCATCCTGCTTTGCTGGCTATCGACAATTGAGCCTACTCAACTGAGCTAGCAACCTTAAGTGGCGTCAGAATGCCACTCACCAAAAGCGCGGATGAAAGGACTTGAGCCATGTTCCATCACTATCGGACGCAGTTCCTTTTATCTTAAATCAGCGATATGAACTGCGACGTTCCATGTGATCTACCAACTTACTACACCTTTGCGATAAGATATTGTCGTGTCAACAGCAGGGTAATGCTTGGTCATGCTTTCCATGGTGGCACCAGGTAGTAGATTAGGCCGTGTCCGATAGCGGCAGCAAGAGGACCAATCTGCATGGGTAACTCAATATGCTTTCAGGATAGACCCTCTCCAATGGCGCACTCACCCAGTGAATCCAATGGTACCCAGGAAAGGATGATCCCACATATACACCAAAGCATCTTGCCGGATTTAGTGCTGTTCATGTGGATTAGCTCCAGAATACTTCAACAGTTTGCTATACTGCAAATTGAATATGGGAAAATCATACATGCACCACCATAGCCTTCCCGCGTATACGAGGATCCCAAGCTTACTACCCCCAACACCATTCCTACTAACCATGGGGACAACGCAGCCCCGTACACTCTAACCTGTCTGGGATCTAACCCAACACCAAATGACAGGAAGATCAGTATGAGGCAGCAGATGAACTCCAGCACAAAGGCTTCTCGGACCGGCACTAGGGCAGTATCAACTACACACCCACCGACAGAATACTGTCCGGATCCGAACGCTGACTGCAATATCCACCCGGCCAGAGCTCCGCCGAGGATTTGGCCGGCCAGGTAGAGAACCATACGTGGCAAGGAAATAAGCCGCGCAAAGAATGTGGCTAGCGTTATGGTCGGATTGAGATGACTTCCACTGACTGCCGAGAAGGAGAAAATGAAGAGGGTCAGTAGTGCCCAATTGGTAAAGGCGCCGACAAGAGGGCCGAGAAAGGCTGTTGTAGCAAAGATCCCGGCTGGTGTGGTGGGAGTAGGGGGGGCAACATTAGCGGGAGTAGCTGCCGACCAAGCAGTAATGAAGCTTAACATCATGGTCCCTGAGTGCATCACAGAGGGTTATTATATTTCCTTGTAAGATAGCAGATATGTCCGGGAGGGTGATACCAACGCATTCCACCACCGCAAATCGCCAGAGGTTAAGGTCGGTGAACCCGCGCACATTAAAGGCATCTCGTGCACTCATTAATGGAGCAGCATCTGGAACTTTACGCAGATATTCGGCATTATCCGGATCGGCGCGATCGAGGACAATGCCCTGATTGCCGCCTATGCGGCCGACGAACGGCGGCACATGGGGCTTGCTTGATAGATGTTGGACGTTGACGCTGGGGTCAATGTCGTTCTGGGAACGAAATAGTAGGCCTGCCATTGTCAATTGAGAATTTCACCATACTTGCTGAGTTTGTGGGCTTCGTCCACGAAGTTCTTACTGCCGTGAATATATTGTAAGGCGTTGCTTGGGTCAATTACATCACCGAGTCTTCCGCACACTCGTTTCCATGGTACGCACACCTGCCGAGTTTCCTCCCCGATCTCGTAACCCTGAATAATCGCGTACTAAACGCTGCATTTTCAGTGCGGATTTTGGTGAGACAAATGGAGTGGCGATCTATTGCTAACACGTTCCTGGTTGATCTACAGTTGCTCGTCGCTGCGCCTCTCGGCATGAGCGATCTCGAGCAGTCTCCGATCTCCAACCAACATTAGGCAAAGTTAAAAACTGCTATATTACGGTATCCCCGGGTCGGCAGTAGCCGACAGCTTCATCTGATTAGCTTGACTGTGATCGAGTTGACCTCAGCTCCCGCTGGGGTTCTTCTCCCCCCGTCCCCCCGGACTTCTAATGCTGAGGAATGATGAGCTAATCGGGCGCACCGATCTGAAATTGGTCGAGGCATCGCCCAGACAAAGTCTGTCTGTTACACAGAATATATCAATGATGCGTGGTGACGTTGAAGAGGCGATTAGCTTTTCCACTAGCTTTTCCGATTCAACATTTATAGGCCAACATTGTCCGTCGCAAATGCATCGCAATCATTTAAGCCTCAACCATAGATATATCAATTTCATCAATTCTTTCTGTAACACTTCAATAAGTTCAATTGACAGCAACCATGCCAGCCAAGTATACCCGACTTGACATTGACAAATGCATCTTCCTGTTCGTGGACCACCAGGTATTTCGCGCTCTCAAAGTGTGATTGTACCCGTTCTGAACCTTTTACAGTCAGGCCTTATCAATCTCGTCCGCGACTTTCAACAACATGAATTTCAGAGGAATGTAATGGCCCTTGCCAAAGTCGCTCAATATTACAAGTCTCCCAGTGTGTTGACCACCTCGTTCGACACTGGTCCCAATGGACCCATTGTAAAGGAGATCACCGACTACCTCCCGGATGCGCCCCTGATCCGCCGTCCTGGACAGATCAATGCAATGGACAATGAGGACTTTGTGAATGAGATTAAGAAGACCGGCCGAAAGCAGATTGTGATTAGGTGAGCCCAGCATTCACTTCATTACCCACAGATTTACCCACGGATGTATATCATCAAATGTCACACGCAACCGCTAACTTGCACAGTGGCGTCTTGACTGAAATCTGCGTGGCCTTCCCCGCCCTCAGCCTTATTGAGCAAGGCTACGATGTCTTCGTAGTGACCGATGCCTCAGGCACATTTGCAGAACATACGCGCGAGGCAGCGCACAAACGCATGGTAGCAGCCGGTTGTCAACTGCTGAACTGGGCGGCAGTTGCGGGGGAGCTTCACCGCGATTGGCGGCGCGATATCGAGGGCTTTGGAGCTATCTGGACCGAACATATTCCTGGATATTGGTGCGTGATGCAGAGTTACCAAGCAGCTCAGAGTGGCAAGGAGTGATTTTGAAGTTCTCTATTCTACTTACGCAATGTTATGATGAAACTGGATGTATCTACTACTGCTTGATAGCCTCACTTAATTCCATGCTGGTATTCAGTATGCACCTAGCTGCATGCAGCCTTACGAAGCACGAGCTGCCTTTCGGCTCACCTAAAATTCATGCGCACGGCCTTCATTGCAGCCTTGGCCCTCACGCCATTCATGTAGCTTAACGGTTAGCAAAATCCACTGATTATGTGTATGCGATGCCATCTCCACCGCAACGCAGTCCAGCAACTAGTAACCCGGCTAGCTAGCCAGTTCTTGCTTGATGCTTTGAGAGCGGTGCCCTTTCCTCCAACCTTTATATATTTCCCGCTCCACCGCCACCATACATATGTGCAAACGCATCTGGCCCTAACTATTCCCTCCCAAGCCCACCTTCACTGCAGACAATCTGCCTCCCGAAACTGATCGCGTCGTAATCATCACCGTTGCTACTTCCAGTATGGGTCTAAAACTGGCCGGCATCCTCCATGGGAAGGTTTGTGGAGTGGTATGAGGTGGTTGTGGTGGAGTTTCGGTAGGTGGCATTGCAATAGATATGTGTACGATCGTGTGCATTTTTTAGAATACTTTGACTGAAACATGTAGCGTAGTGTCGATATTCCATACTCATACTAGACACTACCCATTTACCATGGTATTCGTTACCTCACCAGCTAGTCATAATCAGCCCCTTCTCCTCAATTCTATTCATAATTCGCAACCACTATCTTGCGATCCAGGTCCATATTGAGAGCAATCCCCTGGTACCACCACAATTGCCATCCTCTCATTTGAAATTCAATACGGAATTGGCCCGCAATCCACCCCAGGATGGGTACCGTGGGTATATTCTGAACATAAGCATACTGATGTCGATTCATCTTTAGGGCGTCTATGCTTTGCGCTCCCTGTAGGGCTGGATATGATACTTACTTGTGACACTTGGCGGGTTTGTTGACGATCAGGCAAATGTGTACACTTCCTATAAGGTATAGCGTTACAGCCAGTATATCTCAGTTGGGTACATCTTGAAAGGAAAGGTGGAATATCTATATAGGTTGATAATACTTCTCTCAGCTACCCGGGGCTAATTGAGAAATAGGTGAGCCGCATCCTGAATGTGACACCTCCCATCGCAGCTAAACTCTAACTTTATCCTGGCAAATATTCACTAAGATTAAATAATTACATATCGAAACTATATCCACAACATTAGGTATACATACGTCTCCACCAATGTCAACAAACTTTATACAACCCCTGATCACCACACTCACCTCCCCAAACATCACGTCAGCTCCCAATCATTACATCGTATTCAATCATTTCCAAGGCAACCCCTCCCCTTTACACGCATCAACCTCCCACTTCTCAAAATACCAAAGATGGGCCTCGAAATGCAACAGATTGGGAAATCCAACATCCCCCCTCTTATCATCCCCATCCTGAAACACCACCACATCCTGTGTACTCACACTCTGATTATTCCCCGAACTAATCCAATACTCAGGACTAATATGCTCATACCCCATGACCTCCAACGGCACCCTGGGCACCGGATCGTCCGTATGCGCGAACCGGTAATTCGCCCCCTTATTCTGATTCGTAATGAACTCCGCTAACTTCGGGTTCGCTACGCGCGGCGATGCGTACGCGTACAGCGTTGCGTTAAGCCCGTCAGACTCGCGGATGTCTGCTGCTGCGAGGGTCGCGATGGCGGCTCCTAGGGAGTGGCCCACGATGACGAGTTCGTAGTCAGGGTATTGAGATACCGTGTTGTTGAGCGTGGGGGTCAGGGTCTTGCGGACGTTTGTCCATGAACTCCAGAATCCGAGCTCGGCTTCGCACCCGCTGCAGAGGTTGGGGTCCGTGTAGATGAAGGTGAAGTCCGCTAGCCAGCTGCGGATCGAGTAGCTGCCCCGGAAGGCGAGGACGATGGCGCGGTGCGTGTGGTCGACGGCTAGGTAGCCGGATGTGTCGGTGGGGGTGGTACTAGGAGTTGGTTAGGGTTGTGTTGGTGGAAGGGAGGGAGGGGAATGTACTTGGAGAAGTCGGTGATGATGGTTGTGTTGGAGGCTTCGACTGCGGGGCAGTTCTGTGCCGAGCAGGTTATTTTGTGGCCTGCCTTGCCGGCATAGTTGGGTTCGCAGTAGGAGGCTGCGGCGTATTGTACCCAGAAGGTGAAGGTGTCGAGTTGTTGGGTGGTGATGTCTGAGGTATCGGGGAATTGGTCAGTCGGGGCAAGGAATGGAACTGTATGGAATGTGCATTGGTACCTCTTTTATGAAGAGCCCGGCCTGGGAGGGCATTGCAGCCGGCTATGGCGGATGCAGCCACGAGTAGGGACTTGAGGAGGCGCATGGTGATGATGATACTGGGCAGATGATTGACATTGTTACACAGGGCAAGTCGATCATACTTATGTCTTTGATGTGAAAAGTTTTTGTTCTGCCCAACGCTTTTCCATCACATGAAACGAAGGTAAAATCGGCGATCACATCCATTATCTTCAGCTGTACGGATCGAGCTGTGGGACTACTAGCAAACCCCGAAATGCCGAGTCTAGGGGATGGCCTATCCCTGCCAGGGGTAGAATTGGAATTAGAATGCAACTATCGGATGTTTGCTTTTTTTCTGGTTTTCCGATCGACGATCGTCGACTATCGACAAATCATGGATCGGGATTGGCAGGGGGTGAACGGGGCACACGGGAGCGGCCCAAATTTAGGGCATCACGGAGGAGCAGGTGGGGACGATGGGAATCTGCAGGCAGCCACTCACGAACTCCTCCATCCACGGTTCATTCAGGTACACAACGACAATTGTCCGCTGCTAGCCACGTGTAGATGTCACTTTGGTGCTTGACTGTACGGACTTTGTCTCAAGTGCTGTAGATCTAACGAAAATTTCCCGAAAAAAAGCACACGGACATCTCCGTTGCTGACCCACTGTGAGATTCGGTTTTCATCGGAGCCCTGCAAGATCCAAGGTTCTCAAGAGACATTTCGGGATCTGTGTGCTTAGCCAAGACAACTAGTCTTCCTGCAGTGCCGTCACTACCTCGGCTGCTCCTCGCTGCCCTGCTCGAATGGCCCCCTCCATGTACCCACGCCATACTGTGGATGTTTCTGTTCCGATGAAATGCACTTTATCATGCGGTGCAGCGACATCGCTCCCAACGGTGGTCAGTAAGCCAGGTGTCATGGCTGGACAGGGCGCTCCAAGGAAGTAAGGCTCCTTACTCCATTCCATTTCCAGAGTATTGGCTGGCTTGGGGATGTCTTTCACGAACTTGCCGAAACATCTGTAGAACTGCTCCCACACCTGGTTAAACCGATCACCCTTGGACAACTTGGACCATGCTCGTCCGCGACTCCCCACAATGAAGCATGTGATAGACCATTGGTCATCGGTGGGTACACTCGTGTCCCGCGTGAATGTTATGGGGCCACCCGCAGAGTCGATAATTCCCGTAAGTTGAGCGTTCCGCCACCATGGCTCTTGAAAGACAAAAATCATCTTACTGTAGTATCCCATGATCGTATGGGTACTTAAAACTTGCTTTGCTTGTGGCAGTCGGGGGTAGAAGGAGATGCTTTGGTACAAGTTCGTAGGAATAGACACGATAACGCGTTGACAACGAATAGATCTGCCATCAAATGTCTGGACCACGCAAGGACTATCATCAGAAGACTGATTGATTGACGTGACAGGCACACCCAAGAAGATGTCGGATTGGTCGAGCTCATCTGCCATCTTCCGAGCGATAGTTTGGGTTCCTGCACCGTTAGCACGTCAATGTCAAGTAGGCCTGACGATCGTTGCGTTACCTTGCCTGGTGCGTAGGTACTGCGCTCCGTCCTTCTCATCCGACAGGAGATTGTCGATCCCACTTCCACTTTTAAAATAATACAGCATATACAACGCACTAACTTCCTTACTATCCACCCCAAGCAGCCCCGATGAGATAGCATCTGCCATGTGAACTGCATCCTGCGATCCAGACCTATCAACGCAAAATCCCCCGAACGTCATATTATCCACTTCTTTGGCCTCTGGAAAACCTTTAGGATCGTCCAAGTCTATCCGTGAGGACTCATTTCGCAGAACATTCAACAGCTTCCGCGCAAGCCCAGTCTAAACATCGTCAGTCGCCGCCAGCACCTTCTTGATTTGTGGTTAACTTACTAAAGGCCACCCATACGGTATCTTGCGAATAGCCCCTTCACCTGACTCGAGAATATCATCTCCACGTGTATACTGTACCACCCCATCCAGTCCATACTTCTGATGGAGTTTGAAAATCTCACTCTGGTTTGTATCATTCACCCAAGCCGCTCCTAGATCGTTGTATCCCTTTTCGCTGGACTTCACGGTCAACGTCTTCCCGCCCACTCGGTCCGTAGCTTCCAGGATACACACGCTGAATCCTGCTGCCTGGATGGAATGCGCTGCTTGGAGTCCGCTGAGTCCGGCTCCCACGATTACCACATCGTAAAGTTTAGTAGTAGGATCTTTGGATGCAGTCATTTTAAGCTCAAGGGTCACAGTAGTGTGGATCGGAGAGTTGTGTGACAGCATTTGTCGGACGTATTTTATGCTAGGTAAACTGAGGGGGAGTGGAACACAAAGAGGGTGGCTGGTTGTTGCTTATCCTTGGCCGCGGTTTCTCAATCCGCCAATCGGGATGTCCATAGGTACTGACTAGTTAATATAAGAGAAGATTTGGGTTTCCCATTATATGTCGCATTCTAATATAATACATAGATAGCAAAGAGGTCTAATGAAACTCGAATTGTTGAAAATAAGAGTATGTTGTGGACAGGAAATGTGCGCTCCAATCGGCAGTGACGAAAGTCGAAAGAACACCACCGTTCACACAATATATATGTCCTGACGCAGGAGAGCGACAGGATTTGAAATTCCTATCGCATGATAAATTTCCCAGAGAAATTTACCACTCTAGCGATAGACACCAGATGATAAATCAAGTATTTGGTGAAGGACGAGAGAATATCTTGGCGAACCGGCGAAAAATTGAGCTGGTTGAACCGCCTCGGACGCGCACAAACCAATACAAGAAGAGGGCAGCAAACACGTT